AGCAGGCGGCAGCTGCAGCGGGCGACGAGCGGGCGGCAGCAGCAGCGGGCGACGAGCGGGCGGCAGCTGCAGCGTGCGACGAGCGGACAGTCGCCGCAGCGGGCGACGAGCGGGCGGCAGCAGCAGCGAGCGACGAGCGGGCGGCAGCTGCAGCGAGCGACGAGCGGGCGGCAGCTGCAGCGAGCGACGAGCGGGCGGCAGCAGCAGCGGGCGACGAGCGGGCGGCAGCTGCAGCGGGCGACGAGCGGGCGGCAGCAGCAGCGAGCGACGAGCGGGCGGCAGCAGCAGCGGGCGACGAGCGGGCGGCAGCTGCAGCGGGCGACGAGCGGGCGGGCGCTGCAGCGGGCGGGCGGCAATGTGCAGGCCTGCGGGGCCGCTGCGGGCTGCGCTATAGCGGTGCGAGCGGCGCACGGGCGGCTAGCCGGTCGCGCTCAAAAGAAATCGGCCGCGCGCGGGCAGCTAGCGGGTCGCGCGCGGTTAAAAAATAAAATAAATAAAAAAAACGAGCTGCGCGCGATTGGCTGGCGGGCTGCGCGCGCGCGGTAGGTAGGAGGCGCACTGGGGCGCGTAGGCGCACGAGGGCGCACGGTAGGTAGGTAGGTAGGTAGGTAGCGGTGGGCCCTAAGAACGGTCCTAGCGAAGGACCTGCTCTGAAACCATGTCGGAATCAACAGACAGGAATGATTGAACTAGCAGTGAAATCAGTACAAGTACCTAACCCTAGAATTGTGTACCCCCTATAGGCTAACCCACTGTAGCCTAAACAAACACAACATATATAATGTTTGACACGATTTTGGCCGATTTTGCCGCCAAGTGCCGGGAAAGCGCGTGAATCCCTATAGGCGTAGGCGTAAGTTGCCCAACCGAAGTTGCCCGACCGACTGAAGTTGCCCGACTGAAGGAGCACCACAGCCTCTGCCCCTGGCAGCAGTGATTTGATCGTCAACGTAGAACCAGGTGAAGAAAGGGTCCTTGCTGCCCGCCTTGCCCGCCCCTCACACCCTCCCCTTGTCCTCCTCGTTGCCTATCACCCCCTGCCATGTGGTCCGGGAGGTGAAGCGTGTGCCATGGGAAAGGGGAGGATTGGGAATGCAGGGGCAGCACAGTTGGAATGACTATTGAGTCGAGGCATAAGCACGGGTGGCATGCATGGAGCGACGAGGCAGCGAAGGGAGCGGACAAGTGGGGACAGCAAAGAGAGAAGGAGAGCGAGAGGGAGAGAGTGAGGGGGAAGTGCAGGGGGCAGGTGCCCAGAGTGGGGAGTGACGGAGCCCAGGCCGCCAAAAACATGAGTGTGGCTACTCGCTCCCACATTTGCCAGGCTGACTTGGAAGGGTGGTAGGCTGACCTGGAAGGGCGGCAGGCTGACCTGGAAGGGTGGTAGGCTGACCTGGAAGGGCGGCAGGCTGACCTGAAAGGGCAGCAGGCTGACCTTGAAGGGCGGCAGCGGGCCGAGCTTGAGGGTGAGCGTGTGGAAGGTGAAGGCGAGGCGGCGAGCAGTGAAGCCCATGGGGCCACCGGGGCCAGGAACACCCCGTTCTCTATCTCCATCGCCTGGTGGGGAGAGAGGAGAGCGGAGATGAGGTGGGAGGAGGGAGAGGGGGGGGGAAGGGAGGGGAGAGGAAAGAGAGGAAAAAGGGGGAAGGTGAAGACGTGGCAGGGATTTTCGGAGCACATGTGGTTTGAAGGGTGGTAAGAGTTGTAAGGGAACACAGAGACAGGGGGTTGATGGGGAGGGAGATGGGGCATGGGGAGCAGCATGCGGAGAAACGAGACGATGATGTTCACGAGAGCATGTGGATGAGAGAAATGGTGCTGAAGAGGAGGAATGGTGGGTCCCAGCAGCATCCAGCAGCATGAGCGAGCGGGCCAGCAGCAGGAGCGCGGAGGGTGGACGGCAGGGGCAGTGACGGTGGGCATCGAAGCGTTGGATGGCGGCGATGGGGCCTCCCCGCCCTTGGCCGCCTTGCACACCTGCTCCCGGGACACGCGGGGGCACACGCACAGTGGGGGGCACGGGCACACATGGCAATCAACCTTGCGAGGTGACCTGTGAGCAACAGGGAACAGCCGAGTGCATGTAAAAGAGGGCAGAATAGTGGAGCAGTTGGAAAAGTGCAGGTGGTGAAGGGGGTGGGAGTTTTCTAGGGGAGCTGGTTGGAGGGCAGGAGAGAGAAGGAGGCACTGCAGAGCACTTGGGCAGGAAGCATTGGTGAAGCGGTTGGAGTAGTGCGAAGAGGGGGGAATGGTAGTGAAATGAGGGGTTGTAAATGGAGTGAGTCCAAATTTGGGGGAGATGGGAGAAGAAGGGAGGGGGATTGAGGGTGAAAGAGAGAGTAAAGAGTTTTGGATAGCAATATGGGCTGACAGACAGCTGGCATATGATAGCAATAGATAGAGAGTGTGGGCGGGGGGAGGTAGGGACGGGCTGCAAGAAGCATGCAAGGCGTGGCACAGTGGAGCGAGGAGGAGTGGTGGCAGCATTGCAGTACCTTTCACAAGCATCAGTAAGTAAGCTGCCCCAACAGTACCTTCCTCGCTCGTTCCCCGTGCACATTCACTCCCACCCCTGCTCCAACCTCGCTCACCCACCCCTCCCCCTTCCCCACCTCCCCTCCCAACCTCCCCCTCTCGCTCCCCACTTCCCGCTTACCCACTTTCCCACTCCATGCCCCCAATCCCCCCTTCCTTGACTCACGGCCATCAGCGACGGTGGAGAAGTCAACAAGTGACCCCGGGGGGTACCCCTTGCGGCGGTGGTGCGAGCGGGGCATGATGGAGCAGAGCTGCGCTGTGCGTACGGCGCCTGCTCCACCAGGTCGCGCACTGCTACAGCGGGTGCTGGCAGCCCGTGGGCGCTCGTTGCGCTCTCTACCCCCCCCCGCATACTGGCGAGCGGAAAAGGCCTGACCGTGTTGCAAACACTGAAAGGGGAGGGTGTGGAGAAAGATCGTCGCTGCAACACTTGAGAGCGCCACTGGCAGCCCGTGGGCGCTGGTGGAGCTCTCTACACCGCATGACACAGGTGAGCGGAAGAGACCGAAGCGTGTTGCAGACACTGGAAGAGAGGGGGGTTAGGGTGCGGGGAAAGGAGAAAGGGTGAGAAGGGTGAGAGGGGGGAAGGGTGCGGGGAAAGAACTCTGGCATTTTAAATGGATAGCTGGTGGGATGATTGTGGGGAGGGGAGAAGGGCGGATGGGAGGGGAGGAAGGGGAACGCTACCTTGCTCACCCACCCTCACTGTGCCTCCGCTGATTACCCGCCTCTTCGCACCACTGCCAGTCACCCGCACCCCCCCCCCCCCCATTGCAACTCAACCGCGCCCCTCCCCTTTCCCCCATTGCCACTCACACGCTCACTGCGCCATCGCCCGCAGTGGTCACCAGCGGCGCCGCCCCCGCATCCGCCTCGCCCGCGCCCCCTGCAGCCACTGCGCGCCAAGCCCTCCGCCTGCCGGGGGGAGGGCGCGCTGCGCTTGGCGGAGTGGCGCAGCAGTCGGTGCGGAAGGGGGAAGCGGCGGCTAGCGAGTGGGCGGAGGAGAGTAGGCCCGCGCGAGGCAAGTGTATTCTGGAAAAACTTCGGAGAGAGGGGTGGCGAAGGAGAGAAAGGAACGAGAATGGGGAGGGGAGGGCAAGATTAGGTGATTCTGAAACGAGGAATGTATTCGCTCTTGTTATGAAATGCTGTTCATATCGCAGCAGCGTATGCGGCCAACACCGCGTGTGAAGAAGACCGTTCCAACTTGCGATAAAGCGCGCATGGCTTGTGAAAACGCCGCACCGGCGACGACCCATCTATTACGTTCGCTCGTTACTGTAACACTCGCCACGTGGCGGGGGCGGGTTCCCGGGGGCAAGGCGGGGTGGATGCGGAGGGCCATGGGCCAGAGTCGCGCGGAACGCGGAACGCAGCGCGGAGGAGAAGGAACACGCTCGGCGACAATCACTAGGGAAACCGCAATGGACTTCATTGCTCGTTTCGTCGGCGGCTGACAATGCCAGGGCGGAAAAAATGCTGTTGGTGGCGACTATATCACGCGCGACGCGGCTGCTGATGATGTCTACATGCGCTGAGAAGAATGGCGAAGATCCGATTACTAGTTTCGATCGGAATGAAATGATTAGTGGGGTTCGGGGGATGGGTGGGACTCTCGAGGGGAAAGATAATTGAACATAACCCCAATGGGTTGTACCCTCTATGGAGTACCTCTATACAGCCTAGAAAACAAACATTGGTGTTTTGACAAAGTGTTAGGTGGAGGGTTGCTGTTAGAATAGTAGGATTCTGTGAGGGTTATCCATAATACTGGTATGCTTCCTTCCAACACAATAGTTTTGCTGTGAACATTTGCAAACATTGATGTTAAGGAGATATGACAAAAATTGGATAGATCTGAAGGTAGGGTAGGGGCGGTTCCACCTAGGTTCACTTTATTTGCGTCAAAAGGTCACACTCTTCAAGGAAAGATATATCTCTTGGAGGTAGCATATTGCAGGTTACCGAGCCAACTTCAAGATGGCAAATTCGTCCTCTGCCCTCGAGATTGCCTGGATGCATTCGCTAGCTAGGGTTTGATACACCATCGAACTTTTAGCTCGCCAATCCTTTCATGGCTGATAGACTTGGTCGGACCACAGGTCACCACAGGTCAGACCCGTTAGGTAGAGCGATGTCGGGAAAGTCGATTAAGTTACGGGCTCACATTGCAATGCGGCGTTTTCCTTCTGTGACTGACCATGACGCGCGCCGTGAGCGACGGTGAGGGCAGTCCGCCTCGCGTGGTGAATCGCCATCGCGGACCCGGACACTTAGGCCCGGCGGCCACCACTCCACGTGGGGGGCGTAGCCCTGCTTTCGACGACCATATGCTTTCGCCTCGAAATGCCGGGTCCAATGGGGTAGGGGGAGGGGCAGGAGGGGAAGGGGAGTACGGAGCGGGACAGCAGAGGCGGCGGGCGGGGAGCCGGCCGTTGATTCGCGTGAATGAGGGGCAGCAGATGGCGGCGCAGGTGCTGGACGCGGACGAGTACCCGGACCAGTACCCCGAGGAGTACGCGCGCGAGTATCCCGAGGAGTACGCGCAGGAGTACCCCCACGACTACCTTGACGCCAACGACTTCGCTTCCGATTATTTATCGCAACGAGGCTCCGCTCGACGCGCCTCCGTGCCGTCGCCGTCCGCCGCGGGGTACCAGGCAGCCGGCTTGAGCACGTCGCCGCTGCGCTCCAGCATGGGCGCGGCGCTGGGTGCTGGGATGAGCGCGGGGCACGTGCGGTCGGATGCCATTGGGGATAGCGAGGCGGACAGAGGGCGGCACGAGCGTGGCGACCCGCGACGAGGTGGCGAGGCGAAGCAAGTGCGCAAGGTGCGAAGTAGGGCAGTAGATGGGTAGCCGTCATGTAGCCCACGGCGGTGCCTCATTGGGTAGGTTTTGCTCCAATTCTGCCATTCTTATGTTCGGTCAGTTTGTCGGTTTGTGGCGCCCGGTGGATTGCTCTGCCGCGCGCGCCCTGACCAAGCGACGGCATCGTGAGGCGCAACGCGCTGCATGGCGCAACGCGCTGCAAGGCGCAACGTGATGTCAAGCACCCGCCCGCCGATGCCTCGCGCCCTTTGCGTCTTCCCCCTCTCGCAACCCTTCGTCCTCCCCTCCTGCTTGCCCCGTGGTGCAGTTCTCGTCGCTGCCCAACTACGCGGGCGGCACTGACGGCGCCGCGCACTCACCGCAGGAGGTAATGAGCCCGCGACGCGTACCCAAGCCCGCCCGCACCGCCATGCTCTCTGGCATGGGCATGGGCGGGGCGCCGACGGGCAGCTATCAGGCGTCGTCGCGCGGCGAGGCGGAGGTGCTGCGCGGCGTGCTGGCGCTGCTGGAGGCGGTGCGCGACGACGACGTGGCGCGCGTCAACCGCATCCTGCAGGACGCGCCCTCGCGCACCGCGCTGCTCCACTGCGCGCACCCTGGTACGCCGCGTCGCTCATCCCCCCTCCTCTGCGTACCCTGCCTTACTCTTCCCTCCTCACTTTTAACCTTGCCCTACTGCTTTTTTTCTCACATGTTAACCTCCCTCTTCTCGCCACGTCTCCTCATTCGCATCCCACGCGCCTGGCCTTTTCCTCCCCATGGCATGCGCCTGGCCTATTCCTCCCCATGGCATGCGCCTGCCCCCTTCCCCATGGCATGCGCCTTCCCCCTTCCCCCTGGCATGCGCGGTGGCAGGCACGGGGCGGGCGGCGCTGCACGAGGCGGTGGTGGCGGGCAGCGTGGACGCCGCTGCTGCGCTGCTCGAGTGGGGCGCCGACCCCGATGGGGGGCACGCGTCGCAGGTGGGTGCAGGTGCAGCAGTCGGCTGTGGCAACTACAACCAGTTCTTCCTCCCGAGCCCCCAGATAGCCTTCATGCAATCTTAAACTTGAAGATCTTCCCTCCTCTTTTACCGTGTCCTGTTCTCGCCTACCCCGTTTGCGTTACTCCCCCCCTCCTCCCCCTTGGGCGCGGGCAGATGCCACCCATACTGCTGGCGGTGCAGGCGGGCAGTGAGAAGGCGGTGACGCTGCTGCTGTCACACGGCGCCGACATCAACGCCCACGACGCGCAGCTCTGCACCGCGCTGCACTACGCCTGCGCTGACGCCCACCGGTACGCCTCCTCCACCTTCCCCCCCGCTTCCCCGTCCCATCCCATTGCGCCTATCCTGCCTCACCTCCCCTTTCCCTCTCCATCTCTGATGCTCAGGGTTGTGATATGCGCCATGTGTTTTTTATTTGCCCCATGTGCTGGATGTGCCATGTGTGTTGGATGTGCATGTGTGTTGGATGTGCCACGTGTGTTTGGATGGATGTGCCACGTGTGTTGGATGTGCCACTGCCTGCCTTGCTCTGTTTGCCTGCTATCCCCTTACTCTCCCACCTACCGCTGCACCACACGGGGCAGGGGCATGATAAAGCTGCTGCTGGTGGCGGGCGCCAACATGTATGCGCGCAACAGCGACGGGCTGCTGCCGCAGCAGCTGGCCTCCACGGACCGCATCCGAGCGCTCTTCTCCAAGCTGCACGACTACCACCACCGCCACGGCCTCCTGCCCCCCCATGCACACCTCGCCTCCTCCGCCGCGCCTGCTGCTGCCATGGGCGCTTCTCCTCCCGCCAGCCCGGGCGGTATGGAGCGGCGCAGCCCGCATGAGGGGGGGTTGCTGGGGGACGACTCGTGGGACGACCAAGGTGCGCCTCCCCTTCCCTGCCCTCGCTCCACTCCCCTCTGCCACCACCGTGGCACCGCCTGCTCCATGCACATCCGCACTCGCTGCTGCTGCTGCTGCTGCTGCTGCTGCTGCGCCTCACCCTTTCTCACACCATGCCATGCCCCTTCCTTCCATGTGCTGCAATACCCCTGTTCTCCCACGTGCCCGTGGCCCCTCTTCCTCCACCCCTCGTCCAGGCATGAACGGTGTAGCATCGCACCGAGTGGCGTCTCCCCGTGCGGGCATGGCGCGCATGAGAGCGGCCGCTTCTGCTGCCGTCGAGGCCTCCACTGGGGGCGGCGCGGGTAGCATGCGCGGGCGCTTGGCGGGTGACCGTTGGGGGGGGCGCGGGGATGAGTGGGGCAGCGGGGGAGGCAGTGAGAAGGAGGCACGGCGGGGGGGACGGGGCGAGGAGGGGTACGAGAGCCCTCAGGAGATGGAGAGCAACGAGCAGATCTTCCAGCAGGCGTGGGAGAACGACCGCCACGACGACTCGCCTGCCCTCCCCTGGCCCGCGCCCTCGCCCCCCGCCTCCGCCTCCTCTAGAGATGCCCCCGCCACCACCCCCCCCAGCAGCAGTAGCAGCACCACGGGTGGGAGGGGCGGGGGCGCGGAAGGGGAGGAGGCAGCGCCAACCGCCGCGGTGGCGCGGCGGCAGGTGCAGGTGCATGTGCGGGACGCGGCACGCACGCTGTCGGTGGAGTCGGGGGGGGCGCACTACCAGCGCCGCATCGTGGCAGCTGCGGACGCCAGCAGCATGTCGGACGCCGAGGGTGGCTCTGGCCCCCGCCGCCACGCCCCCGCTGCCGCCTCCCTCAGCGGTGGCGCCCGCGGCGAGGGGTCCCGCCTCGCCCGCCCACGCAACTTTGCAGACTTCCGCGCGGAAAGACTCGTGGGGGGCGCGGCGGGAGGGGCGGGGGGAGGGGGACCCAGCACCCCCAGGGGCGGGCCAGGGACGCCAAGGGGAGGGGAGGGGGGCGGAAGGGGAGGGGGAGGGGGAGGAGCCGGGGCGCCATCCACGCCCAGGCGGGTGGGCGCTGAGCGAGGGGGGTCGGATGATGACGTGGAGGAGAGAGCGGCAGGGGCAGGGGGAGGAGGAGGGGGAGGGCAGCGCGAGAAGGGGATGGGAGGGCGCGTGGGGCCGGGGGGCAGTGGCGTGGAGAGGCGGGGGGCGTCCACCCCGCGGGCTGTGCGTGACAACCCCTATGCCTCCTGGAACGGTGGTGCGCTGCCTGACAGAGGCTCCCTGGCGGACAGGAGTGGGGGAGGTGCAGGCAGTGGGGGCGACAGGCAGCCGCACCGGTCAGTGAGCTCAGAGGAAAGGCAGGGGGAGGGGATGGGGGGCGGGGGGAGGGGCGGAGGGGGGAAAGGGGCAGCGCATTTGAGGCAGTTGAGGGACAGTGGCAGTGCGGACAGTGACAGCGAGGTGGTGAGCCGGCGGTCGCGCGCCATCAAGGCTGCAGCAGCTGGCGGCCCCTCCACGCCCTCGCGCTCCCCTCCCCCGTCTGACTTCTCCCGCCGCTTCTCCTCTCTGCGCGTGGCTGATGGCGCTGGCCCACGTGCCGGCAGTCCCGGCAGCAGTGCGGGCGGCGAGGAGGACGCGGGCAGGCGGGGGGGTGGCAGTGCAGGCAGTGCAGGCAGTGCAGGCAGTGCGAGGCCGAGGAGTCCACTCCCGGGCGCTCAGGCAGTGCCATGTGACGACGACAGCAGCCCGCGCACGCCCACCGGTGGGGCGGCTCCCCCACCGGCACCAGGTACAGGGACTGGGGGAGGTGGCGGCGGTGGCGGGGGGGGCCGCGTGACTCCGCGGGGAGGGCGTGAGCGCAGGTCAGTGAAGTTCGCCGTGCCTGAGGGGGGCGAGCGCGATAGAGACAGAGACAGAGACCGGGGCAGGGCTGATGGCGGGCGCGGGAGCAGTGGCCTGGACGAGGGAGGTGCGAGTGAGGGCAGGGGAAAAGGTAAGGAGGGAAGCGAGAGGAGTGAAAGGGGTGCGAGGAAGGAGCGCAGCGACCGCAAGTGCCAGTCGTTTGTGCCGCCGTCATCAGGTGGTGCGGGCAGGAAAGGCGGTGGGGGCGGGGCGGCATCGGTGTCGGAGGAGGACCTGAAGCTCATCCGCGCTGACTGGCGCGCCGACGCTGCGCGGAACGGGTGTGTGGCGTGCGGACAGGTGCAGTGCGAGTGCAAGACCCGGCCCGAGAACAGAGGTGCTGCGGCGAAGACAGGCACGGGGGACGATGTGAAGGCGGGAGGGAGCAAGGAGGGCAAGGAGAAAGGCGGGGGGAAGGAGCAGGAGAAGCAGGAGAAGGCGGGGCAGAAGGAGGCAGGGGGGCGGGGTGTGGAGGAGGAGGAGGAGGACGAGGCGGTGCCGGAGGAGCTCCTGCAGGACGACCCCGAGGTGTCCCCGCTGGGCACCATGAAGTGGAAACGCGGCGAACTGCTGGGTGAAGGCGCGTACGGCAAGGTGAGGTGCTGGGCGAAGGTGCGTACGGCAAGGTGAGGTGCTGGGCGAAGGTGCGTACGGCAAGGTGAGGTGCTGGGCGAAGGTGCGTACGGCAAGGTGAGGTGCTGGGCGAAGGTGCGTACGGCAAGGTGAGGTGCTGGGCGAAGGTGCGTACGGCAAGGTGAGGTGCTGGGCGAAGGTGCGTACGGCAAGGTGAGGTGCTGGGCGAAGGTGCGTACGGCAAGGTGAGGTGCTGGGCGAAGGTGCGTACGGCAAGGTGAGGTGCTGGGCGAAGGTGCGTACGGCAAGGTGAGTGCTGGGTGAAGGCGCGTACGGCAAGGTGAGGTGCTGGGCGAAGGTGCGTACGGCAAGGTGAGTGCTGGGTGAAGGCGCGTACGGCAAGGTGAGTGCTGGGTGAAGGCGCGTACGGCAAGGTGGGCCACTCCATGCCATCACGCCGCCTCTCACCTGCCCCTCCACACAGCCGCGTTATTCTTCGCCTTGCTACTTCCCTCCATTCCCGTTGCTTTCTCTCATGCTCCTGCCTCACTCCTTCCCGCCCACTCGTCCCTTCCCCCCACTGTCCTCGTGGGGTGGGCAGGTGTTTCTGGGGCTGAACGAAACAGATTCACTTTTTCCTCTCCACCCCTCTCCACCGCTTCAGGTGTTTCTGGGGCTGAACGAGCGCACGGGCGAGCTGATGGCGGTGAAGCAGATGAAGATCAACGCGGGCGACGAGCGCGCCATGCACATCGCGGCCTTGGAGCGCGAGATCGTGCTGTACCGCCGCATGCGGCATCGGCACATAGTGGGGTACATAGACATGGAGAAGGACCCCTCCGATGGCTCCATTTACATCTTTCTGGAGTTCGTTTCGGGCGGCTCCATTCACAGGTGGGCTTGAAGAGGGCGGTACATCTCTAGTGCTCGTGTATGTATAATTGTGCTTTTTCCCCTGTCCTTGCCGTTTTCCCCCAACCCCCACCCTCCATGCCCCCCCTGTCCCCGTGTGCCGCGGTGGCTGTGGGTTGGCAGCGTGTTGGAGTGCACTTAAGGGTGTACTTTGGGTGTTATGTTTTGACACATGTATACGTGTACATGTCTAGTACGGGTGTATGTATAAGTGCTCATATTCTCATGTCCATCGTCCTCTTCCCCCCATTCTCTCCCCCTCCTCACACCCTCCATGCCCCCCTGTCCCCATGTGCCGCGGTGCCCCCTGGGGTGGGCAGCATGTTGGAGAAGTTTGGCAAGTTCAGCGAATCGCTGGTGCGCGTGTACACGCGGCAGCTGCTGCTGGGGTTGGAGTATCTGCACCGCTGCAAGATCATCCACCGCGACATCAAGGGCGGCAACGTGCTCGTTGACCGGGATGGCGTCATCAAGCTCGCCGACTTTGGCGCCTCCAAGGTGTGTGCGCGCCTCTGCCCTTCCCCACCACCCACATCGTGCCCTGCATGCGTGCTCTCTGCTCTCTGTTGCAGCCACTCTGTCCCAAGGCGTCCCTGTCCCAACCTCTCAACCATTCATAGCATTCACCACTATCCATTCACCACGATCCATTCACCTTCCACTCATTCCTTGTCCTTCTTCCTCTCAACCCTCCCCTTCTCCCCTCCTTGCAGGCGTTTCAGGAGGGGACGGTGGGCGAGGGGTGCAAGTCGATCCGCGGGTCGGTGTTCTGGATGGCGCCCGAGGTGATCACGGGCGCGGGGTACGGCCGCAAGGCAGACATCTGGAGCCTCGGCTGCACCGTCATTGAGATGCTCACCGGAAGGTCAGGGCTGCACCGTCATTGAGATGCTCACCGGCAGGTCAGGGCTGCACCGTCATTGAGGGTGGCAAGGGTGTGAGGGGGTGTTTTGCTGCTGGACGGAATGAGTACAGCGTGCTGCCAAGCAGCAGCCATACTGATTTATTGAGCCCAATGCGGAGCTGTGTTCAACACGTGCTGCTCAATCACTGACTGGCCTGGGATGCTTGCTGAGCTCTCTGCACTTCGAATGTGCTTCTCTTGTGGAATGGCACTGGTGGAAGGTGTGCAATTGCCTTGCCAATTGTGCGTCGTCTCCCTCAACTCGTAGCCTGTGTGTCATCCTCATCGCCGCACTCTTGTGCCTTTGCGTGCACGGCATGCCACGTGTGTGCATGCCCTTCCCCCTACACACAACCCCCCCCAACAGCCACCCATGGCCGGGCATGGACAACACGTGGTCGGCCATATTCCACATCGCCAAGACCACCACTTGACATTGCTCATTGCTCCTTTACTCATGCTCCACCCTCTCTCCCCCAATCAACCCCTGTCCTCAACCCCCTTACACAACCCCCCCCGTGCAGCCACCCATGGCCGGGCATGGACAACACGTGGTCGGCCATATTCCACATCGCCAAGACCACCACTTGACATTGCTCATTGCTCCTTTACTCATGCTCCACCCTCTCTCCCCCAATCAACCCCTGTCCTCAACCCCCTTACACAACCCCCCCCGTGCAGCCACCCATGGCCGGGCATGGACAACACGTGGTCGGCCATATTCCACATCGCCAAGACCACCACGGGCCCGCCCACCCCCGAGGAGAGCAGCCCCGAGGGCCGCGACTTCCTCGCCGCCTGCTTCCAGCTCGACCCCGCCCTCCGCCCCTCCGCCGCCCAGGTCAGTGCCTCCACCCCTCCGCCGCCCAGGTCCGTAGCCTCCCCTTTTCCGCCCAGGTGGGTGCCTCCGCCCCTCCGCCGCCCAGGTCCGTGCCTCCGCCTTTGCCGCCCAGGTCCGTGCCTCCGCCTTTGCCGCCCAGGTCCGTGCCTCCGCCTTTGCCGCCCAGGTTGGTATGCTGCATGCCTGAACGCCCTTAAACAATAGGCATCACAGAATTGCACCAGGCATTGCCACACAGTTGCCTTGAACGGACTTGTTGCAGCAAACGTAGCCCGGATATTCCTTCCCACATCATCTTCCCCCCGCATTCGCCGTGTGCCCTGCCTTTCTCTCCCTCGGTGGTGCAGCTTCTGCAGCATCCGTTTGTGCAGGTGCCCGACACGCCCAGGGATGCTCGCATGGCCGGCTTCGGATGACCACCCTCCCTCCCCCCGTAATCTCTCACCTTTGCCTTGTGTGCTCCACGCCCTACTAACGCCATCGCTGTTTGACTGCAGCGCCATATCTATCGTGTTTTATGATAAATCAAAGTTGAGAGATGCATCAATGGTTATTAGGGATGCATGTGTAAAATAAGCAATGGTCAGTTGAGCTTGTTAATTTGCTGGCTTGAAAGCTGTATACTGACTGAAGAGAACAACACCGTGTTGAGATAGCTAGGCAAGGTGAAGTTGACTATCGAGAGAAATTTTACAAGTAGGAAAACCCTAAGGGGTTATCCCCTATAACATCTACCCCACTACAGCCTACCAATATGTATCACACATATATATCATTTGACACACCCCCATAGGCAAAGTGGGGGAGAGCAACGGGTCACAAGACCAGTCAAGAGAAACAAAACAAGCTCAGGGTGGATCACAACGTCACCACACATTCTGAGCACAAGCAAATGGCCACAAGGCCAGTTCACATGCAGAGATATATATGCAGCAATGACAGTACAGTGTCGAGCTACCTAGCAAGAGCCAGCATGCAGGTATATATGTATATAGATCACAGTACAAGCAAAGACTACAGCAAGTGTGGAAGCGTAGGCACAAGGCCTAACAGAGTACAAAAGCGCTGATGATCACCAGACGGAAGTGCCTTGGTGAATATATCAGCAGTGTTGGCCCGAGTGGCCACGTAACGAAGACAAAGCTGGCCTCGCTGCTGCAACTCTCGAGCCAGGAAGTAACGCAGAGCAATGTGCTTCGTTCTGTGCTCCAGTCTGTGCTCCTCACACAAGGCAATGGCGGCCTTGTTGTCAACGTACAGCACTGGAGGAGAACGAGGCTGCTCTCCCAAGTCAGTCAGCAGGTAGGTGAGCCAGCGTAACTCCTGTGCAGCCATGGCGGTGGCGTAGATCTCAGCCTCACAACTGGAGCCAAGAACTGAAGACGAGCGTGTAGAACGCCACGAAACTGAACCAGAGCCAAGGCTGAAGGTGTAACCCTGTGACGACCGCTGAGTAGCCAGGTCGTCAACCCAAGAAGCGTCTGAGTGCCCAGTGAGGACAACTGGGCTCGTCCCTCCAAGCACTAGCCCCATGCCTGATGTGCTGCACAAGTAGCGCAGTACCCTCTTAGCAGCAGCCATGTGCTCAGGTCGGTGTCGACCAGGAGCCACGTAGCGAGCGAGGAGACCAAGAGGGTACGCGAGGTCAGGTCGAGTGCAAGTCATCAGGTACATGAGGCAGCCGACTAGCTCTGGGTAAGGACCACTCGGCTCTACGGACTCGTCCGAAGGTGGAGCTGAGAGCGTGTGACCTGTAGCCAGAGGAGTGGCCTGTGCTGAAGACCAGGTGAAGCCGAAGCGCTGAAGGACCTGCTGCACCATGTGTGACTGAGTCAAGGTGATGGTGCGGCGTGCTCTGTCCCGGGTGATCTGCAAGCCAAGGTAGCTGCGCAGCTCACCCAAGTCAGTGCACGTGTGTCTCTTCTGTAGCTCCGACTTCACGTGGGCGAGAGCCTCAGTGTCAGCAGTGGCAAAAACCAAGTCGTCGACGTACACGAGGATGTAGAACGGCGGCAGTGAAGTGTCTGTGCGCAGAAACAGCGACGGGTCAGCAGTAGAAGGCGCAAACCCAAGAGCCGCAAGTGTCGTCCTCAGTGTGTCGTGCCACTCACGTGGCGCCTGGCGGAGACCGTAGACCGGCCGTCGGAGGCTCCACTGGGTGCCAGGAGGGAACGACCCAGTGAAGCCCGGGGGGCGGCGCAGCCAGATCTCCTCGTGCAGGCTGCCCTGTAAGAAAGCAGTGCTGAAGTCAAGAGAGTGAAGCTCGTAGTCACGGTGAGCAGCAACGTGCAGCAGCACCCGAAGAGTGGTCATCTTCGGGGTGGGGGAGAAGGTCTGGAAGAAGTCAACTCCCTCTCGCTGACTGAAGCCTCGAGCCACGTAGCGCGCCTTGAAGACAGGAGGAGAACCCGGTGGCCGCTTCACCCTAAAAATCCACATGCCACTGACGATGTTCGCCCCAGGTGGGGGAACCTCGTCGACATAGGTGCCTGTGGACTTCCAGGAAGCCATCTCTGCGTCCATGGCTGCCTGCCACTGAGAGGAGTAGGGACTCTCTATCGCCTCTGCGTAAGAGCGCGGAGTCGGGATGTCTGGTGCATCCGGGTCTCCCTCAGGGGCAAGTAGCGAGGACACAAGATGAGGTAAAGCAGCAGCAAGACACTGGAACTCCTCCTGCCTGTCCTCAAGGACGTCCGTGCTAAGAGCACACTCACCCCCGACGGACGGAGGACAGACAGACGCAGACTCAGTAACAAGACCGGCGGCGTAGTCTAGACGACAGGCAGCAGCAAAGTCAACAAGCTCAGCGACAAGAGCAGACGCAGCAGTAGACTCAAACGACGGGTCAGTGACAACAGTGGCTAGCAGACGCGTGACAGTAGGGTGCTCAGCACGAAACCGGTCAGACTCAGGGTCTGGAACGTCAGGTAGAGAGGACGCAGGAGGAGACGGAAGAGGAACAGGCTGCAGAGCAGAGGAAGGACGACGAACTACGAGGTGTGTGCTGGGGACAGCCTGCTGACGCGAACGAGGAACACGACGACCGGGACGAGCAGGCGAGACAGGACGCGACACAGGCTCACGACGCTCAGCAGGACTACCAGTCTGCTCAGTGTAAGGAGAAGGAGCAGGCAGCGGTGAGCCAGGCTGTAACGGAAGACCAGTAGACGACGGGAGAGTAAGAACCTGACGAAGAACAGAGTCAGACGGCGGCAGAGACGACGGAGACGGCGGAGCGAAGAACAGTCGTGTCGGCGCAGCTGCATCAGTACCGGCAGCTCCAGCAGCTCTAGTACCCCCAGCAGCTCCAGTACCTCCAGCAGCTCCAGAACCTCCAGCAGCTCCAGAAGCTCCAGTCCCAGAGTCGTCACCTCCAGTCCCAGTGTCTCCAGCCCCTGTGTCTCCAGCAGTAGCACCCCCAGAACCAGCACCCCCAGTCCCAGGGTCTCCAGCCTCAGTGTCACCAGCAGCAGCACCCCCAGAGCCAGCACCTCCAGTCCCAGGGTCTCCAGCCTCAGTGTCTCTAGCACGAGCACCTCCAGAACCAGCGACTCCAGCACCTCCAGTAGACAAAGGTCCAGCACCACTCCTAGCTCCAGCAGCGCGACGCTGACGGTGACCGTACCAGTCCTGGAGCTGCTGTGGGGTGAGAGGCACACGTGGACGAAGGCGGCTACTCCAAGGAGACCGCGCAACAGCAGACTCAGAACCCTCAGCGCCAGCACCCCCAGCTGCTCCAGAACCTCCAGCGCCAGCACCCCCAGGCTCCTCACGCGTAGGCTCAGTACCCGCAGACTCGGCACCCGCAAGCTCAGCACCTCCAGGCTCCTCACGCGCAGGCACAGCACCCTCAGACTCGACACCCCCAAGCTCAGCACCGCCAGGCTCCTCACGCACAGGCACGGCATCCCCAGACTCCGCACCCCCAGGCTCAGCACCTCTAGGCGCCTCTCGCTCAGGCTCCGCACCCCCAGGCTCAGCACCCCCAGAGACAGCACCCCGAGCAGGACCACCTCCAGCAGGACCTGAGTCACCAGTGACCTCAACAGGCGCAGGTACCGGAGGGTCTACCTGAGAAACACCTGAAGGAGCAGGACCTGGCGCGGGGAGGGGGTCTACCTGGGGAGGACCTGGAGCGAGAAAGAGCGGCGGGGGGGGGCGAGAGACAGTGCGGTAGGGAAAGAGACGGTAGAAGGGAACAGACTCGTCAAAGGTGACGTCCTGAGACGCAAAGACACGGCGCGAGGTGGGGTCGTAAAACTGCCAGCCAGGCGCGTCAGGAGGAAAACCAAGGAAGACGCAGGGAATGGCGCGAGCAGAGAGCTTGTCCGCGGTGAGATCGCGGACAAAGGCACGAGCACCCCAGACCCGGAAACGCGACGCATCGCCAACCTCCCCCGTCCACAGCAGTGTGGGCGAGGTCTCCGGCAAGGAGACACGGGGCCAGAGGTTGAGCTGATGCGCGGCGTACCGGACCGCGAACGGCCACAGAAAATGGGGAGCCGCCGCATGGATCATGGAGGTACGAGCGACCTCCATGACTAAGCCAATGCGGCGCTCAGCAACCCCATTCTGCTGCGGAGAGGCCGGAAGCGTGAACGACTGGGTGATGCCGTGCTCCGCACAGAAGGCTGCCAAGAGGTCAGAGGAGAACTCACCACCTCTGTCAGAGTGCAGACGCAGGACAGGAAAGTCCCGCTCGAACCGCTCGCGGAGCTGGAGACGCACAGCGCGGATCCAGGGGATCAAAACAGCAGGGACGTCTCCCTTGCTGCGCAAGGGGAAGACCGTGGTGTAACGCGTGAAGTCGTCGACAACCAGCAGAAAGTACCGCTCACGGCCCTGTCCCTGGACGCGGGCTGGGCCCCACACGTCCAGGTGAAGCGTCTGCAGGGGAGCCTCTGTGGGAGGAAACGAGGAGGAGTGAGGAGCGGCGCGCTGCCGCCCCTCGACGCAGGGAATGCAGGGCGGCGCAGGCGAGGGAGGGAGGGCAGGCAGAGACCTGGGAAGCCCAGAGACCAGAGAGCGAGAGTGCATGCTACGAAGGCGAGGCAGGGAGGGGTGACCAAGGCGGTGGTGCCACAGGAGCGTGTCGTGCGACAGGCGGCGGCACTCACACTGGGTAGCTACCTGAGCAGACGCGTACAGCTGTGGAGACAAAGGAGCGGAGCGTGAAACAGTGGTGAGGGTGTACAGACTGGACCCCGGCTCACGAGTGAACGTGGCCAGGTGGCGGCCAGTCTTGGAGCACGTACAGATCGCCACACGCTGCCCTCCAGGAGTCCAGGTGTCAACCCAGTGATCCTGGAGGACGGCGTTGCTCACCAGGTTCGTAGAGAACGAGGGAACGAGGAGACCTGACAGCTCACCAGACGGGACCGCCGGGCACGGGAGCACAGTCGTGCCGCGTGCAAGCACTGGGCCCCCAGAGGGGTCAGCCAGGGAGACAGGGACAGGTGCAGGGAGCGGAGTGACGGTGGTGCTATCACGAAAGAAACAGCGGGAAGCACCAGAGTCAAGTGTAAACGTGTGCAAGGCCTGAGCCGACTCAGTACCAAGGGGAGCAGACTCACTAGCACCTAGGGCTGCAGTCCTTATACCGGGGTCAGGCGGCACACACAAGTAGCAGTCACCCTCAGCACTAACAGTCAATGCATACATGGCAGCAAGAATAACATCATAGTCCAGATCAAAGATAGGCACATCACGCCTAAGCAGCTCTGCCCAGTTGGGGAACTCAGTAGCATCAGGATACTTAGTACGCCAGGCGTCACTAAGCCTAGCAAAACAACGATACTCAGTGTGAAAACCGTTGCAGGGGCGACCCTTGCGGGGGCCAGTACGAATGACATAGGGGCAGCGGTCAGAACCCCGAGACGCCCCACGCCCAGCATACCAGTCATTGAGCTGCTGGGAGGTGAGGGGAGGAAGCTGCTGCTGCTGCTGTGGCTGTTGCTGCTGCTGCTGCTGCTGGCCACCCTTCTGGCCAGATCCACCCCCACTCCCACCTCCACCGCCACTGCCGCTGCCTCCTCCCCCACCACCGCCGCCGCCGCCTCCACCGCTCCCGGTCCTGCCGCCACCCCACCCACCGCCTCCACCCCCACGGCCACCCCCACCACCTCCACCACCCCCGCCGCCTCCACCACCGCTCCCTCCACCGCCACCTCCGCCACCCCTGCCACCCTTGCCGCCCCTGCCACCACCACGCTTCCCACCAGGAGCGGAAGCCGCTGCGACCTTCTCCGCACCGAGGAAGTCGACAGCAGTAGCAGCAGAGGCGTAGGAGGGGTCAAGAGGGGAGGGGGAGCACCCCTCAAAGAGGGGAGTGCGGGGAGTGCCACGAGCAGCACCGACAGCGAGGATGTTCTTCTCTGCTGCGACCAGCTGCTGCTCGAAGTCGTCCAGAGTGATAGTTGGAGGATCCTTGGCAAGGAAGTAATCCCTGACAGAGCGAAGAGTGTCAGGGAGGCGGGTGACGAGGATGTAGAGGGTGAAGTACAGCGGGGGGGTGTTCGTGGCGAGGAACTCTTTAATAAGAGCGGCTCGAAAGCGGGCGTCACTAGCGCGGAGGTGAGTGATAAGGTCGGCAGCAGTGTGAAACGAGGCTAAGTCTGGGAACAGGTAAGGCAGGATGAGACTACCAACGGTGGCTGTGGTCGGGGCGGAATAGCGGGCAACGACAGCATCATACAGCGTCTTAGCAGTCTTAAGCTGGTTGAAATGCGCGCGCTCAGAGATCGGTAGGTGATTGCGAATAACAAGGCGCGCGACAGCATCGCGGAGCTCCCACTGTGCTCGTTCAGGGGCAGGAGCAGTCTCAGCAGGAGTAGGGACAGTGCCGGTCACATAGGCTAGCAGGGACACTCCGTCTGCGACGTCAGTCATAAGGTAAAGGCGCAGGTCACTAAGCCAGGTGTCAAACTCGATGGGGCGGCCGTCAGGCTCAAAGGCGAGAACAGTAAGGGTCGCCATGGTTGTAGCGCAGGCAAAAGTAGCAGGCTCAGGCAGCAGGCTCAGGCAGCAGGCTCAGGTAGCAGGCTCAGGCAGCAGGCTCAGGCAGCAGGCTCAGGCAGCAGGCTCAGGCAGCAGGCTCAGGCAGCAGGCAAAGACTGCAGGTTCAGGCAGCAGGCTCAGGCAGCAGGCAACTGTAGCAGGTAAGGAAGCACGCAGTTCTGTGACAGGCCGCGCGTAAGGCAGGTAAGCGCACGACTCACGGGCGGCTAAGCGCTCAGGTCGAGGCAGTGGCGCACAGGCAGGGCAGGGCACGCGCTGCTGCGGGCTGCGCGCGGCAGCGGGCTGCGCGCGGCTGCGGGCTGTGCGTGGCAGCTGGCTGTGCGCGGCGACGGGCTGCGTGCGGCTGCGGGCTGCGCGCGGCGACGGGCTGCGCGTGGCTGCGGGCTGCGCGTGGCTACTGGCTGCACGCGGCGGCGGGTCGCGCGTGGCGGCGGGCTGCGCGCGGTGACGAGCTGCGCGCGACAGCAGCGAGCACGCGGGCGGCTAAGGCAGCGGGGCGCGCTAAAAAAAAAATGCACGCGCGCATGCAGCCGAGGCGCGCGCGGGCAGCAGGCAAGGTAGGCACGTAGGTATAGCTGTAGGGAAAGTAACTCATGAGTAGGTGGGCCCCAATCTTAGGTCCTTAGGACCATTGCTCTAGATGCCATGTTGAGATAGCTAGGCAAGGTGAAGTTGACTATCGAGAGAAATTTTACAAGTAGGAAAACCCTAAGGGGTTATCCCCTATAACATCTACCCCACTACAGCCTACCAATATGTATCACACATATATATCATTTGACACACCGCATGCAGTCTCCGGCCGAAATACATTCTAAGGAGCAACATCCCTAAACATATTCCTTAGCAACCTTGGCTTCCTGCTTCTACTGCCTACCCACATGCCTCCTTTGCATCGCAACTGCAACTCTGCTCTATGCTGCCTATACCTCCTCCACCCTGTTTATGCCTGGCCACCTCAGCAGCCACACCACTACGTGTCCATGAGCCATGGCTTGCCTCCCCCACCCCACATGCTTGTGACTGCAATGGTTGCAGAGCAGGTGCACACCACAGCCGCTCCATGTCTGCCCTCCACACGCTGTGTGCTCGTGCCGCCAGCACACCCATGTGCCCCCCATCCCTCCATCTCTTCCTACTGCTCCACCCATTGAGGGCCATGTGCCCGCCTCACACTCCTCCCTCCTCTTCTTCCCTCCCCCCATGCGTGCACCAAAGGCATCCCTCGCGCCCCACCATGGGCTGCAGTGACGGGCACAACGCACACACACATGCACTCACACTCGCACTCTCACTCTCACTCGCACTCACACTCTCACTAAGAGCACCGACCGGCATGCCAGTGCCAGGGGGCTCGGGGGAGCATCCCAGCCACGCGTCCGCGAGAGCCTCTGAGGCATGCTCTCCTTCCCATGCTCTGCACACCCCACCCGCGCCTGTAGCAGCAGCTGCGCCTGTGTCTCGTGGCGTGCTGATTGGCTCGTCCAGCACGTCACTGCCGTTGGTGCGCTCACTGCGCGCCAGCACCACCGCATCTAGCGCCTCCACCCACCCCTCTGCACGCCCGCTGCCGTCCCCCTCTCCGCCCTGCACAGCTGTCACCGCCCCACACGCCCGCCTAGGCCATGCCCGCCGCTCCGTGCTGCATTCCTCCGCCTGCCCCACCTGCGCAGCCCTCCGCTCCGCCAGCTGCTGCAGCACCCCCGCGATTGTTCCCGCGCCACCCCTTTCTGCTGCGCCCATCCCCGCTAATCTGGGATGCGCACTGCGATGTGCGCGCGCTATCTGCGCCAAGCAGTGGGGAAAAGCTGCAAGTGGCGGGGGGAACTGAGGCAGGGGAATGGGGGGTCCGACGGCCTGCTGTGGAACGGCGGAGCAGGTGGCGTGGCGCGGGTATTCGCTGTCGAGGGCAGAGCAGGGGAGCGGATCCGATGGTTCCGATGACTCCGCGCGCAGCGCTGGCGCCACTGGCGCCACTCCCGCCGTTCCCTCGCTTTCCCACCGCCGCTTCTGGAATCCTGGAAGCGCCTCGACCACCCCCGGCTGCGCTACGCCCCTGCTTGCCCAGCCGCGGCTAGCAGGCTGAAGGGAGGAGGCGGAAGGGAAGGGAAACACGACGAGGGCGTGTGGGAGGGGAGGGCTGGCAAGGTGGCAGGGGGTGGCCAGGGGCTCGCGGGCGATCTGCATGGCATCCAGCGCCGCAGCTGCGGGGGAGTCCGACTCGGCCGAGTCGGCCGTTGGAAGGCCGTCCGCGCGACGAGGCAAAGCACGCCTGCGCGCAGCACTGGCTGAGCCGCTCACCACCTGCTGCGCGGCAGAGGCGGAACCACGTGCGGCCACTGAGTCGATCCGCGCACGCTCCCCCTTCAAGTCGGCCATGCAAGTCCTGCGGTTCAAGTAGTTGGCGGAGCTGGTTCCCGCGCGCGCCGCAGTGTCGCAGTGAATCTGCGCGACGCTTAGTGTTCCTGCGGGGTTCTTCGAGCGAATAAGTCGCGTCAGCGCGTCCGCCACGGTTCCGTCGTTCGCGAGCGCTCGCGTCGCGGAAGGGCTCGCGGAGTCCTCGCATCGTGTCAGCCTCCTCCGCTTCGTAGCGGGTGCCGCGGTCGCTAGTAACGAGCCCCGCAAGCTCCGCGCGGCGGCGGCGGAGCTCGGAGCTCCGCCAGCGAGCGGAGCTGGAGGGCTGCGCTCATGATGGCTGGCGCGGCCTGGCGGGCACTTGGAGGCGCGCTTGAACCTGAAATGCGAGAGGCGGGTGGGCCCCTGACACATGACGGCGGTTGCTGAAACGTAACCGTGTCGCAATGTCGCGCACGTGCGAAACGATTTGTGTCGTGCAATATGGCGAGATGCAGTGCTAGAGTGGCGGTTGGATGAACAAAGCGGAGCCTCACGGAGAAGCATGTTGCCAGTAGATGCTGAATGACACGTAATTGCTAGACCAGACCAGACACGCTGAAATGGTTGATCGATTGGGTTCTATCTGGTGCTGGGGCAGGCAGGAGGAGAGGTGGGGGAGGGAAGGACTGAGGAGGGTGGGGGGTGGGGTAGATATGTCCGAATGAGTCGCGGGGGGGGGAATGGGTTGGGGGTGTGTGCGGGCGGGTCGGGGGGTGGGTGAAGTGGGGGTGAGCGCGCGAACGAGATACTGTAGATTGCCGCCGAGACGAGGTGGAATTTGCCTGACTTGCCTCGCTGGCACTACGCCCCGCCAAATTGCTTTCGACAGGCGTGCTGCATTGGACAGTCGTGTGCGAAGTCAGCAAAGCTCGAGCAAATCACGGTGTTCACAACGCAGGCGCCTCGCAAGCAGGTCACCCACACCATCATATAATTATGTTACGTGTGTAATGAATGTGCTAATTAAGATGGCACTAAATAGTCAAAGAAATACATGTGGGACCGCATGTGGTACGCCACTACGGTACCATGACTACTAAGGTGAGTATGAGGCATGGGAATTCTATGCGCTAACTGTGGCATGCTGTGGGGCAGTGGGGGGACGAGTGGGAAGATGAGCGAGAAGAGAAAAGAAGGGGTTGCAATTATTAGCACGGGCTGGATTGAAGGTTGGGTGCGTGGATAGTGACAGGGGTGAGAGTGAAGCATGGGCTGTCAGAATGTGATGTTTGTGTAGCCTGCAGTGGGGTACTCTATAGCGAGTACAGCTTGAATTAGGGTTTGCTATATGTACTCAACTGCCTGCTAGTGAAAACCCCTCTTTCCTGTTTCTAGCTTTCTCGCCACTATCTTGACATGCTATCAGAACAGGTCGACCCTCCTGGGTCGATCCTGTGGGTGGTCCCATCCAATGCTTCCGTTGCTGTCCTGCCTATCACACGCCCTGGGCGTGCAATGTTTCCTGTTTGCCGCGCGCTCAGGGCGCGCGTCGTTTTTTCTTCCCGCCGCGCCCTCGGGGCGCGCGGCGGTTTCCTCCCCCGTCGACCTGCGCGTCGCCCCCCGTCGCCCGTCGCGGAGCCCCCGGGGACCCGCGCGTCGCCCCCCGTCGCCCGACGCGGCCCGCGCGCGGCCCGTACGGGCTGCGCCAGGCCCGCGCGCGGTTCGTCCGGCCCGCGCCAAGCCCGTGCGCGGCCCGTACAGTCTGCCCGAGTACCGCATGCCGTCCCCCGAGCTTCTGATTGCGCCCCACCCCCGCTGCTGCCCGCGCTCCTGTGTTAGGGTTTGGGGGTGGAGAGTATGGGGGTGCCGGGTGTGTGAGCCGTCCCCTGCTCCTCCTCCTCCTCCGTCTCCCACTGTTGCAGCTACCGCTGAGGGGGGTGGATGTGTTGGAGCCGTCGGAGTGGTACGAGGGGGGTGGCGTGTGAGCGGTGCTAGAGGTTCAACAAGGCGTGTGTGAAAGGGGTGTGGGACAGTTGGGGGAGGTTGACCGGAGGTAGCCGTTGTGACGTCAGCAGCGCCAGTAGTCCGGGGGTTGAGTACTCCGGTAGCCCAGCGAGCCTGCTGCTGCTAGTCGCACGTGGGTCTGTTGCTCCTGCTGCTGCTTAGCGCGGAGCCAGTTACTCCTGTTTTCCGGAGGTTGAGTGCTCTGGTAGCCACCGTGCGCGCCGTTCCTGTTGCCCGTGTGTCTGCGGCTTCACCCGACGCCTCCTATCTCCACTCCTCTCACAGTCCCTCCTCCTCCTCATTTGCCTTAGTGACTGCCTCTAGCTTTGGTTATATTTGTGAACCTACTGGTCTGCCTGCGTGCTGTGCTGATTTTCCCCCTCTTTGACTATGGGGGTGTGTCAGAATGTGATGTTTGTCTAGCCTGTAGTGGGGTACTCTATAGCGAGTACAGCCCGAATTAGGGTTTGCTATATGTACTCAACTGCCTGCTAGTGAAAACCCCTCTTTCCTGTTTCTAGCTTTCTCGCTACTATCTTGACATGGGCCTTCTATGCACTGACCGTGGCTTGGTGAGAGGGAACGTGGAAAGGGGAGAGTGGAAGAAGGGGAATGATTGCAAGAATCAAAGAGGCAAGGGTAAAGTGGAGGTTGGTGCCAGCGTGCATGTTATATTTGTATATGTTATTGTAGGCCAGGTTGAGGTGCCCTATAGAGGGTACATGATTACATATGCCCCTGGGAATGTTTTCATTCTACTCATTCTATTCCTTCATTAACGTGGTTACAAAGAGTATAGTCTGCGTGCAGCATGTGCGGTAGGGCGCGCAGCAGGCATGGTCGGGCGCGCAGCAGACGCAACAAGCACGACGGCAGTAGGCACTGGCGACGTCAGCTAGGAGGCGCGGGCGCAGCAGGAGCAGGCAGCGACAGCTTGAGCGTGGCAGGCTTACGGCAACGCGGCTTACTGGGCGGCGTGGCAGTGGGCTGACAGGGGAGCGGGGCAGCTGCGGTGGGGCGTGGAGGTGCGCCTCATATGACGGCCCCTCCGTTGCAGTTGCTGCCGCAATCTCTGCCGTTACCGGCGTCATTCTTACAGCCGTGGCAGCACTCGCCGACGCCGCAACACCGCTCGCCGCTGCAAGATCGGTCTCTCTGGATTCTTAGGTGGACAGGAGGTAACTGTTTTGGGGAAGCCGTAGTAGCAGCAGCCGTCGCAGCAACTGCAGCAGCCATCATCACTGCCTTGTGTCGATCATCTGCTCCTTCTTCACCATCTTTCCCCGTCGACGGTCCCATGCTTCTTTCTCCCGTCTTGTCTCATGCTCGTCTTCGTCCTCGTTCAAAACTGTCTCCTCCTTTGTCTCCTGGCCAGTCTCCGACCTCCCGCACTATGTTTATCGTCCCTCTCGTGCTTGATCTGTACCTTTACTTCTCGATATCCTCCATATGCTCATCTGTCGCCGTTCCCCTCATGTTCCACCACCTCACGGACCTCCATCACCTCCTCTGTCGTCCCATGCTATTTCGTCTCCATCATTTTCTAACTTCCTCCGTACTCCTCTTCCTGCAACCCCCCGTGTCTTTTCCTCCCTTGTCACCGAGTTTAGGGTTCGTTTTCAATCTATCTCTGATCTTGTCGCTATTGTCGTTAACTTTGCCCCCACCTTGATTATGCCATTCAGTTCGTCTTTGCTCCTGTCCGTCCTTAGTCCGTTGGGGGTGCTCATGTTGAAGGAATGGGCCCCGCCCTCGCATGGGCGAAGCTGACTTCATGGTCGCGTGTGCGGGAGGTAGGGCCAACCTTCTGGAGATGTACAAGGGTTTCCTGCACACGAGTGTACAAGGGTTTCCTGCACACGAGTGTACGAGAGTAACTAAAGCATCCGCGAGTGCAACACAGACATCCCGTGCATATGTACAAGTGGCGCAGCTGGTGCAGAGGTTCCTGGGTGTTCATCTGCGCAGAGTCGCCTCTGACCCTACGCAACCTTGGGAATGCACAGGCGAATTTTGGCCATATTTTGAATGTGCCCTAATTTCGACCAATGAGGAGCTGGAATTTCGACATGTTGACCGATGTGTTTGACGAAGGTGGTCGACGAAGGTCATCGACCCGCGACGATGAAGGTCGACGACCCGCGACGACGAGGGTCGTTGTATGATGACGAAGGTCATCACCCTGCAAGGTTGTCAGGGACTCTACCTGGTTGACCAAGTTACCTACTCGACGAAGTTATGCGAAGGTGCGCGAACGTCGTCGGAGCTGTTGTGGCGAAGTCGGCCGACGTGGCAGCTCGTGGTCGACGTGGCTCACCAGGTGCAACCGTCAGCATGTGGCTGACAGCATGCGCAATGTGCGTGATAGTGCATGTCTTACATAACTGTCTACAAACGCCTGCGAAGTAGGTTCTTGCACATGCGCTTACAATCATTTGCGGGTGCAGTGTTGGCAAGGTGCGCAGATGCTGCGTCGGCAAGCTGCGCGGGTGCAGCATTGGCAGGCCACCATGCTGCAGTGTTGCCAAGTCGCACACAAGCTGCGTTGGCGGGCTGCAGACTTGCTACGTTGGCAGGTCGACAACTTTGTCGTACTGGCGATCGACCTGCCTGAGTGCAACCTTGCATGCGATGTAGTCAATCTTTGCCATTGCCTCTTTTATTCTTAACTTTTCTTAGTGAAACTTTTGTTGTTTTGCGCTGTGAACGCACAAGCGCTAGAGAACACAAACAGAGCTACGATCACTCTGACAACTCGTGCCAACCTCGTAGCTCTCACCGTTGTAGAGTAGATCTCCTCAGCTCATGCCTGTGGAATGACATCCTAGAAAACATGGATTTTGATCTAGCTTTCCTTGTGGCCGCTGCTCATCATCTCTGTACCGTGCTTCTAGGCCCTGCGGGTGACCGAGACGCTCTTGACACCCCAACCTCTCGTACCTATGCTGAGGCAATCTTACAACACTGGGCTTATCAGCGATAGCAACCATTGACGTATAGATGATACGTTGGAGGTTCACAGACACCTACGTCACTAGAGGCTTTAGCCAGCAAGAGGGAGTGGAATTCACTTGAACCTTTTTTCCGACCCGAAAATAACAATCCTTCGGGTATTATTGCATATCGCGGCATAGCAGAATTACGAGCTTCACTCACTTGACTTCTCGACTGATTTCTTCCAGGGCAACATGCAAGAGCAGACCTTCCTCCGCCGTCCACATAGCTTCACTGGATCCTTTACTTCTGGGACCTAGTGGAGCTTTCCGCAGCCTATTTATGGTCTGTGTGAGGCGCCTCGTGAGCTTTCCGTCCTCTGCTGGCACATCTCTCTTCGTTCGCTCCTACTCAACTCATTTCTATGCTGACGACTTGGTCTTTGTTACTCCAGATATAGTCGCATTGGCCTCGGTAGTTGCTCGAGAAACATGCTTGCATTGACCTAGTGGGTTGCATGGTTATCTTGGCCTGCATATAATTAGGGGTTGAGCAATGTGTACCATCACTCTGACTTAGTCATATATGGTGCAGCAGATCCTCCAGCGCTTCAGCCTTCCATCTCTTCTGCCTAGTCTACTATTCTGACGTTGGTCATACACTCTCGGGCTCTTTCTACAGGCATGGTTGAGCCAAATGGCCAGTGAATAGATATTGTTGGGTGCCTCATGTACTTGATGAATTGTACTCGCCCAAACCTCGCATAACCTCTCAATATCCTTGCTCACTTCGATGCAAATAGGATACACTGAGAGCGTATTCATATATATGAGATTGGTGGGGATTCAGATTTATGACGAGGAACAAGCTTTCGTGCGGTGAGAGTGGTGATGAGAGAGGAGGAAAAGGAGGCGGTGTAGGAGAATTAAAGAGAGAGAGAGAGAGAGAGAGAGAGAGAGAGAGAGAGAGAGAGAGAGAGAGAGAGAGAGAGAGAGAGAGAGAGAGAGAGAGAGAGAGAGAGAGAGAGAGACTGGTTGCGAGTGAGAGAGTGTGCGAAGGTGGAGAAAGGAGGGGAGGGGGAAGAGGGATTTTTGCTGGTTGACTTGATGTATGAAGGGTGAGGGGGCAAATGAAGAGAGTGAGTGGAGGCGCAAGAGGAGTGGAAAATGAGCTTCCTCGCATGTCGAGTTTAGGAAAATTTTTGGGCATGGGAGGTAGCCTCCGATGGTGAGGTCTTCAACCCAAGCCAGTCATTTTGAAAGTATGCGTTGTATGAGATGTGGAAGTGAACATAGTAAGCAATATAGTATAGCTACCTACGTTGTACCTATTTGGATTCTGCAGCTGTGCTTATCCACGAAGTCACCTTATCTGGGAGGTGCACCTAGCTCCACATTTGCGCTCCCGCTTGCGTAGCTTGTTGAGGTCAAGGTTGCCGAAGCTCTTAGGCTCGTTCGGTAAGTGTCAAGACAGTCTAAACGGCCCACAAAAATGCAGTAAATTCGTACCTTCCATCGAATGGCGATCACAGCAACACCACCCTACACCGTACCAAGGAGGCAAGCTTTTGCGTTTCGGTGTCAACCACAAGCGCAAATCCAACCACAATTGCGCCTCGACATATGCGATAGTCGATCACATACGCGACGCCTGCGACAATCATGGATGGGGCGACGATTAGGTGAACGTCGCGCGACAAATGGTTCGCCTCAGCGGAGCACCCCCCGAAGGTCGTGATGGGATGTGCTTCGCAAAGCAAAGCTGCTCTTGCGTGCATGCGTCACGTTCGGTGGCGCATTGACGGCACCGCGCAAAGGGTAGCCAAAGCTGTCTTGGCTCGCTCTATTTATTCTGCACGTCCTCCACTACCACTCTCAATCTAACCATCTCCCACATCCATTCGGTGCCCAGCAGAGCAGTAACTGCTGGCTGACGTTCTCGTGTTTCAAGTTCGGAATTCCCACGCGAGTGCAGTTTACTTTCTTCACCGTGACTGGTAGTCATGGCTTCGCTCCTCCGACTGGCGGTCATATTGCTGACCGTAGCCAGCGCGTCTCTCCTTCACACGACTACGGCGGACCTCCTGCTGAGGCCAGAGCGCGTGCCTCGCGCGCAGTTCCGCATTCGCTGCAACTTCAGCCACGCGCTGAGGGACGACCCCATCGTCTTCCCTGGGCAGCCCGGGAAGTCCCACCTGCACGACTTCCTCGGCAGCACGATCACCAAAGCCGACACCACCGATGGTCAGTGCTACTGCCAATGATACACATTGCTGTGTCCGCCTTTTCAACAGTCGTGCGGTGCATTTTGCGACTAAAAGCCACCATCCAACACGAGCGTAATATTCAACCCCCTCTTGACCGTTTCTTTCCTCCCATTGTGCCATGTGACACGCGGTGCGACGCGTGACATGCGACAGCCAGGAAGTTGGTGGGCAGCAAGACAACGTGCGGGCTGAAGGCGGACTCAGCGGCGTACTGGTTCCCGTCCATGTTCATGCGCACCAACCAGAAGGACGCCAAGGGCCAGTACATCTACAAGCACGTAAGCTCACGCGCCGCTCAATACGTCACACGCTTAGGGGCGCAATAAAATACGAAGTCGAAGGCCGAAACGAAACGCAAATCGATGAAAGGTCATAATTTGTTCTCGATGCCCTTTCGCTCTTCTTTCTTTTGTGCATGGACCCCTTTTTTTGTTTTTTTCGTCCTCTACTCCCCCTTTCTCAACCCCCTGTGCAACAGTTAAAGCCCAACTGGACGCTCTTCTATTACCGCACGTCCGTCAAGAATCCGGAAACCATCCAGCCCTTCCCGCGGGGCTTCCGCATGATCACAGGCAACCCGTTCGCAGGCAATGTGCGTTCCGCTCATAATTTCCATCTGCAATGGTTTTCCGAGATTTGCATTTCTATTTTTGTTATCCTTATGTTTTCTCTAAGCACACATATTCCGTTCTCTCCCCTGCATGTCATTCCCGTCTTCTCATTCTGATGAATCCAATGTTACAGAAGCAAGCCAACGACATGGCGAATGTGGAATGGTGGTGCGGCGCGCGCGGTAAGCACGGTAACGACTTCCCGCACCAGAAGTGCCCTGCGGGTGACCAGCTGATCGGCAAGATCAACTTCCCCGTCTGCTGGGACGGCAAGAACATCGACAGCCCGGATCACCGCAGCCACGTGGTCCACATCCCGCTCAACACCACGTGCCCGTCGTCGCACCCCGTGCCGCTGCCGCGCATCAGCATCAAAGTGTACTACCCCGTCGACACGGACCTCGACCTCACGTGGCCCGAGAACGGCGTCAAGGGCAACCCCGCTGTGTTCCTCTCCACCATACAGAGCGGCGGCACGGGCAGCCCTTTCGAGTATCACAGCGACTTTATCAACGGGTGGGACCAGAAGGTGCTTGGCCGACTCGTGAGGAAGTGCATCAACCGCAACAAAAAGTGTCTCGTGCAGGAAGACAACAAGGTGTAGCCCGCAGGAAAGCTGGGCGGAGACACGTAAATGTGAAACGAGTAGTAGGTTAGTTGAGTTGCAATTTTCATTACCGAGTGCTGTCGTATTTCGAGGGGAGATGCTGTTTGTCCACGAGGAAGTGGGCCATGTTTCGTCAAATTGAGTTCGTGATTGATTTGGGAGGGGTCGTGTAGGAGACGGTTTGAGGGGTATTGGCAGGGCCTGGAGGAATAGCTAGGGAGGACACTCATGTGCAGCTCTGCTCACCTCGATGCAGTCTGGCGTGAGCCATCTGGCTTGTGACCCAGGTTTCCTTTAGTATTTTCTTCGTTTGTAAAAGTTCGCGATCCATATGCAAGGTAACATTTACGTGAATTACAAATGAAGTGTGTATCAGAACCGCCTTGGATAGGTTTTTCTGTGACTGTCATGCCACGTCAATCACAACACTTTCCTCGCTGGATTAGCACTTTAGATTCGCCGTCGCAACGCCGATAACTCGCATCGCGCATGGCTGCGCACCATCCTCAGCGGAATCATGCAAAGCGGTCTTCCCCCTTTTGGGTTCCGCCAGAGCGGAAAAAAGCCTCCACACTGTGGAACCACTCGCGGCATTCCGTTCCGCCCCCCATTTTTCCAGGGCGCAGTCCAAATCCAGGCATTCCAACGTGATTCACTCTCCCCCTCGCTTCAAATCCTAACTCCAACTTCTAGTCTGCCATTTTTCAATCCCGAGACCGATCGGATCTCGCCAGCCTTTCAGCTGCTCGAGCATTGCCGTTCCAATGGCGACTGCCACAATTAGTCCGCGCTTCGCGCACGCGTCAGCGGTCCTCGCGAGCAGGGCCACCGCTTCGCCGCAAACTGGCCTCAGAGCCTTGCCGTTCCTCGCGCGACCGCGGGATGCCACAAGGCGCCTCGTGCAATCACGTGGGGACACCCGATGTGCTGTTGCTGACGTGGCAAGAAGAGAGGATGAGCAGAGCAATGATCAGCTGGGCGGGGATCTGCCTCAGGTGCGCGCGGGAAACTATCGATAGCGCGCACGCCTGTAGTCACGTTAAAACAAATCACGGACATTCGTGCCACATCGCGAGGCGATTGGTCACATGTTCAGTGACACGTCACGAGGCCGGTTACGGCCGTACGATGCTAGAAGGAGACGCCCCTCTGTGCCATACCTTGACTTCAGCTTCGCGCCTTCGCTGCCTTCTTTCGCGCTAATTCCGCCCGTTTATCTCGTTTTGGAATGGAGTGGCTGCCGACTAAGAGGTCGGCGCGTGATTGGCTCCAAGCCTGCTTGCCCAGGAACTCGGCTCGAGGCTTCAAGGAAACGCCAGTGGCCTCGCTTACTCCGCTCTGCCGCCCCCCTCGCCGCTGCTTCGTGCGCGATCTCTCCCTCATGCGCAGGCGACCGATCAGTCAGCGCAGTTGGCGGCGGATCTGGCGGGGAACGGGTGGCGCAGCACGCGGCGCACGAAGCTGGTGTGCACCATCGGGCCGGCGTGCTGCGGCTTCGAGCAGATCGCGGCGCTCGCGGAGGGCGGCATGAACGTCGCGCGCATCAACATGTGCCACGGCACGCACGCGTGGCATCGGTAGGGGCCAGCATGTGCCAAGCGCGTGGCACCGGTAGGGGCTATGGCAGGGCCGAGGACTGAGTGGCATGGGTAGGACTCGGTGCTGGGTGGAGCGAGGCGTGCCCGCGGGCAAATGGCCCTCTGCAACAAGCGGGGCCTTCTCTCCCTCTCCGCGCGCTCGCGTCCTCCCTTCCCTTGTCGCCATGCTGCTCTGCCGCCCAGCACCTCCGCCCAGCACCTCCGCCCAGCACCTCCGCCCAGCACCTCCGCCCAGCACGTCCGCCCAGCACCTCCACCATGCATCTCGCCAATCCCAATGTTGCGTTCCATCATCCATACTCATCCACGCCCGTGCTGCCACATGCTCTCCCCCCTCCCCCCCGTGCATGCTTGGCAGGCAGGTGATTCACGACATCCGGCGGCTGAACAGGGAGCGCGGGTACAGCGTGGCCGTCATGATGTGTTTTGAGTCGACTCAAAACACGCCCGTGCTGCCGCATGGCCTCCCCTCCCCCCCATGCGTGCTGTGCGGAGCAGGCAGGTGATTCACGACATCCGGCGGCTGAACAGGGAGCGCGGGTACAGCGTGGCGGTGATGATGGACACGGAGGGCAGCGAGATCCACATGAGCGACCTCCAGGGCGCGCCCTCCGCTAAAGTCGCGGTCCGTCCCCCCCATGCATGCCGTGGCCTGGTGTTGCGTGTTGGCATGGCGTGGGGAGGATGACGCATGGATGGAGCCATGCGTGGGTGCAGGCAGGGGCGTGGAATGGGTGGGGCTGTTGGGAGGCTGGAGGGAGGTATGCTTGCTCGCAGGTCAACAGTCCCACAATCCCACCCTGCGGATTTCTCTTCCTCGCACTCCCCACTCCCTCTCACTTGCTCCCACCATGCCCGCGTCCCTCCCATCCCCACCCTCCCCCCTCTCCCCACCAGGAGGGCGACGTGTGGACGTTCACGGTGCGCAAGTTCCCAGAGGGCATGGCGCTGCCGCCCAACACCGTGCACGTCAACTACGATGGCTTCATCGACGGTGCGTGCCCGTGGGCTCACGGGCTCATGTCTTGCCTTGCTGATCTGGTGAGGGCGGTGCTAGTGTGTGGAGGACGTCTTCCTTTCTTCCTCCATCTTCGCTGCTTTGCGTTCCCACCTCCCCATTCTTCCCCAACCCACTCCCTTGCATCCTCCCCCCTCTCTCCCCCACCGCTCATCAGACGTGAGGGAGGGCGACGAGTTGGTGGTGGATGGGGGCATGGCGCGGCTGCAGGTGACGGCGCCCATGGGGCCTGATGTGTTGTGCTCTGTGCTGGTCCCTGGCCTCCCTGCTGCTGCACACGGCACGCACCCACTCTCCATTCTTCCCCATCCCCCTCACTTCCCCCTCCCTCCGTTTCCTCTCCTTCCAACATCAGATGTGAGGGAGGGCGACGAGTTGGTGGTGGATGGGGGCATGGCGCGGCTGCAGGTGACGGCGCGCATGGGGCCGGACGTGGTGTGCTCTGTGCTGGACCCGGGGCTGCTGCTGCCACGCGCCAACCTCACCATCTTCCGCACTGGCCAGCTCGTGCGCGCCACCAACACCATGCTGCCCACCATCTCCTCCAAGGTAACCCCCTTGCACCACTCTGCACCACTCTCTACCGACCTGCACCACTCTGCACCCACCGTACGCCATGACTTCATCACCTGACCATGCATCAACTCTCACCATCCGTCCCTGCTGCGTGCTCTACCCCTACCCACCCCGTGTGCGACGGCAGGACTGGATAGACATAGACTTCGGCATAGCTGAGGGGGTGGATTTCATCGCCATTTCCTTTGTGCGCTCCCCTGAAGTCATCACGCACCTCCGCAGCTACGTCAACGCGCGCTCGCCCTCGCGGTAAGTGCCGTGCCGTGGGTGTGGCGCAGGTGGGTGCTGCTGTCTCGAATTTGTTGCATCACAGTCACTCACCCGCACCTCTCTCATCCACCTCTGTGCCGCCTTCCCCCTGGGTACCTGCCACCGTTGACATCACAGCGTGGGCCTCCCCACCTCCTCCCTTCTTCTCTGAGCTTCTCCCATCACCCCACTCTTCCCCGTACTCCTCCCTCTCTCCCCCCAGCCCCATAGCGCTGGTAGCCAAGATAGAGAGTGTGGAGGCGGTGGGGCGGCTGGAGGAGATCATAGCGGCGTCGGACGGGGCGATGGTGGCGCGGGGCGACCTGGGCGCGCAGGTGCCGCTGGAGGACGTGCCGGGCGTGCAGCAGGACATGGTGGATATCTGCCGCGCGCTCAACAAGCCTGTCATTGTCGCGTCGCACCTTCTGGAATCCATGATAGAGTTCCCCATCCCCACCCGCGCTGAGGTGCGCCTTCCTGCCCACTGCTCGCTGCACATTGCGTGCAACCACCCTGCGATTTGTCATTCGCACAGCGAGTTGTGGCCCCGTGAATGCATGGCACTTGAGTGGTGCTCACTTGCAGCTCAGCATGCATCGTTGGCATTGTTGGAAGGGAAGACATCTCTACACTCCCTTCACCCACTAATTCTGTCTTCCCATCCACTCTCCTTCCTTCCTCTTCCCCCCCAATGCAGGTGGCGGACACAGCGGAGGCAGTGCACCAACAAGCGGACGCGCTGATGCTGTCAGGCGAGTCGGCCATGGGGCAGTTCCCCCTCAAGGCGTTCTCCTCCCTCCCCCTCCCCCCTCCCCCCTCCCCCTCCCCTTTCCCCTTCCCCTTCCCCCTCTCCCCCCGCCTGCAGGTGGCGGACACAGCGGAGGCGGTGCACCAGCAGGCGGACGCGCTGATGCTGTCAGGCGAGTCCGCAATGGGGCAGTTCCCTCTCTAGGCGCTCTCCTCCCTCCCCCTCCCCCCTCCCCCTCCCCCTTCCTCCTTCCCCCGCCCCCCGCCTGCAGGTGGCGGACACGGCAGAGGCAGTGCACCAGCAGGCGGACGCGCTGATGCTGTCAGGCGAGTCAGCCATGGGGCAGTTCCCTCTGAAAGCCCTGGACGTGCTGCGCGCGGTGGCGCTGCGCTTTGAGGCCATCGAGGAGGGGCACGGCGAGCACCAGGGCGCCCCAGGAGCAGCAGCCACGGACGGGCGCACCGCGGTGGAGCGCGTGGCGCTGCTGCCCGAGCTCTCACACAACCTCAGGGACCGCATGTCGGAGCAGATCTGCGCCGCTGCTGCTCAAATGGGTGCGTGCCGCCTTTGAGTCGACTCTAAAGTCACCGCTGCTGCCCGAGCTCTCGCACTTGCTGCGGGACCGCATGTCGGAGCAGATCTGCGCTGCTGCCGCCCAGATGGGTGCGTGCGCACTGCGTGATGGTCCTGTGCTGTGTGGCACCGAGCGCAGGGGGTGATTGGTGATTGGGGCGTGGAGGTGCATAGTTGGTGATTCCAGGCATGCAGTGCAACCCACGTCCATTCTACACGCCCTCCATCCCTGCCTCTCCTTCAATGCCCTCCTTTCCTCTCTCCCAACTACTGGTGCCCACCCTGTGCAGCCATGCGTCTGGGGGCAAAAGCAATAATCGCCTTCACCCAGAGGGGGTACATGGCGTCGTTGCTCTCCCGCTGCCGCCCCAACTGCCCCATCTTTGCCGTCACGCCCTCCCAGGTACTGCCCACCCCTGTTACCTATACAACTTATCTGTCCTAACAAGTTTCCCCTCACTGCTCGTTCGCATTCCAGGATCAACCCATTGATCCGCCACTCTCTCTCTCCCTGCCTCCTCCCTTCCCCCCCCCCCCCTGCAGGCGGTGAGGCAGCACATGAGTGTGTACTGGGGCCTCGTGCCCTTTCGCCTGGACCTGTCAGGCGACGCCGAGGGCAACATGAGGCGCGCCTTCGCCGTGCTCAAGGTGGGTGGGGCAGTGTTGCACGGCACACAGTGGCCAGTGTGACTGTCAGGGCTACACCATCCATGGAATCATGCTGCCTGCACGCCGCGAATCTGAAATCGTTGTCCCAAACGGATTGCAGGGATTGAGCCCAGCACCCACTCCTTGCTCCTTCCACTCCGCCCCTCTTTCTGCCTCGCACCTCCCTCCCCTCCTCCCTCTCCTCGCCTCTCCCTCTCACCGCACCACACCACTCCCCATCTCTGAACAGCTCCGCCGTCCCTCTTGTACAACCCCTCGTGTCCCCTCCACCCTGATCTCCCCCGTGCAGGCTCGGGGCCTGGCGGCGGAGGGGGATCTCATCATCGCCGTGTCTGACATGGCGGGCGCACACGAGGCCGTGGGGGCCAGGCAGAGCGTGCACGTCCGCAAGGTGCTGTGACGCGCTCAGGTGCTCTGACGCGCTGAGGTGCCGTGAGGTGCTGTCCTGTCCGGTGCTGTGATGTGTTGTGACGTGTTACGTGGTGCCGTGATGTGGCGCACAAGCGTGCCGGGCCAGAAGCTGCTATAAAGGGACACCTAAGCTGGGTGGGCATCCCTTCTTATGTGCTGAGTTGCATGCTGCATGCTGCAGCAGGGAGGGTAGCGAGTTGAAGGCAGCCGGCGTTGCTGTGTGCGGCTGCTTCACTTGGTTGCTCTCCTACTTCCACCACAAGCTGCTGTCGGCTCTAGGCTCACTACATAGGGCTGCAATATCTTCACGGCATGCTGGCCGTGCTATGTAACTTAAATAATGGTGACAAGTGACAGACAGTTGTTGTTTTGTTTGTATGTATACCGTATGCCATGATGCTTATAGCAGTACAAATCCGTTAAGTAAACACTGCTTCACTTTCAAGATCTGGTTCTCTCACTTGTGTCAACAGTAGTCGAAGACGTGCTACAGGGCAGAGGTTGTGTGAGTATGCTGCTCGTAACAGACGAGTTATGTTACATGATAGCGACCACAATGCCCACATTCCTTTCTCTGAAGCCACAGCCGTTGCTGTCATTGCAACTCATGGAGCCTTCAGTGTTGGAGCACAGACTGCTGTCTGTAATCTCAAACCACTGCTTCACAAAGCATACAGTACAGTATGATGGCGTGAAGTGAAGCACCTATTCCAGCCAGCGATCCGGTCCGAGCGTCTAGTTGACCTTGGGTTTGATCTTCCTCTTGCGCAGCAGAACGCACAGCAGCAGCAGCAGCAGCAGCGAGAGGCAGCAGAGCAGCGGCAGCAGCCCCCCTCGCCCCACCTGCAGGCGCCGCTGCTTGGTGCACCGCGCCGGGTGCAGCAGTGCCACCACCTCCCTCACCTCCCCCTCCCACCTGCATGTGTCGGGTGCCATGCGGGTGGTGTGGCACAGTGTGGTGTGGTGGGGTTACAGGAGAGAAAAAGGGTAACGATGATCCAGATTCCAAGCCCAGGCCGAGGAGGTGGGAACGGGCAAGGGGAGCGGAGCAACAGCACGCACATGACACACCACACACGCCAAGAACCACACACGCCAAGAACCACACACGCCAAGCCCCTCACCTCCCATCACGGCCCCATCACCCCAGCACCGCACCTTGCAGCGGCGCTCTCAATGCCTGGCAGCAGCTGCAGCGCGCCCCCATAGTCCATGGCCTCCACTGCTGCTGCCACTCGCCGCCACCCCTCCACCACCGCATTGTACTGCCCCGCTAGCTGCCTCTCCCTCCGCTTGAACACTGCATACGTGTCCTCGTCTGATTGGATGGAAGAGGGGAGGGGGGAGAGGGTGTAGAGCACGCTGTAACACCATAGCCATATGATAGTAGAAAAGATGAGGGCTGATCAGCGCAGATGAGACTTGGTGACAGCATGGAAGAAGGACAATGGCAAATGACCATACCACTCCACACATCGCGAGCGCAACGAAACAACGGTCCCCCGGCAGTACAGCAATCAACACACCTAACGAGGTGCAGCAGACAGGCCACACACATGGCAGCGGTGGAGGAGGGCAGTGCTCACGGGTGGTCTCAGCAGCGAGGTGAGCAATGGCGCGGTTGACAGTGGCCACAGCCTCGTCCAGCGCCGTCACCACGAACGACCGTGCCATGGCGTCCCGCTGCAGCTCCGATACGTGTGCACTGCTCGCCCCTCCACCGCCCAGCAGACCCCCGCCTATGGCCGCCAAGGGATGGCCCCCTGCCGCCCACCGCCAGTCCTGCATGGGTGCAGTGCGTTGAAAGGCGGTGGATTGTGGTAGGGTGAGGTGGGGGGGTGAGGGTAGAAATGACGAGCTCTTGTGAAACATAACAAGGTACCTGAGGTGAGATAAGCACCACCTGAAAGCAAGCACAGGAATCATGCACGCCAGCACGCAATCATCTGAGGGACAGCAAAGGAAGCACCTGAACGACAGAGGAGTGGGCGGCGGAGAAGGAGATGTGAGCGGGCAGAAGCCCCGCCAGGTGCTCCATTGTGGCCGCTAGCACTGCTGCCAGGGGGTCGCTGGGGGAAGAGGCAAGAAGAGGAGGGCGGAGGAGGGCAGGGAGGAGGAGTGAGAATGAGTGGACATGTAACGAGGAATGGGAGAAACCAGGAATGAGAAGAGAACAACAGAGCACAACACAGCAGAGACACAGGGGAAAACATGGTCACACAGAACAGCCCGCAGGGGTGCACCCACACAAACCCACCGCAGGTCAGCGTGCATCTCCTTGCCATTGCAGGCGACGCCGGTGGGCCAGTGGCGTTGCGGCAGCTGCACGGACAGCACCATGTCGGGCAGTGACTTGGCGAGCAGCGATTGGTCGATGAGGATGGGGTCTGACGCAATGGCGAAGAAGAACACCGGCACGTCCAGCTGCGCGCGCTCCCCCCGCGTGCGCTTCACTGGGAGAAAGGGGAGAAGGGGGGGGGGGGAGAAGAGAAGAAGGAAGAGCACAGAGGGTGTAGGGGCTGATGGAGAGCAGATATAAGGGTGTTGCTAACAGACGCCTGCGAGGATGAGGGAGGGGAGAAAGGTGGAGTGGGTTTAGGAAGGAGAAACAAGGAGAGGGAGAAGCTAGAGGTGGGAATAGTAGAGAAAATGGATTTGAGGGCGATGAGGCAGGGGAGTCATGCAAGGCCTGCACCACGCCCTCTCATCCATGCACCACACTTCACAAATGCATCCCTCGCCTCTCATCCCTGTCATCTCACATCGCTGCAGGCTGTCGTCCCCCAGCGAGCGCAGCTGGTGCTGCAGCACATGCGAGTCCAGGTACAGCTGCACGCTGCCCCCTGCTGCCCCGCCTGAGGCACCTCTCATCTCTCATCCCTGCCTCTCTCATCCCTCATCCCTCTTCCCTCATCCATGCGCCTCTACTCTTTCGTCTCTCCTCCCTGCCATCTCACATCGCTGTATGCTATCGTCCCCCAGCGAGCGCAGCTGGTGCTGCAGCACGTGCGAGTCCAGGTACAGCTGCACACGGCCCCCTGCTGACGCGTTGGCATTGGCAGCCGCAGAGGCGGAGGGCAGCACGGCGGCGCGCAGCGAGGCAGAGAAGGCCGTTGCCAGGGCTGCGTCCTCCGCCACTGACAGCCTGGGGGGAGAGGGGGACGAGCGGAGGTGGGGGGCGGGTGGATGGTGAGAGAAGGTAGGGGCGAGTAAGGAAGGCGCGCGCGAGGCAGAGAAGGCCGTTGCCAGCGCCGCGTCCTCCGCGACTGACAGCCTGGGGGGGTGAGGAGGGGGGTGGAACGTGGAGGGCGGATAGGGTGGTGAGGGGTGGTTGGGGCGAGTGGGAAACGGGGGTGATGGCAGTGGGAGGCACGCATGGTGTGGTGCGATGTGAGCGGCATGTCAGATCGCCCACACAACGGAAGGTAATGCGAGTGGAGATGAGCAGCAGCGTTGCTTTCACACCCTGCCCCGGCAGGCACCCACCGGTAGGTGGAGAAGTGGAAGCGCTGGCCCGGCAGGCACAGCTTCTGCACCTCCGCCTTAAAGTCCTCCACGTACTGCGGCGTGTGGCGCCTCTCGTAGTATGCCTGGTAGAGAGTCGGGAGAGGGGCGAGGTGTGGAGCGAGAGGGGAGGGCGGGGCAAGGGTGGTGGAAGAGCGGGGAGGCAGTGGTGGAGGGCATGAGGCTGGGCTCGCGGTATGCGCTCATGCAGGCTTGCCGTCGTGTTCCTCACACGTGATAACACGGCCCATTGCATGCAAATCCACGGCACATTGTGCCACTCCATGCCACGTCAGCGCAAGCGCCCCACCTGGTGGGAGATGACGTAGAGGTGGAACGACACGCGCTCGTAGAAGTGGTACGCGCCAGCTGACGTGGATGGCGTGATGACGTGGCGCATGGCGGATGCCAGCGTGGCTGCCAGCTCAGCCATGAGCATGTCCCACGCGCGCGTCACCGCAGGGCTGCTCTCCCCCGCCTCCCCCTTGCCCGCGTGCCTGTCGGGCGGCACGCTTTGGATCTTCCAGCTGTGCAGGCGCTCCAGTGCTGCCCGCACGCTGCGCCCCGTGAACACACTGCCGGCCGTGGCGCTGCCGCCCTGGTGCTTGGCTAAATCGTCCTTCACCTCCTCCAGCTTCACCTGCAGCTCTGCCGTTGCAACGTGCGGGAGGACGGGGATTGGTGCGTGCGGGGCGAGGGGGGAAAGATGGTCGCATTGGTACCCGCGCTCGCTGGCAGCGGGACGGTCCTCTTGGTGAGTGCTGCACCCGACATGCAAGACTCAAATAACACCCGTGCGAGCATCATGGAGTGCAGGTATGTATCCATACACCCATGCGCCCACCTCGACAGAGGGCGGTGGGAACAGCGCGGTGGGAGCAGTGGCGGGCGGCGAAGGCCTGGTAGCCAGCAGCACGTCCACCCCGTGCTGCCCCTCTCCGCCCTCCCACTCCCCCTCGGCCTCGCCCTCCCAACAAGCAAACCCACCCACCCACCGTGGCACAGGGCGCTCATGACGGCGCGGTGGGAGCAGTGGCGGGCAGGGAAGGCCTGGTAGACGTCGAGCTCCGCGAGCAGCACGTCCACCCCGTGCTGCCCTTCCCCCCCCTCGCCCTATCCCACGCTCAGCACCATGCACCCGTCGCACACACACACCTACCTCGGCAGAGAGCACTCAAGACAGCATTGTGGTTGCAGTGGCGCCCGGCAAACGCCTGGTAGACGTCGAGCTCAGCCAGCAGCACGTCCACGCCGTGCTGCCCGTCCCCGCCCTCGCCCTCGCCATCCTCCACTGCCTCCAACCTCTCCTCTGCCAGCCGCTCCAACCGCCCCCTCAACTCGCCCTCCCACGCCTCTGCACCGCACCACACCGCACCGCACACACACTGGGTTGGTTGATAAGATTATAAGGGGCTGAATCGTAGGGGCAGAGGGTGAGACGTGAGTGGTGTGCGACGGGCAGAGTTGGTGCGGTTGAGGTGAGGCACAGTGACTGACAGTACGATGGGGTGGAGCGCGGTGCAGGGGGGTGCAGGAACACGTGAAGGTAGAGACGCACTTGAGTTGCGCGTGAACCTTACCAGCATATCTGTGCCCACCCACCCACCCACCCCACCTGTGCCCCCACCCTCCCCTGTGCGGCCACCCTCGCCGGTGCGTCCACCCCACCCCAGGGCACTGACCAGAGGAGGCGTGGGAGAGGGCGTGGAAGTATCGGTCCACAGAGGGCAGGCTGGCCTCCGACCTCACCCCCCATGCTGCACTGCTGCTGCCGCCCACCTCCACCGCCACCACACTGCTGCTGCTGCTGCTCCACCCGCTCCCCATGCCACTGCTGCTGCTGTTCCCCCTGCCACACCGCCGGCACTACTGACACCAGCAGCAGCACCACCAGCCGCAGCAGCAGTGTTGAGAGGTGCAGTGGGGATGGCGGTAGCAGCAGGGGGGCGGTGAGGGGCGGGGGAGAGCGGGCCCCAGGAGAATGGGCCGGCAGAGAGATCGATCAGCGCCCACCTGGTGGTGAGCAAGGGGCGTTGAAAGGGGGTGGGGGGCAGGGACGGGGAAGTTGAGGAATGACGCACACAATCAGCCCGCCTCTGCTTCCATCCAACACCCCCATCCACCCTCCCATCTCATCTTTCTCTTCCCATCCTCCCACCTCATTCTACCATCCTCCCTTCCACCCCACCCTCTCCACCCATCCCCCCCCTCCCTCACCTGCGGGTGCCAATCCACGTGTCAGTGAGGCACTGCTCCTGCCAGCTGGCATCCTCGCCGCCCGGCTGGCCGGCCTCCTGCAGGGCGGTGCGCAGGGCGCGGGCGCGGCGGGGGTCCCCCGAGGTGAGCAGCTGCTGCGCCTTGCGGGCCGCGTTGGCACGTGGGTCCCCCCGCTCGCTCACCACCCGCTCCACCGACCCCAGCAGTGCTGTCACCCGCGCCGCCCATGGCAGCTGGACACACGCAGGGGTTGAGTGGGGGGAAGAGGAGGAAGAGGGGGAAGAGGGGGAAGAGGGGGAAGAAGGGATGGGGGAGGGAGGGGGTTGCGAAGGAAGTGAGGCAGGCCCGTGGTGCGTTGCCTCTGGCGTGCACGTGGGGCTGACCACAGGATGGACCCACGTGGTGCCTGCGATCGCACCTTGTTGCTTGCTTGCTTGCACACACACACACACACCCACACGGGCAGTGGAAAGCACGGCACACCACGACCACAGCACAATGCAAGGCAGCAGCAGCGAGTACTGCAAGGCGGGGGCATGCATCTCACAATTTCGTGCGGCTCAATGTGGCGCCACGCGAGCTTGTGACCTGGACGCGAGGAGAAGAGCGGCTGTGGCACGTGCTGCTCGTCTGCATGGGGGGAGAAGGGGGGAAAGCGGAGTGAGTAAGGAGGTGGAAAGAGGGAGCGAGATGAGGGCATGGCGAAGTCTTGCTGAAGCAAAGCTTTGAAAGGGGACTCGTTGAAGCAGCAGCTATGAGAGTGTAAAATTGCAGTCAATAACGGGTACAGCCACTCACCCAGCACCTGCGGCACCTTCTCCAGCCCTGGCGACAGCAGGTGCTGCCTCAGGCGGTCGTCCTGCCCTCAGAGCAGCAGGGGGATGCAGGGGGCGGGGGGGAGAGGGGTGAAAGGGGGGAACGAGGCGAAGTGGTGGGCAGGGGAGGGGCGGCATCCCATGGAAAAGGAAGGGTTGGGCGGGGTGGGTTTGGAAGGGAAGGCATACAGGGAGGACAGGGTCCAGGTGGGTGAGGAATGAAGAGAGAAGTGAGTGGAGTGGGAGTGAGGGAGTGCAATAGAGAGGGGCGCATGGGGCATACCGTCTTGAGCATGTTGAACTCAGCGTTGGACAGGCCCAGCCTGCACAAGGAGTTGTGCGGGGGTACGGGCGCGACGGGTGGCATGGGCGAAGGGGAGAAAGGTCGCTTCAGGACAACAGCATGAGGAGGACAAAGGAGAACGATGACCCCCATGCCGTACCATCCATGCCATGCCATTCCAATCCATGGGCTCACCTGTACCCGTATCGCTTGCGAGCGCGCGCGCGATTGAGGTTGAGCACAATCACATTGTATGCCGAGGCATCGAGCTGCAGCGAGTCCACTAGGCTGTCCACCACATGCGCCATGCCGCCCATGTCCACCTGGTACCACTGCTGCTGCTGCTGCTGCTGCTGCCCCGTCGCGCCCGCTCCCGCCCCGGATGATGATGATGAGGAGGAGGAGGTGGAGGTTGAGGAGGGGTGGTGGGGGTGTGGTTGCGAGTCGGCGGGGTCGTCGTCGTCGTCGGAGGCGGCAGCGGCGGTGGGGTCGTCGGGGCGGGAGAGTGTTCGCACTGCTGCCTCGAACACGGACGCCACTCGCTCGCCCATCTCCATCACATGCACCGTGTAGCTGGGGCGGGAGATAGGGGGGGAGGGGATGGAGGGGGAGGGTATGTGTGCACACACACACGGAGGCCACGCGCTCCATCACATGCACCGTGTAGCTGGGGTGGGCGATAGTGGGTATGGGGGGGAAGGGTGATGAGATGCAGCATGCATGCTTGGCCTACATGCACACATACATGTGGGAAATACAGAGAGGACACGGAGTGGCAGGGAGGGAGCGGAGTGGCACAGCACAGCATGATGGAATGCGGGGAGCAGCTCACTCACTTGTAGTGCACGGTGCTGATCAGAGGCAGTTCATGCTCAAACTCCTGCCCTTCCGCCTCCTCCTCCTCCTCATCCTCCTCGTCATCAGCACTGCGCACCACTTCGCCGCCCGCCCCCATGGTGCGGGCGAGGTGGGCGAGGAGGGAGGGCCAGTTGAGGGGCGCGCGCGTGTGCTCCTCCACATGGTCCATTCGCTGCAGCCAGCGCCGCATGTCGCCCTCCCGCATGCGCATGCCTGCACGGACAAGGGTGGGTGAGTGGGTACACGAGTGGGTGGGTGGGCAGGTGGTGGGTGGGCGCACATGCATGCTCAAATGGACAAGGAGTGAGGGTGAGCGCGTGTGCTCCTCCACGTGGTCCATGCGCTGCAGCCAGCGCCGCATGTCACCCTCCCGCATGCGCATGCCTGCATGTGCAAGGACGGACAGTGTTACAGATGGACCACAACCCCACATTTGTACTTGGCAGATTCTACATCCCACCCCTATTGCCACCCACCCCGATTGCCACCCACCCCGATTGCCACCCACCCCGATTGCCAGCCACCCCGATTGCCAGCCACCCCGATTGCCAGCCACCCCGATTGCCAGCCACCCCGATTGCCACCCACCCCGATTGCCACCCACCCCGATTGCCACCCACCCCGATTGCCACCCACCCCGATTGCCACCCACCCCGATTGCCACCCACCCCGATTGCCACCCACCCCGATTGCCAGCCACCCCGATTGCCAGCCACCCCGATTGCCAGCCACCCCGATTGCCACCCACCCCGATTGCCACCCACCCCGATTGCCACCCACCCCGATTGCCACCCACCCCGATTGCCAGCCACCCCGATTGCCACCCACCCCGATTGCCACCCACCCCGATTGCCACCCACCCCGATTGCCAGCCACCCCGATTGCCACCCACCCCGATTGCCACCCACCCCGATTGCCAGCCACCCCGATTGCCACCCACCCCGATTGCCAGCCACCCCGATTGCCACCCACCCCGATTGCCACCCACCCCGATTGCCACCCACCCCGATTGCCACCCACCCCGATTGCCACCCACCCCGATTGCCACCCACCCCGATTGCCACCCACCCCGATTGCCACCCACCCCGATTGCCACCCACCCCGATTGCCACCCACCCCGATTGCCACCCACCCCGATTGCCACCCACCCCGATTGCCAGCCACCCCGATTGCCAGCCACCCCGATTGCCAGCCACCCCGATTGCCACCCACCCCGATTGCCACCCACCCCGATTGCCACCCACCCCGATTGCCACCCACCCCGATTGCCAGCCACCCCGATTGCCACCCACCCCGATTGCCACCCACCCCGATTGCCACCCACCCCGATTGCCAGCCACCCCGATTGCCACCCACCCCGATTGCCACCCACCCCGATTGCCAGCCACCCCGATTGCCACCCACCCCGATTGCCAGCCACCCCGATTGCCACCCACCCCGATTGCCACCCACCCCGATTGCCACCCACCCCGATTGCCACCCACCCCGATTGCCACCCACCCCGATTGCCACCCACCCCGATTGCCACCCACCCCGATTGCCACCCACCCCGATTGCCACCCACCCCGATTGCCACCCACCCCGATTGCCACCCACCCCGATTGCCACCCACCCCGATTGCCACCCACCCCGATTGCCACCCACCCCGATTGCCACCCACCCCGATTGCCACCCACCCCGATTGCCACCCACCCCGATTGCCACCCACCCCGATTGCCACCCACCCCGATTGCCACCCACCCCGATTGCCACCCACCCCGATTGCCACCCACCCCGATTGCCAGCCACCCCGATTGCCAGCCACCCCGATTGCCAGCCACCCCGATTGCCAGCCACCCCGATTGCCAGCCACCCCGATTGCCACCCACCCCGATTGCCACCCACCCCGATTGCCACCCACCCCGATTGCCACCCACCCCGATTGCCAGCCACCCCGATTGCCACCCACCCCGATTGCCACCCACCCCGATTGCCACCCACCCCGATTGCCACCCACCCCGATTGCCACCCACCCCGATTGCCACCCACCCCGATTGCCACCCACCCCGATTGCCACCCACCCCGATTGCCACCCACCCCGATTGCCACCCACCCCGATTGCCACCCACCCCGATTGCCACCCACCCCTATTGCCACCCACCCCGATTGCCACCCACCCCGATTGCCAGCCACCCCGATTTCCAGCCACCCCGATTGCCACCCACCCCGATTGCCACCCACCCCGATTGCCAGCCACCCCGATTGCCACCCACCCCGATTGCCACCCACCCCGATTGCCACCCACCCCGATTGCCACCCACCCCGATTGCCACCCACCCCGATTGCCACCCACCCCGATTGCCACCCACCCCGATTGCCACCCACCCCGATTGCCACCCACCCCGATTGCCACCCACCCCGATTGCCACCCACCCCGATTGCCACCCACCCCGATTGCCACCCACCCCTATTGCCACCCACCCCGATTGCCAGCCACCCCGATTGCCAGCCACCCCGATTGCCAGCCACCCCGATTGCCAGCCACCCCGATTGCCACCCACCCCGATTGCCACCCACCCCGATTGCCACCCACCCCGATTGCCACCCACCCCGATTGCCACCCACCCCGATTGCCACCCACCCCGATTGCCACCCACCCCGATTGCCACCCACCCCGATTGCCACCCACCCCGATTGCCACCCACCCCGATTGCCACCCACCCCGATTGCCACCCACCCCGATTGCCACCCACCCCGATTGCCACCCACCCCGATTGCCACCCACCCCGATTGCCACCCACCCCGATTGCCACCCACCCCGATTGCCACCCACCCCGATTGCCACCCACCCCGATTGCCACCCACCCCGATTGCCACCCACCCCGATTGCCACCCACCCCTATTGCCACCCACCCCGATTGCCAGCCACCCCGATTGCCAGCCACCCCGATTGCCACCCACCCCGATTGCCACCCACCCCGATTGCCACCCACCCCGATTGCCAGCCACCCCGATTGCCAGCCACCCCGATTGCCACCCACCCCGATTGCCACCCACCCCGATTGCCACCCACCCCGATTGCCACCCACCCCGATTGCCACCCACCCCGATTGCCACCCACCCCGATTGCCACCCACCCCGATTGCCACCCACCCCGATTGCCACCCACCCCGATTGCCACCCACCCCGATTGCCACCCACCCCGATTGCCACCCACCCCGATTGCCACCCACCCCGATTGCCACCCACCCCGATTGCCACCCACCCCGATTGCCACCCACCCCGATTGCCACCCACCCCGATTGCCAGCCACCCCGATTGCCACCCACCCCGATTGCCACCCACCCCGATTGCCACCCACCCCGATTGCCACCCACCCCGATTGCCACCCACCCCGATTGCCACCCACCCCGATTGCCAGCCACCCCGATTGCCAGCCACCCCGATTGCCAGCCACCCCGATTGCCACCCACCCCGATTGCCACCCACCCCGATTGCCACCCACCCCGATTGCCACCCACCCCGATTGCCACCCACCCCGATTGCCACCCACCCCGATTGCCACCCACCCCGATTGCCACCCACCCCGATTGCCACCCACCCCGATTGCCACCCACCCCGATTGCCACCCACCCCGATTGCCACCCACCCCTATTGCCACCCACCCCGATTGCCACCCACCCCGATTGCCAGCCACCCCGATTTCCAGCCACCCCGATTGCCACCCACCCCGATTGCCACCCACCCCGATTGCCAGCCACCCCGATTGCCACCCACCCCGATTGCCACCCACCCCGATTGCCACCCACCCCGATTGCCACCCACCCCGATTGCCACCCACCCCGATTGCCACCCACCCCGATTGCCAGCCACCCCGATTGCCAGCCACCCCGATTGCCACCCACCCCGATTGCCACCCACCCCGATTGCCACCCACCCCGATTGCCACCCACCCCGATTGCCAGCCACCCCGATTGCCAGCCACCCGGATTGCCAGCCACCCCGATTGCCACCCACCCCGATTGCCAGCCACCCCGATTGCCAGCCACCCCGATTGCCACCCACCCCGATTGCCAGCCACCCCGATTGCCACCCACCCCGATTGCCACCCACCCCGATTGCCACCCACCCCGATTGCCACCCACCCCGATTGCCACCCACCCCGATTGCCAGCCACCCCGATTGCCAGCCACCCCGATTGCCAGCCACCCCGATTGCCAGCCACCCCGATTGCCACCCACCCCGATTGCCAGCCACCCCGATTGCCACCCACCCCGATTGCCACCCACCCCGATTGCCAGCCACCCCGATTGCCAGCCACCCCGATTGCCAGCCACCCCGATTGCCACCCACCCCGATTGCCACCCACCCCGATTGCCAGCCACCCCGATTGCCAGCCACCCCGATTGCCAGCCACCCCGATTGCCACCCACCCCGATTGCCAGCCACCCCGATTGCCAGCCACCCCGATTGCCACCCACCCCTATTGCCACCCACCCCGATTGCCACCCACCCCGATTGCCACCCACCCCGATTGCCAGCCACCCCGATTGCCAGCCACCCCGATTGCCAGCCACCCCTATTGCCACCCACCCCGATTGCCACCCACCCCGATTGCCACCCACCCCGATTGCCACCCACCCCGATTGCCAGCCACCCCGATTGCCAGCCACCCCGATTGCCACCCACCCCGATTGCCACCCACCCCGATTGCCACCCACCCCGATTGCCACCCACCCCGATTGCCACCCACCCCGATTGCCACCCACCCCGATTGCCACCCACCCCGATTGCCAGCCACCCCGATTGCCACCCACCCCGATTGCCACCCACCCCGATTGCCACCCACCCCGATTGCCACCCACCCCGATTGCCAGCCACCCCGATTGCCACCCACCCCGATTGCCACCCACCCCGATTGCCACCCACCCCGATTGCCACCCACCCCGATTGCCACCCACCCCGATTGCCACCCACCCCGATTGCCACCCACCCCGATTGCCACCCACCCCGATTGCCACCCACCCCGATTGCCACCCACCCCGATTGCCACCCACCCCGATTGCCACCCACCCCGATTGCCACCCACCCCGATTGCCACCCACCCCGATTGCCACCCACCCCGATTGCCACCCACCCCGATTGCCACCCACCCCGATTGCCACCCACCCCGATTGCCAGCCACCCCGATTGCCAGCCACCCCGATTGCCACCACCCCGATTGCCACCCACCCCGATTGCCACCCACCCCGATTGCCACCCACCCCGATTGCCACCCACCCCGATTGCCAGCCACCCCGATTGCCATCCACCCCGATTGCCAGCCACCCCGATTGCCAGCCACCCCGATTGCCAGCCACCCCGATTGCCAGCCACCCCGATTGCCAGCCACCCCGATTGCCAGCCACCCCGATTGCCACCCACCCCGATTGCCAGCCACCCCGATTGCCAGCCACCCCGATTGCCAGCCACCCCGATTGCCAGCCACCCCGATTGCCAGCCACCCCGATTGCCAGCCACCCCGATTGCCACCCCCCCGATTGCCACCCACCCCGATTGCCAGCCCACCCCGATTGCCAGCCACCCCGATTGCCACCCACCCCGATTGCCACCCACCCCGATTGCCAGCCCACCCCGATTGCCAGCCACCCCGATTGCCAGCCACCCCGATTGCCACCCACCCCGATTGCCACCCACCCCGATTGCCACCCACCCCGATTGCCAGCCACCCCGATTGCCAGCCACCCCGATTGCCACCACCCCGATTGCCACCCACCCCGATTGCCACCCACCCCGATTGCCAGCCACCCCGATTGCCAGCCACCCCGATTGCCACCACCCCGATTGCCACCCACCCCGATTGCCACCCACCCCGATTGCCACCACCCCGATTGCCAGCCACCCCGATTGCCAGCCACCCCGATTGCCACCCACCCCGATTGCCACCACCCCGATTGCCACCCACCCCGATTGCCACCCACCCCGATTGCCACCCACCCCGATTGCCACCCACCCCGATTGCCACCCACCCCGATTGCCAGCCACCCCGATTGCCACCACCCCGATTGCCACCCACCCCGATTGCCACCACCCCGATTGCCAGCCACCCCGATTGCCAGCCACCCCGATTGCCAGCCACCCCGATTGCCAGCCACCCCGATTGCCAGCCACCCCGATTGCCACCACCCCGATTGCCAGCCACCCCGATTGCCAGCCACCCCGATTGCCACCCACCCCGATTGCCACCCACCCCGATTGCCACCCACCCCGATTGCCACCCACCCCGATTGCCACCCACCCCGATTGCCACCCACCCCGATTGCCACCCACCCCGATTGCCAGCCACCCCGATTGCCAGCCACCCCGATTGCCACCCACCCCGATTGCCACCCACCCCGATTGCCACCCACCCCGATTGCCAGCCACCCCGATTGCCACCCACCCCGATTGCCACCCACCCCGATTGCCACCCACCCCGATTGCCACCCACCGTGGTCGGTGGAGGCATTGAAGCCGATGAAGATGAGGTTGACGGGGATGGGCACGTGGATGGCACGCACTGCCTTCAACCCCAGGTACTCCGCCAAGTTGCCTGCCATGCACCGCCGTCACACCACCGCACACCATAGCACCACCGCACACCATCGCACCACCGCACACAGGCACACGGTGGACAGAGAGGAGTGAAAGAGAAGCGAGGACCGCGAGGGTTAGGTTGGGGAGACTGGGGTTGGATGTAACGCAGTTGGGGTTGGGGAACTTAGTGCAATTCGCAGGGCGGCGCTGCTGTAGGGAAACGGTTCTTGCACAGGTATATGATCTAATTTAATCTGATCTTATTTGATCTGATCTGATCTGATCTGATCTCACAAGATGCCGTCCAGCCAATAATGTCATTTTCGAAAAGCGCTTTGAAACGGCTCAAGGCGCGCGGAGGAGACAACGCACCTTGCTTGACGTAGTGGTCCACCTCGTTGTACCCGTTATAGAACTTGCTGGGGCGCTTCAGGTCGTCCCACGCTGCAGGCGTGCATCGTGACGCCCGTTGACAGGGCGGGGCGCGCGGGAGGAGGGAGGAAGCAGCAGGGATAAGCAGGGGTAGAAGGGCACAAAGGGGGAGCAGGGACGACGGAGATGAGTAGGCCGAAGAGAGGGAGAGTTGCTAGGGGGTGTGAGTGTAACGCCTGTGGGATAGTGTTAAAGGGCTTTCCGCTGCGCCAAATAACACCCTCGTTTTGACCCAGTGGGTAGCGAGGTGTTATAGTGAGAGACGGGTGACGGGAGTGGAGGAAGGGAGCTTTGTTGAAAGGCGAGAGGGATAAAGGAAATGAGGAGCACGATCCTGGCCCACGCAAGCTGGACGTGACTGGGGACAAGCAAGATAACATTGGGGGGGGACAAGCAAGGCATGAGGGTGGCGAGAGCAACGAGCGTGGTCGCAGCAAGGAGCACGATCCAGGCCGTACGTACACTGCAGCAGCAAATCATCGTCTGAAAGCTGGCCCTCGTCCTTGGCGTCGAACACCGCGAAAATTTCGTCCTTGAGATTGCCGCTGCGCGCCGCGTGCACCTGCAACCAGTGATCGCGTAGCGCCATTCACGGCAACAGTCGTGAAACAGTGAATCGCGCGTACTACAGCGGGCGAAAGTCCACTCAACTCCGAAAGGCGAGACTTGGCGAGAGGAGGACCACTTCAGAAAGCACAGAACGACGACCTTACCTGAATCCCCGCGTTCCATGCTGCTGCGATCAGCACTGAAACCACAAGCAGGATCCGACCTAATCTTCTTCCACGCCTTTCAAACCCTAATGTCCCCATCGCATGTGGTCTGGGAACGTCACAGGTATTGCGGACCTATGTTGCGCGCATCACGCGTTGTCTAATCTAACTAACTAACCTGGTCGGACGGTATCGAGAAGTTGGCTGTGTGTCGCCGAATCGAGGTTGGCGTGAAGTCCGCGCTATAAGCTGTGGAGCGATTGGAAACATGCGAATTCAGAAACTCGTGTAGAAAGGAAATACGCAAAAGATGGGAAGTAGAGTGCAGCGAAAACGACATTGACCACGCCAGTCCACTCGCCACCACCACTCTTCGCTTGCTACCTTGCTTACGTCGTGCCGCGTAAAATACATACGGACAAGCTTTCCAACTGGATCACGTTTCTCAGCAGGCTGCCTCCCTGGCTTTCGATTGGACCAATTCCGCTGCTGTGAATGAAAACCATGGCTCCCCCTCCCCGCAATCTCCAAAGCTGTGGGAATTTGCGCCCTACTTTGACCATTCCCTGCGCGAGAATGGCCCATCAGACCCTCGTCCTGGCCTGGCTGACACGTCCCCTCGCATTCCCATCCGCGGCGGTTGGCGGAACGCACCGCGGAGATTTAGGGCGTGTGTGAATCTAAATGGAGTTCGAAAATAGGTTCGAACTTAGGATGGTAACCAGCTTCGCCGTTGTTCGCGAATCCTTTCGCCGATTCTGGGTTCAAACTGATTCTGATGGCACTCGAACCCCCCAAAGTGAACAAGATTCGAGTTTATGAGTAAACTTGGTTTTGCACGTTGAAGCGAACGTGTGTGGTTTCAGGCATGTACGAGGAGTGCGCGACACTCGCAAAACTTTCGTGCACCAATAGATGCACAACCGAAACCCACGGCATACCCATTCAGGCAACGGCCGCCACGTGCAACATGTCGTGGCACGATGACGTGCCGCTTCTGCGCTTGACCAGAAGTTGGCGCACTGGCAGCGAAATTCGCGCCAACAATGTACACACCACATCAGCCACCAAAATGTCGCACTGTTCGTACCATACGGGGCACGACGATGAGGTGGAGGTCTAGAGGGTCCATTTGGGGGGGCGCGCTCCGTTGACGTGTCGCGCTGTCAAGATGCCGATACTGGGTAACCTACACACCCTAGTGGCGGTTCGGTCCCCTCCTACAAACTCGAACTTGCAAATTCGCACTTGCGTGTGTGATTGTGAGTGTGCAACTGTTGACTCTGACGGTTCGAACTTTGCAAGCACTCAAAATCGGGTCAGGCTCGCTTTGTGTTCACTTGCTACAATCGAATCCAGTATGTAAACTTATGGTAATATTTAGATTCACACACGCCCTTACACATTCGATTCTCGCACTTCATTGGTTCCGCATGTATTCATCCAAACAGCCCGCCGCAACGCTGGACGAAACGGAAAACACCTGCCCCGCCAGTCCACTCCATTCCACTTCCCCCCTCCCCGCCTTTGAGATCGCACCGTCGCACCCTGAAAAGGTCCAGCCAGCGGGGGAGGCGCAGCGCAGCCCCTGCGGCGCACCCTCCCGTCTCGACCAGTCAAGACCAGACCCTCACCCTGCAGGCATCCCCGCTGCGCCACCGTTTTTTCGCCCTACATATCCTTTCACCTTTAGGATCTAGTTTCTGCAGACGCTGCTGCGCGTATGAGATAGATTGCAACAGCTTTGATTTCAGGAGGAAGCGCCGTTGTTTACGAAATGATGACAGCTATGCCGCGCGATCCTGACTTGCCGTTTAACCCGGACGACGCGCGTGGTGCCTTCCATCGCCGGAGCGTGTCGTTCGCAGCCGCAACCTCGCATTTGCGAGATGCGAACCAAGCTTGGGCGTCGCCCACACTTTTCGCTCCCCCACCGCACTCGCCGCTGCCGGAACTCCCCCCTTTGCTAGAAAATTGCGGCAACGACGGAGAAGCAGTGGACGATGCCGACGCGGCACCGCGGAAAGATGCGTCGGGGGAGCAAACGGCCGTCCACGGGCGAGAAGCTGCAAGTGGCAGGACTAACGGGTACCTTTATGGTGACGAGATGGCGGGCCGGCGGCCGCTCGGCCGAACCCGCTCTCAGGCCATCGGGCCGACTCACCAAGCGCCGCGGGCCGCATTCCCCGCGTCGCCCTCGCTGCGCTACGACCCTTCCTCATTCTCGGGGAGCTTGAAAGCGAGGACCAGCGAGCACGCGGCACGCATCAGGAACATGATGCTGAAAGAGCGACTCGAATTTTCGGAACCTCCTTCGGTCTCGCCGTCGAGCGAGCAGCCCGCGGCTGTACACGTCGACTCTGATAATCCGCGCGCGCTTGCGGAAGGGCTTCCCTTGAACTCTCCGCAGCTGCCGCAGCAGCAAAATCTCAACGGCGAGATGACAGCGCAAATGACGGTTTCGCCGGGGGGTCACCGGCGGGGAGGTAGTAACCAGTGGGCTGGGCTGCAGCCGCATCTGCCGCAACTCCTGCCTGCGACCACGCTGAGTCGACTTGGCAGCATTACCAGCAGCCACGCGAGGGACAGCAGCTACGGCAGCGGGATCAGCTTCAGCGGCAGTAGCGGTAGCAGCGCCAGCGTGCGGAGCGGCAACGCGGGGGTACCGGCGTTTTCCCCGCCCGCGGTAACGGTTGGACCAGTCACCGTCGCCCCCGTCTCCCCTGGTCCGCAATCCGCCAACCCTATCGCTGTCGATGGCCAAACCTCCTCGCTAGGCTCGGCGGCTACGACAAGAGTACCGCCAATCGAACTCGTGTTACCGGGTTCGCCAGCATCGTCGGCGTCGCCAGCGTGGTCGCCGTCGCCAGTCTCGCCACCAGAGGGCGGGTTCATTCCAACGATTCGCAGGGCGATCTCTCTCGCTGTGCCGCGCGCCAAGCCGCAACAGCCGCAGCAGCCGCAGCAGCAGCTACTGCGACAAGCACATCCCGTGATTGAGATACCGACGCGCGGAAGCGCCTTTGCTGCTGACCCACCCACGGGGAAATCCTCGCCTCTTTTTCGTGCCGCTGCTCTCTCCCATTCGCCAGCGCACCCGGCGATCGCGTCCGCGGTCTGCCCCAAGTGCGGCCATACCATGGCCCCCGCCGCTTCTTCCCCCGACGACGAGCGGGGATCCGCGCAGGGGCGAAAAGGCCGGCGGCGCGTGCCGGCTGCGGCGGTGGAAGCGGCGGCGACGGCGGCAAAGGCCGCGCAAGCCGCCGCGATGGCCGCGGAGGCGGCTGCTGCCGCCGCGAAGGAGGCCGCCAGTGCCGCCGCCGCTGTCGCCGCGGCGATCGCGGAGGAGACGGACAGTGACTGTTGGGAGAGTGACTGTACGGGGGAAGACGCGGGGAAGGGCGCCACACGAGGAGACGGAAGCGACACGGGAGCGCGCGCCCAGGCGGCGGTGACATCGGATGACAAGCGCAGCGAAGCGGTAGCTTGTGGGGAAAGGGGGTTGACGAGTGCGGAGGAAGGGGGAAGATCCGCGGAAGAGAGCGCAGAGGCAACGGGGGCGGGAGCAGAGAATGGGCCAAGGGCAGGCGCAGGGGGGAACAGTGCGACTGGATCGAGTGGGGACATGGATGATGGTGAGGCGGCGACGATGGCAGGGGAAGAAACAGGCGCGGGGACGGCGGGGCCCCCGGGGCAGAAGGCGCAATGCAAGTATAAGCGACTGTCCCCTAGGCCCGTGATTGTAGAGAGAAGAGGATTTCCAGATGCGCGCGCGACACAGTCACCCCCTGGTGCAAGCGCCACCAGGAGTAACGCGGAAGCGGGGACGGAGAGCGGCCGTGCGCGCAGCGGAATGGGCCAGCAGTCGGCCCAGGGGCGAAGGGGGAGGGAGAGGGGGGAAGATGGAGCGGAAGAGGGTAGGGGACAGTGGCGTGGGCCTGGGGCAGTGGACGGTGGGGATCCAACGGATGGCAGCGAGGATGCGGACGAGATTGCGGCTGGGGATACGGGGGGTCACGAGATTGCCAGGCCCCTCGGCGCGACTTCCCCGCGCGCCCACTCGCCCCGGCGCCTGTCGCCCTCAGCGCGATCACCTCATGCCACGTCGCCTCCAGCGGTCGTGTCGCCTCGAGCACGCGCAGGCACCCGCGCGGACTCCCGCGCTGGCGGGCACTCGGGCGCAGGCAGCAGCGGGAGCGACGGCGAGGAGTACCATACCCCCCACAGCACCCCTCCCCCGCACAGCGACAGCCTTCCCGCCGCGCTGCAGCGCGCGCAGCAGCTGGCGGGGCTCCCCGTGAGCCCGTCTCTCGAGGCCTACCTCACGGACGAGCGCTCCGACCACGCCGCGGACGGCTCCTGCGCGGAGCCTCCGGAGGCGCACGACGCGGGGGAGAGCAGCGCGGAGTGCGGCGCGGAATACGGCGCGGAGTGCGGGGAGGACATCCCCCTGGTCGAGGACGGCCCCCTCGCCGCCCCCAGCAGGCCTCCCAAGTCGCCCAAGCCGGATCGCGCGCTCTCCCCCCTCGCTGCGCGGGGCGCGCGCCAGGCACGCGCGCGCCAGGCGCCTGCGCGCTCGCCGCGGTCGCCGAGGTCGAGAGCGGTGAAGGACGGTGCGTGGCGGTGCAAGTCCATGCAGGAGGGCTCCTCCAACCCCCCCAACGCCGCCAGCGCCAGCCGCGCTGGCACCTCCGGCGGCGCTGCTGGCTCCGCCGCGCGCCCTGCTGCGCGCACGCGGTCGTTCCGCGAGCATTCGCCCCGCGGGACGCTGAGGGGCGCAGTCGGAGGGGGGAGGGTGCTGCGCAAGGCAGGGTCAGTGCCAGAGGAGCGGGGGGGCGCGGGGGAGGGGGGTGGCGGAAGCAGAGGGGGCAGGGGCGCGCGGGGCGGGCAGGCGTGGTCGCAGGCGCGGCCCAAGTCGCCGAGGGAGGCGCCGCGGTCGCCCAGGGCGCGCTCCAAGTCGCCCACCGAGGGGCTCAGGTCGCCCAGCGAGGGGCTGCGCTCCCCCCGCGGGGCTGCGGGCAGATCCCCGCGCCCCGCCCTGCCTTCCCCCAACGCGGGGCTGCCTGGGCGGGACGGGGGTGGGGGAGAGAGGGGGGCCGCGGGGAGGAGCAGGCAGCCGCGGAAGGTGAGCAGCTGGAGCGGCCCCGGCGGAGCGGAGGGCGGGGGAGGGGAGAGGGGGACGCGGAGGAGGGGGGGCGACGCACAGGAGCAGAGAGCAGATCAGGGGGAGGGGGAGGAGCAGGGCGGGGGTGGGGCAGGGCGGGGCGGGTCAGGGGGGATCAGCATCGTTCTCAGGAGGGGGGCGGGTGGCGGAGTTTATCCTGGGGCGCGCATACAGGGACGTGGGGGAGGCGTACGAGGTGGGGGGGGAGCAGCTGGGCGTGGGGCAGTTTGGCGTGATCCGCGCGTGTGTGAGCCGCAGCACGGGGCAGGTGCTGGCATGCAAGGCCATCAGCAAGGCGCGCATTCTGGTGAGCCCATGCGTGGGGATGCATGGGGATGCACGGGGATGCATGGGGATGCATGGGGATGCACGGGGATGCATGGGGATGCACGGGGATGCATGGGGATGCACGGGGATGCATGGGGATGCATGGGGATGCATGGGGATGCACTGAGGCTATGCTGTGTGTGCATGCATTTGGGGAATGTGTGTGTCTTCCTATGTGTGCATGTCGGTCCATGTGTGAGTGCATTCGTGTGTGTCTGTGTGCATGTATGCGCATGTGTTCCTATGTCTGTGCATGTGAGTGCATGTGTGCGCCTGTGGCTGCGCCTCACGTGTGCCCCTCCCCCATCCATCCCCTTTCCCCTGCCACCAGGCGCAGGAGGACGCGGAGGATGTGGCGAAGGAGGTGCGCGTGATGCAGCAGCTGAGGGGCCACCCGCACATCGTCAAGATCCACCGCGCCCTCGAGGACCACCAGGTGAGGATGTGGGGAGGCAGGTGGGGAAGACAGCCAGGTGGGGAGGGGGAAGGGGGGGAGTTGAGGGGAGAGGACGGTGTGAGAGAATGAGAGAATGAGGCAGTGTGGTGGTTGGCCTTCCGAAGGCTGGGGAACTGGGCTGGTGAGGAGGAGGCAGCAACGCATGGAAGGGAGGGAGCCTCTGGCGGACAGCACTGCCACCTCGCCTCAAAGATCCCTCGCCCTTCTTTCCCTTCCCTTTTCTTGCTTTCTCCCCCCTCATGTCTCTCCGCCCCCTCCCCACACCCGACAACCCCCAGAGCGTGCACATCATAATGGAGATCTGTCGGGGCGGCGATCTCTTCGACCGCGTCAAGGCGGGCGGCAGGCTGAGCGAGCGCAGTGCGGCGGCCGTCACGGGGCGGCTGGTGGAGGCGCTGCTGTGGTGCCATGGGAAGGGCGTTGTGCACCGCGACGTGAAGCTTGAGAACATTCTGCTCAAGCAGCGCGGCAGTGACACCGACATTCGTCTTACAGACTTTGGCATGGCCGCTGAGGTCCGCCCAGGTACTGCCGCGTGTGCCCTGTTGTGCCCTGCTGTGTGCTCTGCCCTCTGCCGTCTGCGCTGTGCCCTGTGCCATGCACGCACCTGATGATGCTTCATAAGTCTCCTTTTTCCTCAGCTTGCACCGGATGCAGCACAACAATGGAACCCACTCGCTGCTCTGCTCCGTGCTCTCTGTGTTCTCACCCCTATAGACCTTCCTCACCCCCCTTCCTCACATGGGTGGCCCCTCACTGCTCCCTCATGCTCCCCGCCAACAGCAGCTTCTGAAACAACCATGCCATGCCACAGATCACAACAGCCCCTCTCATTCCTCCATCCATCATCCACACCCCACCTTCTCTCACTTCCCTCCCCACTAAACCCCTCCTCCCTCCTCCGCATCCACCCAGGCGAGGTGCTAACGGAGCTGATAGGCACGCCCTACTACATGGCACCCTAGGTGCTGGCAGGGGCGCACATGGTGTTGTCGAGGCTCAGGCTGCATGTGGAGCGCCCACGAGCAGCAGCTCCCTCGTCCCGCCCCAACACCCGCTCAATCAACTGTTCACTACCGAGGACTGCAACAGCTGCTCTCCTGCGTCCACCCATCCCAACCCCCCCTTCTCACTCCCCCCCTCTCTCCCCATCCCCCCAGGCGAGGTACTGACAGAGCTGATAGGCACGCCCTACTACGTGACGCCCGAGGTGCTGGCAGGGGCATACAGTTCCTCTCATGTGTCCACCCATCCCCCTCCCCCTCTCTCACTCCCCCTCCCCCTCTCTCACTCCCCCTCCCCCACCCCCTCTTCTCCCCATCCCCCCAGGCGAGGTGCTAACGGAGCTGATAGGCACGCCCTACTACATGGCGCCCGAGGTACTGGCAGGCTCGTACGGGGCCGAGGCAGACATCTGGAGCGCGGGCGTCGTCTTATACATCCTGCTGTGCGGCCTGCCGCCCTTCTACGCGGCGAGCAACGAGGGCATCTTTGACGCCATCCGCAGCAAGCCCGTGCAGTTCAAGGCGGCCAAGTGGAATGGCGTGAGCAGCGCTGCCAAGCAGCTGATCAGCAGCATGCTAGAGAAGAACCCCCGCGACCGCATCACGGGGGATGAGGTCCTAGGTGAGTCACTGTGGTGCACGCCTTTTGGATTGCTATCAGCTGCATGTGTGTTCCTATCGTCTTTCTGTGTCAAGGGTCTGTGTTTTCGAAGTGGTCTTTCATGCAGCTAATCTAGTGCATGTGTGTGTGGTGTGTGTTTGTGTGCGCATTGGCAGAGCATCCGTGGATAAAGGCACATGCGTTTGATGACTAACCCTGGTAACATTGCCCACTGGCCCACTGTATATAGTTGCTGCCAGTGACACTGCATTGACATAATATTTGCCTAGCAGTTGGTACTTATGTATTGCACTTCACATATGTAAGCAGGAGGCGGGGATGTGGCGGGGCATTTGAAAGGTTCCTGCTCGCCTGAAGCCTTCCAAATGCCCCGTCCCGTCCCGAGCCAATGCAGTGCACGCACAGGTTGGTCCTACACACGTTTCAACATACAGGAGCTAGTACTAGAAACTACTTCGGGGGGAGTACGGTAGTATATGGAATGTAGAGAAGCTACGGTGTCAAGTATAGGTTTGAAAATCCTGGAGATATGAGACAAAGGGATGAAGATTCAACTAAATATATTATTGGACTATCAGAGCTTAAAGAGAGGATTACACGTCGCCAAGCTGCAGCCATTTTTTTTTTTTCGCCTTTTCTCGATGCATGTACAGTAGTGGCTGACTTCATTCCAGATCTTGAAAATGCGTTTCGAAGATTTCATAAGATCTTCTACACACATGTTCGTGGATCCAGCTTCCCGTTTTCGTCAATGAGCCCTGCCAGGTTCATACAGGCAAGTGTTTCAACCACACAGCCAGCTACACTTGCCTGTTCAAATATAAATATAATACAGTGTTTTTGCGAGGTTCAAATCCATGGCTGGTTCACTGACTGTGAACTTTTGAGTCTGATGGTGGTGGAAGCTGGAGCCTTCCTTGGCTCTACCCTTCATCGGCGGAAGCTGGAGCCTTCCTTGACTGTACCCTTCATCAAGCAAGCACAAAAGGGTTGCTGCCCTTCCCAGGAAATTCGACCAAATACAGTGGTGCTGCACGTACGAATCTATACGGTTTCGAGTTTCTGGTTTGCCAGCCGTTCCCTTGTTTGAAAGGACGAAAGCGTTCTCCAATTCGAGAACATTTTTACCGCCCGCGAGACACAATGCCTACTGGTTGTACTGTATGACTGGGGCAGGGGTAGGTTTTGACATCCACAGGTCAGGGTACAGTTCATACATCCCCTAGGCAATGCAAGCAAGACGTGTTGCAGTGGTTCATCCCCACTTCCCACAGACCCGTCCAGAGACAAGCAGCATTGCGTTCAGAACAGACATCCCAGCCACAGACATCTGGTAGGAACAGACATCCCACCCACAGATTCCTACCAGCTGACCTTTTGGCTAATTCCCTTGAATCTGCGGGCGGCGACCGTCCATGCGACGCCAACACCAGAAGTATGCCATGCCATGCCATTCCATCACCGGTATAGCAGCAGCCCCCGCATCAGGCCTGACGATTGACGGGCATATGCCCTTAATGCCCTGACATTAAGGGCTAGTTTCGCTCCAGCTCCAATGCGTCAAGTTTTAGATTCGCACCCCACCCGTGCCACTAAGTGCTTCGTTCGACCCTTCCCCGGATGCGTTAAGGGACGAAACCAGGCCTTCCCCTTTATCTAAGTTTTGGTTTCCGATCGTAGGACCCCCCACCCCCCAGGGTGCCAGAGACAACCCCTCCCCCCCCTCTTTCTCCTTAGTCTGCACGAGAGCGCGCGGAGGGGATTTTTTCCTTAGCGTTTTCTAGCCAATCTCGTGTGTGTAGTGTGTCTCAGTCAGCCTTGGAGCACCCGAACATTCCCTTAGCGTCCAATACGAGCTGGCCGCAGTTTACAGCTGTGACACATAGGATTAGGTTTGCTGAATTTGGCTATTGGACACAGAGAACTCCAACACACTTAACCAAAGCACGTCAAAGGAACTGAAGCACTCTGGCGTAGCAGCTCCCTCACTTAACCAAATACAGTGTGTGCAAACTTCGCACATGCCCGGATTTCAAGTTTTCACTTTGGGGTGCGCCCGTGCCCGTTAAGGGCGCCAAAACGCTCACCTACACCCAACCAAGGGTCAGATGGGGAGGAGCTGGGGAGCGCAAGTACGAGCCCCAGAAACTTCGACAGGCCTGCCCCGCATCACCGCCGCCTTGAAAATCAAGAAAATAACGACAACGAATTCAAACCAGCAGCATTGCGAAAAATGAAAGAACTAAGGCAGCATTACAAAATGATTTTCCACCACTTGTCGAATGTCAGCCAGCACCTTTCAGCAACCTCACCTCACTCGGTGTCCTTTTTCGGGTTATCAATTCATTTCCTTAACCCCCACACAGCTGACTCTCACGCTTCAAATATCTTCTGTGATCCCCGCTGCCGCGTGACTTCTAAGTGCCAGCTGTTTTCTTGTCTGAGGATGTCTGTTCCTCTGTATCGTGTACTACGGTCCTCGCCGCTCCATGTCGTCCCCCAAGATAGTCCTGTTCCATCCATCCCAATATTCCTCGTGACTTTCCGCGTCTCGCTTGTTGACTGGCGACTTACCCTCGTCACTTGCGGTAGAAAGGATCCTATTCGATGTTGGGTTCTCATCCCCGTAGTTTCACCACACTGGAACCTCCCGTTCACGAGCAAATATCGCCTAGAGACCCAAGTTACGGGATCTTCTCGACATCCGACTTTCGGCCTCTTGAGTCCTGTGCAGAGCGAACGCCACGCCACCATCGCACCGTATCAGATAGCAACATGCTTAGTCTCGAAGCGCCGCGTCGGGGCACTGCGCTTGACGAGCAAAGCGCCTTCGATCGCTGCTATGGGTATCCCGCACCCACGGTATTGACTGAAAGTCAGCACCGCCGGCAACGATCCGCAACCGAGCTTCACGTTTCTCCTCCGTCTCAGCCAACGAATCATGTCCCTCCCGTCTCACGCATGAGACAAGGAACTCCTCGCAGTGCCGTGAGTTGCGGCCAGATCCCCCTCGAAAGGAACGAGGAAAGGGGGGCTCCCTCCCACGCGGGGCCGTCGCTGTCCCCGGCGCGTTCGCCGATGCGACAGCGAGACGGAAAGCACAGAAGTGCCCTGCGACGGCGTGGCAGCGAGGCGGATTTGCTTTTCCCGCATTCGCTATCCACCCTGTCACCCGCACCGTTGCCGCCCTCTCGCGGCGTACCCCAGTCTCGCTCCGGAGAGTTCTGCATCCAGCCAGGCAACGATGGCGGACTGTCGCCCGTCCACCGCCGACAATCCACGCGCCTGCCCCGGCCTCCGTCCTCCCAGCCCCTCGGCGCTTCGGGTGCCGCCAGGGCCCCCCGCCGCGGCTCTCACGCCCCGCGTCTGTCGCTCGATGAGCATGCGTTCGTCTCAGCGGCTCTCACACCTGGCCGACGCGTCAGCAGCATCGTCGACCCCGCGGATTTTTCTTTGTCGCCGACGGCGCTCGCCGCCGAGCAGACGTCGCCGTACGGCGCGGTGATGGATGTGGTGGCGTCGGCGCGTCAGCTGATGGAGGAGTGCAGCGCGCGCGGTATTCAGTGGGAACTCGACGACTGGCAGAAGCCGGAGGCGCCGCGGAAGAGTAACGCGCGCATGCCGCAGTCCGAAAGCGCGGGACTTGGCGTGGCGGAAAGGACGCAAGCGGAAGCGGTTTCCGCGGGAGGTCGGGTAAGAAAAGCCGGGCGGCAGCGCGCGGCTCGGGGGCAAGTCGTGGCCGGGCGCAACGGCGCTGGCGGCAAGGCGCATCACCGGATGGTCAGCGTGGACGAACTGCTGGGCGACACGCGGCAGGCGGGGCTGTCGAAAAGAGCTGCTGGCGGCGGCGGTGGCGGTGGTGTGAGGGTGAACGGCGGGGTCGGCGGAATCGACCTGCGGTTCTTCCAAGAATTCGACGACCTGCCGCGGGAGCTGCTGCGCGAGATGCTTGCCGCTAACGCCGACGAGCTTGGCGTTTTCGAGCAGCGAAACAGTCGGGAGGACGCGATGTTGGACGGTCAAGCTGGCGCGAAGAGTCGCGCACGTGCGGGCGAACGGGTCTCTCCAGGGACGAGTCGTCGAGGGGCGAAAGGGAGCGTTGCGAGCGGTGTATCGCTTCGCAGCGGCTGGGAGACTCTGGAGGCGGACGTTGGCAGTGACACGCGCGGGTGGGGGGGAGGCGGAAAGGTGTTGATGCCGAAGATGCAAAACGACAAGGCCGAGGACCGCGACTTATACGGTGGGCAGTCCGACGAGGATGGGGGCGACGAGCAGCAGGAGGAAGCAGTGCAGACTTTAAGAGACCACGTGATGCCGTCGCAGCAACCCGTCGCGGGAAAGCCCATGCTCGGGTCGCGAATGGCGACTGAGACGCACTCCGCGCTCACTTCGTCCCCTCAAGGTCCCCGCTTACGCACTCCCCCGCGCAACTTGCCTCTCCCGCGCAGACGCCGCGAGTCCGCGCAGTTGCCAAGCTGCTCGTCCGTGCCGTCCTTCCAAGCGTCGTCCCCTCCCTCTTTGTCCGCCAAGGACCGAGACCTCGGGCTTCCGCCCGCCGTGCCCCGCGCTTCGTCAAAGCAAAGCGTGTATCGCACTGGCTCCGTGATAAATGAACGCTACGCCGGCTCGAGCCCGACGGCGCCCAGCTTTGATCACGGAAACGCGTCGAATCTCGGGTACCCTCAATTGCAAGCTGCTGCCGAAGTAGAGTCCCTGGTTGGGGCCAAGGCACGGGGGGCTCGGCCAGAGCAGCAGCCGCCGAGGCACGCGCGCAAGTACAACAGCGGGAGCCAGCTCGACGTGTTCGCGGGGTTCCGCTCGCACTCGCGGACCAGCAGCAGCGGCAGTGTGACAGAGGGAGGCAGCGGAAACTGCGCGCAATGGGAAGCGGTCGAGGCGGCGCTTATGGCTTGCGCGGGAACGGGTGGGGAAGTTTTCGACTGGGGTAATCAAGCAGGTTCAATTGCAGGCACGGGCGGCGCGGGCGTACACGGGGCTAAGTGGGGAAGCCTGAGCCTTGGCCTGGAAGGCCTCAAGCTGCAAGGCGCGCTCGCCTCAGCCGTGCCAAATCTGAAGCCGACGGACTTCGTGCTTCGGATGCCCTACGATGATATCAAGGGGCGATATTCGCTCGGAAAGAAGGAGATTGGCGAAGGCAGGTTCGGAACCATCCGAACCTGCTTGGAGCGCGCCACAGGGCAGGTGTACGCGTGTAAAACAATATTGAAGAAGACCATTGAGGTGAGCTGAGACGTCCTACAGTTTACTAGACATGGCTGCTATTCTTTTGTCCATTTTCTTGTTATATGCGTTTCTTTTCCTCACCTCACCAAAAACTTTTTGTTCTCTCTCCTTTTCACTACTTGCAGACTGTCGAGGATGCTGACGATGTGCGAAGGGAGGTAACTTTCCTTGCCATGCTTCGCGGCCATCCCTCAGTTATCACTCTTCAGGAGGTCTTTGAAGACGACAAGGCCATCCACTTGGTCATGGAGCTCTGTGCGGGTGGCGATCTCTTTGACCGAATCAAATCACTCGGTCAAATCCCTGAGGCCGATGCAGCTCTTGTAGTGAAGCAGCTCCTGGAAGCACTGCTCCACTGCCGCTCGCTGGGCATTCTCCATCGCGACATCAAGCCCGAAAACATCCTCCTTTGCAGCCCCAGCGAGAACGTCCCAATAAAGCTAATCGACTTTGGCGTGGCTACAGTGCTTGAGGAGAACTCATTGTGCCGGGAAATGGCGGGAACGCCGGAGTACATGGCACCGGAGGTGCTCGACGAGTGTTACAACTACGAGGCCGACGTGTGGAGCGCCGGGGTGTCCCTCTATGTGATGCTGTCGGGCGTTCCGCCCTTCTGGGAGTCATCCAATCGCACGCTAGAGGAGGCGATCAGGAAGAAAAAGGTGGTGTTCAAGTACTGGAGGTGGGCGACTGTGTCCGAGGAGGCCAAGGACCTTATATCGAGGATGCTGGAGAAGGACCCTCTGGATCGCATCACAGTTCGCGAAGTGCTTGGTGAGTCATAATCTCCTACACCTCACAGCCAGCTCACCTTGTGGGCTGTTTGAGTTCGGTTCTACCACTGCTTAGGGTACGTTCCTGGCGCGTGTCAAACTTCCGGCCAAACTTCGTGTTTTCCGAGCCAGGGGCAAAATTTTTAGGGAAGATCCGAAGTGGGGCGAGCTGTGGGGCGAGCTTCGTGTCATCCCGGGAAGACCGGAAGTTTGACACTAGCCAGGAACGTACCCTTACTCAACGATTCGCTCCAAACATACGGATGAACATTGTTCTCATTTTCTCCCCTTTTCAATATCTGTTTCCTCTTGTGTGTGCAGCTCACCCGTGGATCCAGAAGCACACCAAATCAGCACAGTGACACTTGCATTCAAGCCAACACCAACATCCAGCGACTACAAGTATGAATTAATCTATTAATTAGAACTAGCAGCATATACCTTCATGTGCTGGGCCTTGTCTGCTGTAGCTGCATGCTGCAGGCTACTGCTGAACTTCCCTGCTAGATTTGTGGTAGGATACTTTGTAGGTTGTAGTGTACAGATTGAAATCTCATCTCAAATTGCATTTACAGTACAAGTACAACCAGAAACAGGCTGCAAACCACCAGCTTTAACTAATTGTCACCTTTTCAGTGGCGCTAAGCTAACCACCGGAAGTAGCTAACCTATATTAGCAGTGCGCAATTCATGCCTTCACATCCTTGCATAGCGAGGCAACTGATCATTGAGAACATGGTTATGATGCTTTGGACTTGATTGTGAGCCTAATTTAGTGACCCTGCCAGTGGCCCCTAAGCCGTCTGCACCCATTCATCTCAATGTCAGGCAGTGTTCTTCAACTGCAGGGGCAGAGCACGGCGATATAGGTCAATGTGGGGCGGCCCTAGGCTGTTAGATTGGATGCTTTCCCTGCACAGGTCGCCAACATGCTAGTCAGTGCTGTCATGGCTGTGCCTTCTATGGCCATGGCTTGCAGTCATGGCTCCTCCCTATCAGTCATGTATTTCACCCACGGGTGCTCTGCATGTAGGAGGGGGGGCACAGAGGGGAATGGCTGTTAGGTGGACCGTGGAGGGGGAAGAGAAGAGGGGAAGTGAGGCGTGGGAGTGCTTCTTGTAAATTCCATGAACGAGACAACACAAGCAGCACCTTCGATTCAGCACTTTCACAAAACCTCACCCACCCACATACCCCTCTCCCCACCGCACCCAACCACCCACCACCGTCCCTACCCCACCCAACACTCACCGAGCACTTGAGCACCCAGGATGCGCATCTTGGGATCCTTTGTAAGCATCCTCTTTACAAGGTTCTTTGCGCTGTCCGATATAGTCTGCCAGCGAGGCGAGGAGAAGGACACCTCGCTCTCCTTGATGGCCTGGAAGATGGCCTCGTTGGTGGACGCCCAGAAGGGCGGCATGCCGCACAGCAGGATGTATAAGACCACGCCCGCTGACCAGATGTCGGCCTCGGGGCCGTGCGCGCCCGTGATGACCTCCGGGGCGATGTACATGGGCGTGCCCACGAACTCCATGCACGACGCGTCTGAAAGAACACGCGTAGGGATGTGGGCAGAGGGCAGAGCAGGCAGGATGGGGATGTCGGCCTCGGGGCCGTGCGCGCCCGTGATGACCTCCGGGCGATGTACATGGGTGTGCCCACGAACTCCATGCACGACGCGTCTGATGGGATGTTGGGGATGGGCAATGGGCGGAAGAGGGAGGATGGATGGGATGACTGGCAGCACACAGAAACAGGTGGAACGATAATGACCTCCGGGGCGCTGTACATGGGCGTGCCCATGAACTCCATGCACGACGCATCTGGCAGGGGCATGGGGCAGGGCAGAGCATGTGGTGATACATGAATGGATGGATCTGGGGTGAATGGCAGCACAGAGGCGGGGGCGATATACATGGGCGTGCCCCCGAGCCCTATAGAGGAGAGATGACTCTTGAGACATGCCGTTTGCAGTGATGTGCGTGGGAGCGTGCACAGACACACTACCACATGCTGGGCGCGTCACAGGGGCACGATGCAAGTGGCAGTGCCCATACACTACACACGTGGCACAGGCCCAACCGTTAACCATTCCCACTGCACCGCACCGCACACATCCCCTCCCCACCCTTCCCCGCACCTGGCTCAATGAAGGTGGCGACCCCAAAGTCGATCAGCTTGACCCTCGTGTCATCCTGGGTGTCACAGATGAGCACGTTTTCGGGCTTGACGTCGCGGTGCATGACGCCCTTGCCGTGGCAGCACAGCAGCGCCTCCACCAGCCCGCGCAGCACCCGCGCCGCGCCCTCCTCACTGTACGGCCCGTGCGTCTTCACTCGGTCGTGCAGGTCGCCCCCTGTGCACATCTCCATCACTATGTGCACGTCCTGGGGTGGGGAGAGGGGGGGGGGGAGGGTAGGGAAAGTGGGAGAGAGGGGGGGGGGGGGGTGGGGGGGTTGAGCGTTATGAGTTGACTTGGGATGCACGTTGCAGGTCGCCGCCCGTGCACATCTCCATCACTATGTGCACGTCCTGTATTGGGGGAGGGGGAAGAGGGGGAGGGGCGAAAGGGGAAGATGGAGGAGGGTGCAAGGCGTGATATCACAAGTTGACTCAGAGTAAATGCATACAAGGTTGCTGGTCGTGCATCGCCTGGGAAGAGGAGGGGGGGGGGGGGTAGCGGGAGGGAAAAAGTTTGACGAGCAATAGAATGAAGTGGAACAAATTGGAAGTGAAAGTGAATGGAGAGTGACGGGCAAATACCTACTCTTTGGTGAGGAACGAAAGACCAAAAGCAACGCATGGCATTCCTGACTGACAGCACCCGACTCATTCCAGCATGCACACCCTCTCTGTTGCCCTGCTGGCAACCACGCACCCGAGAGTCCTTCAAGGCGCCGCACATGCGGATGATGTGGGGGTGCTGTTGGGCATCCCCATCATCGCACCTCCATGCCCCCCATCGCGCCTCCATGCCCCCCATCGCCCCTCCCCATGCACACCATACCCCCCTGTGGCCTCCATGCGCCCACTACAAGGCCTGATACGCACCCGAGAGTCCTCGAAGGTATTGCACATGCGGATGATGTTGGGGTGGCCGTTGAGCATCCCAATTACTGCCACCTACATGCCCACCATGGCACCATGGCGCCCATGCACCCATACGCACCCTTGAGTCCTCGAATGCGTCGCGCATGCGGATGATGTGGGGGTGGCCGTTGAGCATCTCCATCACCGCCACCTCCATGCCCACCGCCTCCGCATCGTCCGCGTACTGCATGGCGTGGTGGGGCACGGTGCAGCACGGTGGGGCACAGTGGGGCGTGGTGGGGCGTGGCATAGTGTGACATGGGATTGGATGGGATGAGATGGCATGGGGTGAAGTGGCATGGCCTGTGATCGCGTTTGTGATGGATTGCATGTGTAAGATGAGCACAGCTCAGATGGTGTCGCAATGCATCACATAGCTCTCTCCGGCCTAGCTGACTAAGAAATCACGCATGCTGAGCTGGAAAGCGTGCGTGCTGAGCTGGAAAGCGGGCACACTGACCTGGAAGGTGCTCTTGCTGATGCTCTTACACGCCAGCACCTCCCCCGTCTTGAGCTTCACACAGCTCCTGATGATGCCAAACTGCCCCGTGCCCAGAGGTGCCCTCTCCTGCAGCATGTACTCGCGCTCGATGTTCCGGTACGGGCGGCGCAGAATGAATCTCGGGCACTGTAGCCCCGGGAGCATCTCGGGCGGCATCATGCCGCCCAGCTGCCCCGGCAGCATGCCGCCCGGAAACACGCCCGGGAAGCCGGGGATTTCCGGCGGCTGCCCGGGGAACTGCCCGGGAGGAAGCTGCCCTTGCATGCCTTCCGGCATGGGCTGCCCGGGGAGAGGGAATGGGTATCCGGGCAGAGGGAAGGGCTGCCCGGGAAAGGGAAATTGTTGGTCTCCTTGGGGGAAGGGTTGAGAGGGATCCGGAAACATCTGCCCGGGTATGAGTTGCTGCTGCCCGTTCATGTCTGGGAGCATCCCAGGGGGGAAAATCTGCCCGGGAAATTGCGGGGCACCATTAGGTGCAGGCATGGGTATGCCATTCATCATCATGTGTGAGGAGCCATCCATGGGCATGGCACCATGCATGTGACCATCCATGCCCATGCTGCCGCTCCCCATTGCCCCACCCATCCCCCCTGGCAATGCCCCATTGGCCAAGGGCCGGCCGTCTCGTGCCACGTCAGCACCAGCTGGGTCATTCCGGGGTGCTGCCACGTCAGCATCATCCATGTCAAACTCAAACGCATCAGCTTCCTGACTGCCCCTCCCATGCGTCTCCCCTTCCCCCTCACCCTCCTCCCCTTTCCCCTCCCCCTCCCTCCCCCTCTCCCCGACTTTCACCCTGGCCCGCTTCCCCTCCCCTTCTTCCCCTCCGCCACTCACCCCCCCTTCCCCGCCCTCCAAAATCGCCCCCACCCCCCACGCGCCCCGCTTCCCCCCTCTGCCCCCGCCCGCGCCGCCCTCAGGCGACCCAATAGAAGCCCGGCTGGAGTGCCGAGACAGCCGCCGCCCGCCGCCGCCCAGGACAACGCTGCCCTCATCGGCACTGTACACGGGCGAGCACACGTCCACCAGCGAGCACACCCCCACCGACCCCTCTGGACTCCCACACACCTCCCCTCCTCCTGCGCCCGCTGCCCCTCCCGCCCCCCCACCTGCTTCGCTCGTTGCTGCTCCCAGCCATGCGCCTTGACCCTGCTCTAATCTGCCCTCCTGCCGCTGCTGCTCCTGCTGCTGCTGCTGCTGCTGCTGCTGTCTTTGTTGTTGCCATTGTTGCTGTTGCTGATGCTCATCCTGCTGATAGTGGTTGTGGAAACTGCTGTTCCGGTCATTCCCTTGCCCCCAAAACGACAGACCCTCTCCTTCCCCGCTCACAGCACCCCCACCGGACCCTATTCTCTCCCCCCCAACACCACCCCCTTCCCCCGGCGCCCACACTGCCACCTCCGCCAGGGGCGGGCTAGAGAGGGCGGATTCAGGGGAGCTAAGGCCAGCAGGGGAGAGGCTGCTGGAGAGGGGAGGGCTCACGGAGTCAGCAGGGAGATGAGAGGGATGCGTGCCGCCACCACCTGTGCCTGCTCCTGCTCCTGCTCCTCCTCCTGCTGCTGTTGATCCGCTGGCCAATGGTGACCCTGGCCGGCCGGCAGGGAGATCCAGGGCTGCCGGCCGCATCGCCATTGGTCGAGAGGACGGCCGGGCGGCAGGGGCCACTGTAGCTGGGGCTACAGTGACCGGTCTGTTCCCTCCACTGGATCCTGGCCTGGCCGGCAATCGGCCGGCAGAGACCTGGGCGGCGAGGGACTGTAGCGAGTCGGCAGCATTCTCAGCCAGCCCTCCTCCCGCCCAGCTGCCGTACACAGCCGCCTCCCCCTCCCGTCTCGGCGACACAACACCAACAGCACCTGGAAAAACACCTGAGGGGGCACCTGAGGGGGCGGCGTGGGAGTGGTGCTGCAAGCGGGCGAGAGCGGCCCTCATAAGATCCTCTGCTCCCTCTACCCCCATGAGGCGCCGTGACAGGCGCAGACCCCCCCGGGGAGTCATTATAAACCCCGGGGATGAGGGCGTGGCAGGGCGGGAGGAGGGAGTGTCGGGCCGCGACTCGGGCGTGTCGGGCCTGGAGCTCCCTCGGGAGCTTGGCTGCCCGTCCCTGTCTGTCGCTCCTGCTGCTGCTGCTGCTGCTGCTGCTGCTCCCACGTGGTTGTGCATGGGGTGGTGGTGGTGCGGGTGGTGGGGGTGCAAGGGCACCTCAACAGAGAAGCCCGGGCGCGTGGAGGACGTTTCCCGCACTGACGTGGACCGCAGCACTGCAGCGCTGCTGCTGCTGCTGCCTGCCTTGCCGCCTCTGCCCCTGCCCGCACCGCTAGTTGTAGCAGACGCAGCGGAAGAGGAGGAGGAGGGGCGGGAGGGGGAGAGGTCGCGGGAGGGCATGAAAATGTCCTCCATCTCGCGAGTCTGCTGCCACGGGTTCACGTGCTGCTGCCTCCGTGCTGCTGCTGCTGCTAGTCCCACCGGCCCCAGCGCTGGCCCCCCTGCCCCTGCTGGTAGTCGCGGCGATATCACCCGTGGCGACTGCACCTGCTCTGCTCCCACTGGCTGCTGCTGCACCCGCCCCTCCTGCTCCTGCCCTTCGCCACGCCCACCCTTCTCTCCACTCACTTCCAAACTGCCCTTCTCACCCTCCAAGTCACCTCCCTCCTCCTCCTCGTCCTCCTCATCCACAACAGCAGTGGCCCGGTCTAGAGGCGCAAGCGGCACGGCATTCACAACGTCATCGTCCAGTTCCATCGACTCCTCCCTCGCATGTGCCCCCCCTCTCACCCCCTGCTGCTGCACCCCCTGCTGCTGCTGCTGGCTCGTCTGACCGGGCTGACTGCCTTGACTGCCTTGACTGGGCAGGGAGGGGCGGGGGGAGGGCGGCAGCAGGGGGGCGGGGACGTGCACGAGGGGTCTGGCGTCCACCACATCGTCCCCCATGTCCTCGCTTGCCTCTCTCGCATGCCGCCTCGCTGCTGCTGCTGCTGCTGCTGCTGCGGCCTCGGCCTGTTGACCGTGTTGACTCGCTTGACCATGCCCATGATGGTCGCGGGGCGGATCCGACAGTCGCCTCTTCACTCCCTCACTCGCCTGCTCCTTCCACGAATCGTCCAGCGAGTCAGCAAACATCACTCCCCTTGACCCCCCCTCCTTTTGCGATCTCGATCGCAGCAGCTCCCCCCTCGCCCTCCCCCCACCCATCACCGCTCCCCCTGCCACTCCTGCTGCAGCTGCCCTGCCTGTCCGCTCCTCCCCCGCACCCCCCTCCAGATCTCCCAATAGCAGCCCGCGCCCTCCACCTTCCCGGGACGACCTTGCTCGCATCAGTGTCTCCCTCCCCCCCATGCCTCTCACCTCCCCCACGCCTCTTGCTTCCCCCCCTCCCCCCTGCACCTGCGAGTCCAGGTCCGCCCACCCCACCTCCCTGCGCCGCCCCACCGATACACTCCTGTCCTCCTCGCCCCCTCTCCGCCGCCTCTCATTGTCCCCTCTCTCTCCCCTCTCGCCCTTCTCACCTGTCTCGCCCCTCTCCCCGTCGCCCTGCGCCTCCAGCAACCCTGCAGCACCCGACCGGCTCCGCAGCAGCCGCCCATCCCCCTTGCCACTTCCGCCCCTCCCCACCGCACCCAACCCCCCTGCTGCTTGCGCTCGCCCTGTCCCTTCTCGCCCCGCCCCCTCCCTCCCTGCGCCCTCTCTTGCGCCGCTGTGCTCCCTGCCTGCCCCTCTGGCCAGCCCGGGACCATCAATACTAGCGCGGCCTGTAGTGCTCACCCCCACTCCCAACCCTGCGCCCAGGTCAAGGCTCATATCCACCCCGCCAATCACAAAGTCTGACCGTGTGCGCTGGTGCCGCCCCCTCCCTGCCCTCGCCTCCCCTCCCGGCCCCCCTCTTCCCCCTGCCCGCACCACTCCTCCCCTCCCCCCTGCTGCTACCCGCCCTCCCCCTCCTCGTCCCCCCGCTGCTCCTCCTCCTGCTGCTGCTGCTGCTCCAGCCGTCCCTTCTGGGCCCAATACTTGCGATCCCACCCCCCTGCTCAGTCCCCCATCACCTGCCCCTGCCCGCCCCAACCCCCCATCCCAGTCATCCACTGACCCTCGGCCCCCCCTTCCCCCTCTCCCTCCTCTCCCTGCCGCCCCCACCCCTCTCCCTCCCCCACCCTCCCTCCCATCGACCCCCCTCTCCCCCCACTCTTTCCCCCCTCTCCCCCCGTCTCCCCCAACCCCAGGTCCCCACCAAAACCGCCCAGCACCAGTCCCCCTTCTGTCCGCTGGCGCCTGTGCCCCCTTCCCCCTGCCCTTCCCCCTGCACCCCCTCCCCTTCCCCCCATGCCTCCCACCTGCCCGCCCCTCTGCTGCAGCAGCTGCTGCTTCACCTGCTGTAGCCGCATCTGCTGCTGCTGCTGCTCCTGCTGCGGCGGCGCTCAGCTGCCTATGCACCCCCTCTCCCCCCTCCCCCGCCAGCAACAACCCTGCGCCCATGCCCCCTGCACCCCCTGCCCCCCCTCCCCCTCCCGCTCCTCCCCCTCCTCCCCCTGCTGATGCGCTGCTGTCCAGAAGGCTCCACGACTGTTTCAGCTTCTGCTGCTCCTCAGGACTTAGCAGCGACAGCAGGTTGTTTAAAGCCTGAGTTATGTCCACTGGCTTGCGTGCCGAACCTGCCGGCTTGCCATGGGCCGAGCCAAGGCCTCCCGGGCCTGACCCCGACGCAGTAACGGACCTGACAAGAGGCGGCGACGTGGAGGAGCCTGCCGAACCTGTGGATGTGGCAGGTTCGGCGTGAGGCTTGGGGAATCTGTTGCGACTGGAAGGTGCTATTGTAGGGTCGGAGTAAACCGGGCCTACAGGGGCATTAGCTCCGGCAGTGGAGGCACTTCGTGGGAATTTGGCGAGCAAAGGGGGGGCAGCGGAGGAAGCAAGGGAGGAAGAGGCAAAGCTAGAAGCTGATGTGATGGAGGAGGGGGAGGACATGGGGGGGGAGGAGGGGCGCATACTGGGGGACGGGGGGCGGATGGACGGGGAGGGGGGGCGAGGTGAGGGGGATGGAGGGCGGAGGGAGGGGGCGGAAGAGCGGGGGGACGGGGAGGAGGGGCGTATGGAGGGGGAGGAGGAGCGCAGAGAGGGGGAGGAGGGGCGGAGAGAGGAGTGGTGCGGGGCGGAGGGCGCAGGGGGGGCGAGGCGAGGAGGGGTGGAGTTGCGGGCGGAGTGGGGGGGGAGGGGCGCGCGGGACTTGTCTGAGAAGCGCCTCTGCAGGCGCGACTCACTGCCACTCAGCTGCTCGGGGGACGGGGAGATGGCAGCAGATAGGGGCACGCGGGTGAGCGAGAGAGAGTGGATGGCAGGTGGGAACAAACCAGATTGGATAACAAGCAAAGCGAGAGCGAGAGGGAGAGTGGCGAACAATGCAGTCACCTCCCAAGAGGGAACTTACAACACAGAAAGGGAAAGGTATCGCTGCACATGGTGCAGCAGAAAGTGTAATAGTCAAGTTTCATGTGGCACACTCACCTCCCCACTGCTGGACCCAGTGAAGTCCAGTTGCTGCACCACGTCCCTCCCCCTCTCCCCCTCATCCCCTCTCCCTCTCTCCTCCCCCTCCCCCTCCCTCTCCCTCTCCCTCTCTCTCTCCCTCTCCCTCTCCCTCTCCCTTCGCTGCACGGCCTCTCCTCCCTCCCCCGCCCCTCTTCCTCCTCCTGCTCCTGCTCCTGCTCCTGCTCCCGCTGCGCCCTTATCCGGCGTCCTCGACTTGACGAACTTGCGCCATTTAGAAACAATGTTCTTTGCAGCATTCTCCACAGGGGACGAGTCCCCCCCGCCACCCTTCTGCCCCCCATACCTCTCCCGCCCCCGCCGCTCCTCCGCATACCCCTCATCCACACTGCCCGCCGCCCCCCCTCCCTCGCCTCCTCCCCCTCCCCTTCCGCCTCCCATCCCCTCCCCACCCGCCCCTCCACCTCCCCGTCCTCTCCCCCCCATTCTTCCCCCTGGCCCCGCCCTTCCGCCCATACCCCCCTCCCCTCTCCCCCCTCCTGGCAGCCTCTGCTGCGCAGCGCCCCTCAGCCCGCCGTCCATCTCCCCCTGGTTCTGCCACACCTGCGCCTGCGCCTGCTGCTGCTGCTCCCGCGCCTCCAGGGGTTGCTGCCATGACATGCGCCGCTGGTGCCCGCGCCCTGCCCCTGGGGGAGCGCCCCCGCGCGGACCAGCGCCATAGGGGGGCGCTGCTGCCCCCCTCTCCTCTTTCCCCCACGCACCACCATCACAAACAACACTTGCAGTAGCAGTGGAACCCTCCTCCCCCTCGCTCTCCTCTCCCCCCCACACCTGCATCACATCCGCCCCTCCTTCTCCTCCCCCTCCCCCTCCTCCCCCTAGCCCCCCTCCCCCTTTCCCATGCATCCGCACGTTCTGCAAGCGCCTCCCCGCGCCCCCCTCCCCTCCGGGCAGCATGCCCTCTATATTTGACGACGTGCGAGAAGCAGCCGACAAAGGCCGCCCACTGCCGGCCCACAGCTCCCCCCCACCACCTGCGCCGCCCCCGCCCTCACCCGCCCCACCCCCTGACATCAACCTACTGTTACTGCCATGCTGCTGCGAGTGCTGCTGCTGATGGTGATGCTCCCCAGGGGCATGGGGGCGCGGGGGAAAGTCCTTTTTGGGCACAGTGGGGGGCGTGCCAGGGCGCCGCGAATCAATCTTGTGCCGCCACTTGCTCAGCACCTGCCGCGCCAGTGACGACTCCCCCCACCCGCGCCCCCCTCCGCCCTCCCCCCTGCCTGCAGCCCCCCCAAGCGCGCCGCTGCTGGTATTGGGGCGCGGGTCCCCTGGGGATCTGGGCTCAGGGTCACTGTTTGCTCGGTTGAATAGCCGCTGCCGGTGGGTGCTAGCACCATCCATGCCTATGCCTCCAGAAGCAGCAGCAGCAGCAGCTGCAGCAGCAGCAGCAGCAGCAGCGGTGGCAGCAGCAGCAGTCAGCCGCGCGTTCAGCAGCGTAGGCAGAGGCGGAAGGAGCAGGGGCGGCAGTGGCAGGGCGCTCAGGTGCGCCTCTCCCCGCCCCCCCACTGATCCTCTGCGCGCCTTCAGACGCCTCCTCGCTCCTGCTGGCTGGTACCCCTATCGTTCTCCACCTTCCCGAACCCCTTCCCACCTCTCCCCTCCCTTGCAGTCCCCCCATCCCTCCCCCTGCCGCTTCCCCCCCAGGTCCCCCTATCCCCCCATTCCCCCACTTCTCTGGGGACACGCGGCTGCTGGAGCGCGGATCAACCCCCGAGACAGTGCGCCTGGGGGGAGTCCGCGGGGCAACCCCGCCCAGCCCCGCGGACGCCGCCTCCCCCTCCCCCATCCCTGCTCCTCCCTCACTTGAGTGCTCGGAAGGTTCCTGGTAGGAGGAGGAGGAGGGGAACCAGCCAGCAAGGCTCATGGGGGAGGCGTCAGGCGGCTGGTTCCAGGGGAGGTGGGATCTGGGGTCGAGGTCCACTGAGGCTGAGGGGAGGTGGGATCTGGGCGGGTGGTGGGACGGGCGGGAGGGGAATGAAGGGGTTTGAACGGGGGGTTGGTGGTGGGTGTGGGAGGAGGAGGGGAAGGGGAAAGACACGTCTCCTGTGCTGCTGCTGTCGCTGTGGGAGTTGGGCAGAGCGAATGCAATCGCCATGTCCTGAACGGGCCGCGCCTCATCACCCTCTGATGCTGATTCCGCCCCTCTAGAGACGTCTTTAATTGCCTGCTTAGACGTGCTGCCTGTCTGATTGGTCCCGCTGGATATCGGGGTTCCAAAAGGGACTGGACTGGGCGGCTCAGACTTTATACTCGTGAAGAACATGTTCGTTATGCTGTCGGGAAGCATGCTCAGCACATCACCAACCACTATCTCCGGCCCACCCGCCCCGCTTCCCCCGCCCTGCCCCGCCCCCCCAGCACCCTCCCCCTTGCGCAGCCCCGCTTCCCCTTTAGCTCCTCCCCCCCCCGTACCCCCCTCCTTCCCCGTTCCGCCTTCACCCTCCCCGTCCGCGTCTGAGGCCTCGGAGCTGGAGCGGGAGGGAGCCTGCTTCACGGGGAACGGCCGCCCCAGCATGTCTGTCGCACCAGGGGATCGGTTCTGGGGACTCACCGCCAGGAATCCCGTACTCCCCATGCGATCTAGCCTCAATCGCGGAGGGGTGTTTCCAGCTTTAGCCCGCGGGCCCGCGCTGGCTGCCTGCTGCGGTTGGGGGGGCTGCATGGGGAAAAGGTGGCTCCGCTTAGGCTCGAAATCCGCTTGCGCGGAAGCCCCGTCTCTTCCCCCGCGTCCGCTTATGGGTTTCGCGGGGCTGCCATCCCGCAAGCCCCCCATCCTCCCCTCACCCGCGTTCTGCGCCGATGGCAGCGCAAGCGCTGCGCCGCTGCTGGCTCTCCGCGCATGGTGCACCCTCGGCGCGCTGGTCGAGCGCTCCGTCCCCTCCGCCAGGCCCTCCGCCAAGCCTTGCGCGTTCCGCGCGCGCGGAGCGACCTGAGGGGAGCCGTGCGGAGCTTGCCCGTGCGTCTGGCGCTTCAGCACCTGCTGCTGCAGCGGCGGATGCTGCGGCGGTTGCTGCGGCGGGCGCTGCTGCTGCTCGTTCGACCCTGCCTTTCGCGGCGGCCCTTGCGGATGCTGCCCTTGCCGCAATCTCGACCGTTCCTGCTGTTGAGATTGCGCGCTGATGCGGCCTCCAGCCGTCGATTGCTGCCCGTGCGGGCTTTCCTCCGACTCCGTTCTCTCGCTTCGCCATTCCTCACGAAAACGAGAAGTAACCTCCTCGCCCCCGCTACTACACTCCTCCTCCCGTGTCTCTCCCCGCGTTTCCCGACTCGGCGGCCTATCCTCTTCCCGCAATTCCCGGTCTGACGACCGATTGTCACGTTCTGACGTGGAACTAGCAGCTGCTGAGGTGGCTGCGGGGGCTGCGCCGCGTTGCGCCCTCTGAAGGGCGTCCCATACAGTGCTGCGCTCGGGGGCGGAAATATTCGATTTTAAAGAGCGGGCCCCGCTACTAGAACTTCGGCTACTGTCAGAGGCTGTAACGGTGGCGCCAGTGGCGGCCTGCGGAGCTCGGTTGGACCGTAGCGCGCTCGAGATACCGCGAAACACGGAGCGATGCTTCGTGGCGACAGGTGGGGTGTCCCGCGCAACTGACTGTACCTGCTCGAGGCCTCGTTCTCCCCCCATCTCATCCCCGCTGCCCTCGCCGCTCGTCCCTGTAACGGGAATTCTTTATCGGGGATGCTCATGTACCAATGCCTGAAAGCATTGCGCCATAGTCGTCAACACAAAATAAAACTTAATTAGGGTTCGAGCCGCTGCGGAAACAGCCATATGGTGGTTATAAAGTTCCTACCTAAAAACACCTGTAGCGGTTTCACCTGCTTCGGCATTTCCGAACATTACTGGTGCTCCTGACTCGTATCAGTCACACTCCAGTTCCTCCCCCCATCCGTACCTTGAATTGGTTGTCAAGGGCTTCCTGTGTGTCGTGTTTCATTGGGCTGAGTTGGGTTGGTCTGGGTTGGGTCAAGTTCGGTTGGGATGAGTTATGGTGCACGACGTTCCCAAGGTCTCGCAAAAGTGTCTGCTGGTGCGGCGTGCGACTGCTGTTGCTGGTCGCCAGTTCCGTTTCGTTGGTCCCTTTTGCTGCTGCTGCTGGCGCTCGTTTCGTGCACCCCCCTCGAGCTTGTCGGGCAAAATTCGATGAAATCTTCTTTACTGAATCGCTCATTTGCAGCAACGAAATGTAACGGCGGGAGTTGTTCAGTGAAGCAACCTACAAGACGGTATGTTTTCGCAAATGTGAAGTTTGCTGCGGAATAAAGTTTCTCATTCTCCCGTAAGCGCACAATGACAATGACACCATGGCCATGGCGGAGAGCTTTAACTACGTCAATGTGCATCAATTTCCAGCATGATACTGACATTGAGACTCTTGGACGACGCGTGGCTTTAAGCTCTACACAATGGTGTATTTTTAGTGTTCATTACGGGAACCTAAGCATCATATTTATGAGCTCCAGGCTGTCGACAGTGTTTCAAGCATCATCGAGGTTACCTATTGCACATGGTTTCAACCAAGTTTCTAAGCTTTCCAATGGATATCATCGTGCTTTGCGCTTGGCATTGTCATCAACTCGCGCTACTTTCAAGGTTGACGTTTTCTATGGTCCACCACTTTCCGTGGTTCTTCTCCACCTCGGCTGTCTGGCGTTCTCAAAGGTTCTGGCTTTTCCCTCGGGCCTGGACCTGCAGCGTTTCAGCTTCAAGCATAAGAAGTACAAACAGTCAGGATCAGCGTCAAATGTGCTCAGTCCGGCTTGTCGCTCAGCCTTAAACGGGCTGTCAAGCTTCTCTCATCATCGCACCATGGGGAAAGGTCGCAGCAACAAGACCGGCAAGAAGGCTATTGACACTGACAAGGAGCCTGATGTGTCTAGCGTACCTGCAGTACCTGTGAAGGATGCTGTTGATAAGGGGCGTACACCGTCCTCCTCTTCGGCGCCTGTGGTGCTTGGTCCCTTCGAAGACCTGCTGGACTTACAGACCAAGGCTGATCCCCCCGCTGTTCAAGATGGCGACGGTGCTGACGGGGTCGCTGATTCTGCAGGGTTATGCGGAAAGGTGGTTGCTGAAGGAGAGGATGATGCGGATGCTGATGCGTAGGAGGACGAGGATGCCTCGTCTGATCAGGCACCTAAAAGATGACGACGATGGTTACTTGAGCGACGACTCCGACGAACATCTGGAACCGGCTTCGCTTGGCAGCATTATTGCTTTGAAACGATTCTCGCTAACCTTGCTGGTGCCGTTCAACAGGAAACCCGAAGTCAAGCGGACTGCTGTAACGGTGGTTACCTTGCTGGATGATTGGAAAGATCAGCTGTCGCCTGATGTGCTGCAGACAACGACTTACCAGGAGCTTACTGCGACCTATTTCTCCGGCACGCGTTATGGTCGCCTTCAAGTTACCTTCAACCACGTCCGCGATGCGAATTTTGTTTGGAGTCAGGTCGTTAGGCACGAATGTGCGAATGGCGACATTGTCGATTTTACCTGGCAGCACCCAGAGGACGCACGCTTCCTCCGAAAGCGTCTGCTGAACCCGGCGGCGAAGGAGGTCGTCGTCAAAGGAGTCCTCGCGGACATTACTGCTGAGCTGATACGTCACTTGTTGGTGGTGTCGAAGCTGGTTAAGCGCGGTCAGAGTGCTTTCGCCAGTGGTTTCGGCTTCCACCGTACCGTTGATCCGGTCACTGGTTTGGACACCGATCGTATCCGCGGCCTGTTTATCCCCCACGCTGATGATGGGTACCGTTGGAGGAACTTTGTGGAGGACCCGTCGACTGGCAGGCGCTACATGCTTCATTACCCATCGCTTACCTGCGAGCTTTGCAGCGGTCAGCACATGTCCCGTTATCACGATCACTACGTCACCTCGAGACAGGAGAACTTCACCAACTGGAACCTGACGGTCAAAAAGGTTCATGACATTAACGGTATAAGCAGGAAGATCCCTCGTCCTCAGCTTTCGCTTTCATTGCCTTCGCTTTCCGCTCCGCTCGTATCATGCCTCTCGAGCCGTACTGATGACTGTCTCCTCACCTCCTCTCGCAGCAGCTTCCCTGATAGCCACAACGTCACTGACACGCATTCTGAAAGACCCCGCAGTCATACTCACCTCTACAGGAGGTGTGCGAGAGGAGTGGGTGCGCGTACAGACTGTATGCGAGAAGGCCCAAGGGAATCGGTTCGAGCAGGCGGCGGCTCATGTGGCTTCTGCCAGGCACAAGGGAGGGCTGAAGAAAGAAGGTGCAGCAACACGCGCCAGAAAGCACTCTCAGAAGATGGCTGCTTTCAAGAGGGAGTTCATGGCCGTGCTGGCAAAGTAGTGATCAGCGGCTTAGCGGATGAGACGACGTTGTGGTTGTTTGGCGCAAGTTGTGTAGTAGGTGTCAGGTTCCCTTTCGCTGTAGCAGGTTGCATCGTCGCAATAAAGATCAATCGCCCGTGGATGCTGTGGGGCTCACAGGAGGTGGTTAATGGATAAATGCAACAGCTTAACATTTCTCGAGCTCAACATCAACGGGCTCGGTAGCTGTGGGAAACAAGAGAGATGTGGAAAGTGGATCAGAAAGGCAGCACACATAGTCGTACTCACCGACACACGAGTTTCTCAGGATCATAACTTCTGGACGCAAGTCAGGTCGGAAGCTCAGGCGGTAGTTGGCCCGTCCCAGAGAGCTGGGGGGGTGGCGGTCTTGGGCTTCCTGCCAGGCATGCGGTTCACAGATGTGGTTACGCACGAGTCCGGCAGGCTCATCAGTCTGATGATTGCATGGCGCGATCTGTCCTGCAGGGTGGTGGCCGTATACTTACCGGCGCAGGCACCCGCTAGGGGGGCTTTCTTTTGCGATGTACTAACACCCTTTGTGCAGAGCTTGAGCGCCTCTCCATATACTATACTTCTTGGCGACCTGAACATCGTTGCGGATCGAGAGCTTGACAAGTCCTCGAAGCTGGGTACGCCGGCGGAAAACCAAAGACTCCTGCAGATTTGCTCGAGATGGGATCTGCAAGACGCTTTCCGGTGCCTTCACCCGACCAGGAAGGAGTACACTTTCTTCTCGAGATCTGCAAAAACAAGCACACGGATTGACAGGGTGTTTTCACACTCTCTTCTCAACTGTGTAACGGGGGCGAAGCATAGAATGGTCCCATACGGATTAACATATCACTGGTTTGCGGTGTCGGTGTCGCTCAAGGCCGCATCGGCAGATGACCATGGTCCAGGGCTGTGGAGACTTCAGGCACCTCATGCTGGGGGCGAAGGTGTCCGGAACATCATATCGGCGGTTTTGGATTCTCAGGCGGATTGTCCGGACCAGGGCCTGGAGAGACTGGTGACGAATCTGCGGGCAAGCATGAGGGCACACGTAGCAGAGAAGAGGAAGAGAGTTAAGGCGACCATGGTGCACCTGGAGCTGAAGGTGGAAGAGCTCAGATGGAAAGTGATGTCAGACCCTTCGTCGCAGGCTCTGTACGAGGAGCTGATACAAAGCGAAGCGGCGCTCAAGCTTTATTAGGACAGCAACAAGGAGCGGCTGCAGGTTCTGACGGGGCTGATGCAAGAGCTGGCGGGTGAGACTCCATCGGGCTTCCTATCTGGTTTGGTCAAGTCCAGGAAGGCGTAAACTGAAATAGCGGAACTCACGTTCAAAGGGGTGTTGAGGAAGGGAGCAAGCGAGGTGCTGCAAGCGGCCTCGAAGCATTTCCGAGAGGCCTACGCGTTGTCGCCGTTGTCCTCTCCAGTGGAGCCGTGGCCGATTGAAGAGGGAAGGACGCTGCAGGAGTGTGATCGCTTACAGCTGGACGGCGAATGGTCAGAGCAGGAGGTGAAAGCGGCGCTGAAAGGCCTACCGGCGGGGAAGGCCCCGGGGCAGGACGGCTTGCCGAAAGAGTTTTTCGAAAGAGATTGGGAGTTGTTGGGCCCGGCTTTGATGAGGGAAGTCAGGACCTTCGAGTCAGCGGGTGTGCTTTCGGAATCTTTTACGACGGCGGTTACGATTCTTCTGCACAAAAAAGGGGACAGGGGCGATTTGGGGAATTATCAGCCGATTACTTTATTGAGCTTCTTCTACAAATTGCTAGCGAAGGTGTTGGCGAATAGAATCAAGGTGGTCTTACCGAAAGTGATCTCCGGCAACCAGTTCGGCTTTCTCCCGGGGAGGAGCCTCGCTGACGCTGTCTCTCTTGTAGCAGATGCGATTGACGCTGCGGAGCAGGAAGACGAGGATTGGCTGCTGCTGCTGGTTGATTTCCAGAAAGCCTACGATTCGGTATCACGGGAATACCTCTTCACGACGCTGGGCAACATGGGCTTTCCGGAGAAATTCACGAGATGGGTGAAGGGTCTTCATGATGGAGCGGCGACCAGGGTGCTGTTGAACGGCTGGATAGGGGAGCGGGTGGTGATGGACAAAGGGGTTCATCAGGGCTGCCCGCTCGCCCCATATCTCTTCCTTTGCGCGGTTGAGCCACTCTGCCAAGAAATAGAACGGAGGAAGCTGGGGGTCAGGAAGAGGGGTGTGAAAGGGAGTTTAGACTATATTGGATACGCGGACGACACGACACTGGTCATGAAGGGCAAGGAACAGGTGGTGGTTGCTGAGAAACTGCTGGGGGAGTTCGTGGAGATCTCAGGGCTGAAGGTGAATCGGGATAAGACAACGCTGATGCCGCTGGGTAAAAACCTAAGGAGGCTACAGCCGATAGCGTCGTCTTTCAAGTGGGCGGAGAAGAACGCGTCTGAAAGGCTGCTCGGAATCTGGATCACTTTGGGAGGCTCGCCGGGACCTGCATGGGACAAGGCTTTTGAAAAAGTTAGCGCGGTGCTGAGCTGCTGGGAGAGTAAACACCTCAAAACATCAGCACGGGTTACAATCATAAACAATTACGCGATGCCGATCCTGCTCTTCCAGGCGCAGATTTACGCCTCACCGTACGAGGTCTGGACCAAAGTGAAGAGGTTGTGCCATAATTTCATCTCGGGAGGGAAAGCGCTCCTCGACAAGCACTTCACGCTATGGAGCTACGAACTGTCGTGCAGAGGTCGGAAAGAGGGGGGCCTGGGAGTGATTGATCTGAAGCATCGGATTGATAGCATGGTGATCCAAGGACTGGGGAAGGCCCTGGTGGAACAGGAGCCACTTCGGAACTGGTTGTGGGAGAGGGCGGCGGCTTTTCCCCTCGGCTTGGCCACGATTTACGCGCATCCTTCAGTCATGAAGTCCTGGCTGGGGAGGGGCACGAGGTGGAAAGCCACTATTAAAGTGCTATGGGATTCAAAACTGGTGGTCATAGGGGATCCGGCTCACAGGTGGGACGCGGAGGAGGAGCAATTACTTTTCAATCGCAGCATTTTCTTCAGGGGAAGATCATTTTTCGGAACCAGGCGGGCTCGCTCTGCCTGAAGGACATCCGACTGGGGGATTTGGTGGCGATGGGAGGAGATGGCAGCAGATCTCGTAAGAGCGAGGAGGTTCTGGAGAGGGAACTGGGTGGTGTGGAGCAGAGGAAGTGGGCCCTGAAGGCGTGGGATGCGACACCACAGAGATGGAAGGATCTGGTACTCAACCAACTGTCGGCGGAGGAGGTTTTCAGGGAGACGAGGCTGGTCCGCTCTGCGTCTTACCGGTCAGGAGAGTTCTTTTACTATCAGTTGCAGTATGTGAGCAACAGCGAACTGTACGGTCGGAGAGTGACGGTGGACAAGAAAGGGAACATAGGCGAGGTGGAATATGCTAGCGTGGTAACGGTGGACTTTCGGCGCGTTTCACCCATGGCAGTCATAGATGGGAGGGCCCGTGGCCTACTCGGCGCTCCGAGAACACGACTGCTCTGCTCCACAGTCTGCGAGAGACGCGAGCGGGCTGATCTGAAGAAGCTGAGGAAGGCGATGAAACCCTCGGTGGCGCAACCGAAACAGCAGCTGAAGTGGGAAGAGGAGGTGGGGAGGAAGATCGACTGGGGGAAGGCTATCACGGTCTGTGACTCACTAGCAACCCCATGCAGGGCACGGGAAGTGATACTGAGGGTGCACAGTAACAACCTCCAAGTGGGAGAACGGCTCCCTTTCCTGGGCGAGAGGGCGAAATGCACGCACTGTGGCGGAGTGGAATCGCAGGATCACTGCCTTTTCAGCTGCCCGGTGATCTAGCCTGTGGTGGAGGTGATGAGGAAGGTGGTTTAGTGTATGAATCCGGGCAGGGACATGCGTTCTCTCGGGGACATGCTCTTCCAAAGGAGTGGCACGTCGTCTGGGTTTCCTGAGGCGGCAATCATATCCATTACAGCGCATCAAGTTTGGCTGGAAAGGTGCAACGCGGTTTTCCGAGGGAGCCGTTTCCAGCCGAAGAGAGCATTGAGACGCATGGCAATTGGCTTCACAAGGCACGTGAAGGTCTACAACAGAGCGCGGAAGAAAACGGCTGGCAGGAATGCTTCGAAAAGGACGGGTGACTGGAGCCACTTGAATGCTGACGAGGCAGGCGCTGTGCGCAGGCTCTATGAGACAGAGGCCTCGATGACGTGGAGAGCGGGTTTCAGGAAGATCTGGGAAGATGGTGGTGTAGCGTTCCAGCCTCCGTAAAGGGATAAGGGGGGCTCTGGTTACTTGGGTACTTGTAACCTCTCCATGCCCTCCTAGCAACAGTTACGACTGCGGATGTATGTATGCTGGTAGTGTACTTATATCCACCAAAAAAAATAAATCAGTGAAGCAACCAGTAAAATTAACATTTACGTACACAACAATATGGAGCTTTTATGGTGCCAAAGAACAACAATCAGGGAGCATTAAATACAAGGCTTGCTAAAGTACCGTAATGTGTAAGTATGGTGTCTTCTCAGTACACCAAGTGCTTGTGAGCAACTGCCTTAAGCACTCCACATAAATTAATCGCATATGGTAAACTAGCTACGCTCAGCTTATTTGTTAAATATACGATTATGTAGTCACTTCGCCGGTTCCAACACAAACTCATCATTGATACCTGCGAATCCATGGATGATCTGTTGGGTGAGGTGCAAGTAAAGGAGGTGGAGAGTGGTGGTGAGGACAAAAATTTGACAAACACAGAGATGCAATGTCATGTCACGTCACGCTTACTTCGACAAGGGCTTAAGTGAAAGTGAGACAGCACCAACTGGGCTTCTTCTTTACTGCATCATCACTCACCATGCCTGGCCTCACCGGAACCTACCTGTTCTCTCTCCGCATTTTGCGGGAAAAAAGTAGTTTGCCCTCCCAAGACCCACGTTGATAAGGGAGAGGAGATAAAAGCAACAAGACATGCCGCTCTTTGCCTGCCATTCCACCCGTCCACTCTCCCGCCCCATCCTCGCACTCACCCAGAATTTCCAATGCCGTGATTCGCTCCCGTGGATCCTTTGTAAGCATCCTCCTTACAAGCTCCTTGCACTCCTCGCTTGCATTCGCCCACTTAGCGGATTTAAAGCTCACGGAGCCCTTGAGGATCGCCTCCGCCACGCACTTGCGCGACGACGCCCAGAAGGGCGGCACGCCGCACAGCAGGATGTATAAGACCACGCCCGCTGACCAGATGTCGGCCTCGGGGCCGTACGACTGCAGCAGCACCTCTGGCGCCATGTACTCAGGCGTCCCCAGCACCTCCGTGAGCCGCTTGCCTGCGGGGGGGTGCAGCCAATTGCATGGAAGTGGGGAAAGGATAACTTTCAGGAAAAGCACCTCTGGCGCCATGTACTCGGGCGTCCCCAGTACCTCTGTGAGCCGCTTCCCTGCGGGAGATTGCAGCAGATTATAATAGATTGGGGAAGGAGCAACCTAGGTTAAAGGCATCTTTGGAACCACTTGCTTTCGGGAGGCTATGGCAGCAGCACGATTAAGAACAGGGGAAGTGCAAACAACAGCAGCACTGGCGACGGTGGTGCTGGCAGCAGCAGCAGCAGCAGCAGTGCACGCCAGAGAAAGCACTCACCGGGCTCAAAGAAGGTCGCAACCCCAAAGTCCACCAGCTTGATCCTTGAGTTCTCCGATCGGTCGCAGAGGAGGATGTTTTCTGGCTTGATGTCGCGGTGCAGGATGCCGTGGCAGTGGCAGTGCAGCAGCGCCTCCACCAGCGCTCGGCACAGCCGCGCGGCACACTGCTCCGTCAGCCGCCCGCTGCTGCTCACCCGGTCGAACAGGTCCCCGCCCTGACACAGCTCCATCACTATGTGAATGTTCTGATGGAGAGGGGGGGGAAGAGGGGAGCAGGGAGAGAGAGGTGTGAGGGGAGTAGAGGGAGGGGAGAGGCGTCAAGAAGGTTGCTGCTCTGACACAGTTCCATCACTGTATGGATGTTCTGAAAGGGGGAGGGGGAGCATGATGTGGGAAGAAAGGGGCGGAAGGGGGTTAAGGGATGGGGAGGGGAGGGGTTAAAGAGATTGCCGCCCCGACAGAGCACTGACACACGAAACACGGAGCAATGCTCCTTGTTTCACTATGTGGATGTTCTGTGGGTGAGGGAAGGATGGTTGGTGGGGGGCGCGAGGAGAAAGGGGAATGAAGGGAATGAGGGGAATGAGGGGAATGAGGGGAATGAGGGGAATGAGGGGAATGAGGGGAATGAGGGGAATGAGGGGAATGAGGGGAATGAGGGGAATGAGGGGAATGAGGGGAATGAGGGGAATGAGGGGAATGAGGGGAATGAGGGGAATGAGGGGAATGAGGGGAATGAGGGGAATGAGGGGAATGAGGGGAATGAGGGGAATGAGGGGAATGAGGGGAATGAGGGGAATGAGGGGAATGAGGGGAATGAGGGGAATGAGGGGAATGAGGGGAATGAGGGGAATGAGGGGAATGAGGGGAATGAGGGGAATGAGGGGAATGAGGGGAATGAGGGGAATGAGGGGAATGAGGGGAATGAGGGGAATGAGGGGAATGAGGGGAATGAGGGGAATGAGGGGAATGAGGGGAATGAGGGGAATGAGGGGAATGAGGGGAATGAGGGGAATGAGGGGGAATGAGGGGAATGAGGGGAATGAGGGGAATGAGGGGAATGAGGGGAATGAGGGGGAATGAGGACGGTTAGTGGGAGAGAAGAGGGGTCAAGGAGGTTTGCGGGCCTGACACAGCTCCATCACTATGTGCATGTTCTGAGCGGTGGGAGCGAGGAGAGATGGGTGTGACGCATCGGGTGTGAATGGGGAGGGGAGTGAGGGGAGAGTGGTGTGAGGAAAGAGGGATGTGAGGAGAAGAGGGATGTGAGGAGAAGAGGGATGTGAGGAGAAGAGGTATGTGAGGAGAAGGAGATGTTGGTTTGGAAAAGCAGTTGAGAGGTCACTTCTTGCTTTGAGAGAGTGTGAATTGACTTGATGTATCACAACCCCCACTCCAACCTCTACTACACCCCAACCTCCTCGCTTCACCATGGCTTCACCATGGGTTTGAGTGTCAGTCTAGTGGAGTGGCTATGCAATCATTCATCTGATGCGACAGCTATATACATGCTCCAACAAACCATCCTGTAACCCTATCTCGGCATCTATATCGGTGTTTTCCAAAATCTTTCTCGATTATAATGGGGCGGTGGCTTGATTGTGGTGGAGTTAGGGGGTGGTTTGGTTTGTATGCCACAGTTGCAGCTGCACTCGGTGCGTGGCAGTCCATCCCACAACGTTACCCCGCCCTCTTATTATAGGCGTTACTCTTGTGAGGCGACAGCGCAACAACTCACTCCCCCTACCCCCGTGCCTCCTCATCCTCCTTAGTGCCATGGAGAGGGACCATGGTGGGGTGATTGCAACCTAACTCACTCAACCCATGACCCTACCACCATAGCACCGCACCGCACCGCACTTTGTACCGCCACCACCTCCTCGTCCTCCTTGCTGTCTTTGAGAGAGACGATGGTGGGATGGATGGATCTTTTCACTCATCCCCATGACCCTACCTACATTCAACCACCCTACCCCCACAATCCCCGTACCTCCTCATCCTCCACAGTGTCTCTGAGAGCGACGATGGTGGGGTGGTTGTGCAAAACAAAATCAGTCAACGCTACCACGGTACCACCGAACCCCCACAACCCTGTACCTCCTCATCCTCCACGGTGTCTCTGAGAGCGACGATGGTAGGGTGGCCGCGCAGCAGCGTGAGGCACGCCACCTCCTTCCTTATGTCCTCCGCGTCCTCCTTCGTCTGGTTGGTGTGTGGCAGGGGAGCAGGGGAGGAGGGGAGCAGGGGAGCAAGGGAGGAGGGGAGGAGAGGAGGAGGGGAGGAGGGGAGGAGGGTGAGGAAGAGAGAGGAGCAGCAGCATGAGGCACGCTAACTCCTTCAGAATGTCCTCGGCGTCGCGTCCTCCTTCGCCTGGGGGCCACCGGGAAGAGGGAAGAAGGGGATGCAGGCGGGAAAAGAGGGAACGAGGTTGGGGAGGAGAGGAGGAACAGTGTGAGGCCTGCCTCTTTCGTCTGTGGGGTGTGACAGGGGTGTAAGGAGAGTAGGAGGGGCAGGCGGGCAGGGAAAGGGGGAAGAGGGAAAGAGGGGGAGCGAGGAAGAGGGGAAGCGGGGAAGAGGAGAAGTGGGGAAAGGGCGAGGAGGAGAGGGGCGGCTGGGATATGCCACCTTCTGAGTGTCCTCCGTGTCATCCCTTGTCTGGGTGCCACTGGGCACAAGGGTGATGGACGGGTGTAGAGGGGTGATGGATGGGTGTAGAGGGGTGATGGATGGGTAGAGAGGGGTGATGGATGGGTGTAGAGGGTGATGGATGGGTGTAGAGGGGTGATGGATGGGCACGATGGGCGCAGAGATGAAGGGGGTGACGAAGAGAGGAGAAGGGGAGCAAGAGCACCACCAGTGCTGCACCGGGCAAAACGCCAGACACCACCCTGAGTACTTTCCTCCTCGCTTTTTGAGTTTGTTCCAATTCCAACCACCTTCTCCCTCCTTGATTTATTTCTCTTTGAGTCGACTCAAAACACCCCTCTAGTTTTTTTCCGCTTTTTGTGAGTCTCACCTGAATACATTTCTTGTTGATGGTCTTGCACGCAAACACCTGCCCGGTCGCCACCTCCATGCACGGCCGAATAATTCCAAACTGCCCGCTCCCCAGCTCCTTACTATGCAGCACAAATAGCCCTTTAATCTCCCCATACTCCTTCCTAAGAACGTGGTCCCGTGGCGGCAGCCCTTCATACTGCCCGAAAACATCTTCCACGTTGCCCGAAAAACTCGCAGGCTTGCGCACAGCCGCCCCCAGTGTAGCGTTCAGCTGCCGCCCCTGCTGCTGGCGGTGCGGCGCCACCACCTGAGAAAACACCTGAGGAACCACCTGGTGCTGCAGCGAAGCCTGCTGCTGTTTCTGCCCAGATTGCGCCATGTGAGCTTCCGCCCTGGACTCATTCAACTCCATTCTCTCTGCAACCCCTTGCTGCTGCTGCTGCTGTTGCTGCTGCTTCTGCTGCTGCTGCAATAGCTGCATCAGCTGCTGTTGCTGCTGCTGTTGCTGCTGTTGAAACAGCGCCTTGGAAACAGCTGCAGCATTGGGAACGGCGGCGGTGTGAGGGGCAGCAGCAGCAGCAGCGGAGGCGAGAGCGAGGTGTTTGGAGGCCTCGGCAAGAGCAGCAGACATCACAAGCCTGTCGCCTGCAAACCCCGAGATGGACGACGACGGCCGGTGCCTTCCCACCACCCCCACTCCACCCCCAATGCCCCCGCCTTCCCCCCCTCCCCCCGCGCCCGCCCCTCCGCGCCTCCCCCCTGCCCCCGCGCCCCAAGCTACTGCACACCCCACAAAAGGGCCCGAAGCGGGTTGGTTGAGCAGCTTGGCGAGGCAGGGCGCGGAGACACGGTCCAGCTGGTACCCTCCCCCGCCCGCGCCCCCCCCAACCCCCGCGCCCCCGCCCCCGCTTCCGCTCACGCTCCCGCTGGCGCTGGCGCGCTTGAGTGTCTGGCGCAGGGGGCCTGCGGGCTTCAGCGCCTCCCCCGGGTTGTTCAGCACGAAATCCGCGCTGCCTGTGCGCCGGTGACGTGCCGCTCTCCTATTGGCTGCTGCCCGCGCTGCTACCGCGGAAACGGGAGAAGCGCCGCCTAAAGAGGCGCCTCCGCCTCCTCCGGCTGCTGCTGCTGCCACTGCCTCCGCTGCTGCCTTCTGCGCGCGAGCTGCTGCTGCCACGTCAGCAGCAGCGGCGGCAGACGCGGAAGCGCGTGCGGACGCGGCAGCCGCAGCGGCAGCGGCGGCGGCGGCAGAAGCGGCGGAGGGCGAGGGTGCATTGTGCATGTACCCCCCCAGCCCGCCCGCCCCCTGAAGCTCCATCCATTTCTGGGCAATCTGGGTAATTTCCCCTGGAAAAATCCCGGCAGGCGCCCCTGCTGCAGCCAGTGCAGCAGATGCTGCGGCGGAAAGCGCGGATGCATAATCTCCGCTGCCCCCGCTGCTGCCTCCGCCGCTGCCCCCGCCGTTATTACCGCCGATTCCCGCGCCAACGCCACTGGAAGCGGAACGATGACCCGTGGACACCCTCTGCTTCACAGGACGGTTGCACACCCCCGCATCCCCGTTACTAGCTCCACCGTTTCTAGCACCCCCGTAACCTGCGCAGTCACCTGCGCCTGAGCGCGTACCTGAAATTCCACCTGAACCCACGACGCCCGCTGAGGGGCCCCCCAGGGACATGTGCGAGAGGGCGCGCATGTCCTCTTCCCCCAGCATCGCGCTCCCCCGCCGCTTCAGTTGCTCCGCGCGCTCAAACGTGGGGGAAACTCCTCCTGCGCCTGCTCCGCCTGTTCGCATTCCTGCGCCATTCGCGCCTCCCCCTAACCTGTCCGCGTCGCCCACTGCTCCCGCCAGGCCTGCGTCTGGCGCTGCTGGTCCGCCAGCTTGCTGGAGCGGAGAAATTCCCCTCAAGCGGGAGTTTCCGCCTGCCGCGGAGTGTCCTTGCGCGCCCCCCAACTCCATTTGCAGTTCCGAAATCCCTATTGCGCGCCCCTGCCGTTTCCCCCCTCCCTGCTGCTGTTGCTGCTGCTGCTGCTGCTGCTGTAGCTGCTGCTGCTGCTGCTGCTGCTGCATCGCCGCCGCTACAGCCGCTGCGGCCTCCGCCGTAGCAGCTGCACCCGCCGCGTCCCCGTCAGCAACCATCTGGGCGGCAGCCAGCAGCCGCGCGTGCAAGTCCTGTACGGCGCGACTCGCACTATTCAACGCGCGCGCTCCCCCGGGCGAAGGGCTCCTCCGCGGAGATGCTCCCCGCGGCGTCGCGGGTCCGCTTCCCGCGGAAGCGACGGCCACGAGCGCCGCTGCGGCGGACGGCGCAATAGGCTGCGCGTGAGTGAGGCGCGGGGAAGGGGGCGGGCGGGAGAAGAAAGCGGGGCTCGGGGAGGAGCTGCCCTCGAGCATGTCGGCGAGCGCGGAGGCGGCGGAAGCGGAGGCTGTCCGCCGATGGGACGGGCGGGCCGGTCGGGGGGTGGCGACGGGCGCGCAGGCGTTCGGCAGCCCCGCGCCGCCGCGCGAGGGGGAATTGTGGCCTGGCGCGCCGTTTGGCGGCGGAGGAGATTGCGACGCGTGCGGGTTGAGAGGCGCGTGGAGTTGCTTGGGGGAGGGCAGCTGGGGGCGATGTGCGAAGGGCACGTGCGACATGCCGCCGTAGTCGCCGTGAGGCGAATGCGACGCGATTACGTGGTCGTAGCTGTCGAGTGACGACGATCGTGGAGACCGATGGGACGGCACAGCGGACGGCACGGCGGACAACATGGCGGACGGCACTGCGGACGGCACGCTCTGTTGGGAATAGAGCTGCCGAGCTTGCTGCTCTGACTGCTGCTGGGTCTGTTGTTCCAAGCACGAGTCGCGCTCTTGCGAATGTTCCTCCCTCTGCTGGCCGTGTTGCGATCGACCGTTGCTCGGAAACTGCTGCTGCGACAGATGTCTGTGATCCTTCGGAATCTGTATCTGTAACGAGTCTGCTTCTAGCGAGCCGGGCTGGATATCCATCCGATTCGAACCTCCCGCGCTAAGCAGCTCGGAAAGCGGGGATGGCGCGATTGCGCGCTGGGAGCCGCCATGCGCGGAAAGCTGTTGGCGGGAGCGCATGGGAGACCGCGGACAGCCCCCGTGCGCCAGGTTGAAAGGGTTCACTGGAAGCCCCGCGCCAGCTACTGCGCCAACATTCACACCAGCTGGTGAACCCGCGCGCTGAGCGGACGGTATTCCGCCGCCCGTCAGTGCGCGCGGGGAATTCCGCGTCGCGGGTCCCAAGTACAGTCCGGTGGCGGGATGGTCGGGGGAGCTTGTCGAGGAGGCGTTGCCTGTCGAAGGCTGCAAGAGGCGGGGGGAGGGGGAACGGGAGCTCCGCCCCCCATCGGCAGGGGCAAACACACCCCGCGCTAAGGACTCTAGCGGAGTGGCGGAAGCGGACGAAGCTTGCGCGGAGGTGGAAAGGGATTGAAACGTGGTCAGCGGACTGAGCTCTCCGCGATTGCGGCGGGAAAGTAGGGAATTCGTGTCCCGTCTGGGAGGCGATGCGGTCCTACTGGGAGCAAGGCGGGGCATGCGGTCAGGGCTGCCGATTTGATCCATCCTAGCGTCAGCAGGGTTAACGACGTTGGTGGGGTCTTGGCGCGGCGCGTGGTACTGCGGCGCGCGGAATTGAGGCTCTATGTCCATGGCTTGGGCTGTGCCTACGGCCGCCATATGCATTCCTGGAGCTAAGAGTGTGGGAGGGAACTATGAATGAACAAGAATAGCTAGTGGAACCTTAAGAACTGCAGCCTATAAGAGAACCATAAAAGGTACGGGCAGTGCAGTGCAGTCATAATGGAAGAAGAGTTCAGAAATGGAAAGTGGGCGTTCTATTCCGCAAGGTTTCAGCTGCGTGAGGTAGATGGGATGAGATAACGGAAACCGTTGACGGTAATTGCGGTGGCGTTGGTCCGGTCTGTCCAGTCATTGTGCTTCGACGGGAAATTTATGGGGCAAGCAATTTACAAACTTCAGTGGGAGGGAAGGGAAGCCAGTGGGAGAATGAGGTCACACTGACCAGGGAGTTGGGTTGGGGTGGGGTGGGGTGGTGGCGGTGAAAGGGGGCGGGTGGGTGGGGTGGAACGGATGGAGGGGCAGGCAGGAGCAGCAGACCAGGGGTCGTGGTGCGAAATTGGATTCCCTAAGCCCAATCCCCCAAGCTGACTGAATCCAAACTCTGGTCGTTGAGCCTCGTCGGGCTTCGTGACGACACGACGCGACACGGGTCAGACGACCCAATTGAGCTCGAAAGAGCTCGCAATTCTTACGAACGTTCATTGACTAATGGGTGAGCTGTGTAACTCGACATCGCCGAACTCGTGGATGCGTGTTCGCGTGCTTGCGGCGGTCCGCTAGCACCTCACCTTGAACAGGCGACGGGAGCCACAGTGGCGACTATTGTATCCCTCCCTTCCCAGTTTCCGGGCCACGTTGTCGACCCTGAAACTTTCCGTGGAGCGAGCGAGTTGTGCTGTGTCGTGAACTGTTTGTCAAAACGAGGAAGTGTCGTCCGAGAGACACCTGTGCTGCGCGCCAAACGGCTGTCACCAGTGTCATCGTGGAGGGGTGGCGAATGCAGGAGGAGGGGCTGTGGTTGGTTGCGAATGGCAATCTCCCAAACTGATGTCGTCACGTGAATTCGAGCCAACGGCAACCGAATCCGCACAGCCGTACATGGAGATTCACACTTGGGCTCGAAAGCGACGACTGGTTCTGTAGCCACACTTCTGTACTGTACACAAAGCGGTTCGTCGTTTGGAATTGTACAGTCCCTGCGTGCAAGTGCAGCACACAGCATCATTCTCGAACTGGCGAGTCAGTCAGGCCTGACCGACACCACCATCCAACCAAACACACCCTGTTCTCGCCATAGTAGTTACGGCTTTTGGAACAGAACGATTTGTAGAAACTCACTGCAACCGTGGCCCTCAAGACAGGGGCATCCTCTGTTGTGGAACTCTCTTCCTCTCCTACTTTTGCCAAAAACAAGACAGCTTTCAATTGTGTTTTGTAATGGATTGAACCGTAGACATTACATGCATTCTGTAGGTAATGAACACGCAAAACACCCAGTAAGTACACAATAGCTACTGATAAACATAGGCCCTACCATCACCTATCAGTCAGTAATTATGTTCAGTTCAGTGTGCCTCATGGCAACCTTCACATCACACAGCCCCCACGGCACTCACACGCCACGAGCATTCCAACGACCCACCCACACAACCCCTGTTTCAGCCAAAGGCCGCCCCTTCAACCGCAGGCTGCCAGAAGGATGCACCAAGCATCGACTTGCCCTGCCACAGCAGCTGCACACCCCCCAACGGATGACTCACCACCGAAAACCCCTTTGAATACGGGGCAAGCATCTGCCCCAAAGCGGCCATACTCCTCCGCGAAAACGCCTTGGGAGCAAACCCAACGCGCTGCATCCTCTCATGCAGCTGGTCTAACGTTTCGGCGCGCACGAGCCGCTGCAGCCCCTCGCACGCGACGAGGTTGATCATCTCGCGCGCCAGCACCCGCTCCTCGAAGCCGCGGCGGCCAAAGGAGGCGCGCGAGGCGAGGTGCTCGTGCGAGTGGAAGACGTTGGAGAAGAAGTCGAGGCAGTCGCGGAAGCGGTGCAGGAAGAAGGGCTGCCGGTGGTTGGCGTCCCACTCCACTATCGTCACCACCTTGGGCGCCAGCTGCAGGATGGTCTGCAGGGACGGATGATGGGAGGCGTGAGGAAGAACAGAGAAGTGGAGATTAGAGGCGCTGGCGACGGTTGGTGTTCCACTCGACGAGGGAGGAAGGGTTGCAGTGGGGAAGAGAGGGGACACAAGGGTGAGCAGCAGCAGCAGCCCAGCAGGTGAAACACTAGACCACAGCAGGAAGGGAACGAACGGGAGGAAAGTGGGAAGGGGGGAAAGGGAGCAGTATAGCGCGAGAGCAGTGTCCTTGGGGCTGGAGCGCAGCAGCGTGGAGTCAACCAGGCTAGACAGCCGCGACAGCCCCTAGACAGCACATCTGAACCTTTGGGAAACCAGAATCCTGGTGGAGGGAAGGAGAAAACAGCGTACCGAGAGAGCAGTGTCTTTGGGGCTGGAGCGCAGCACAGTGGAGTCCGCCAGATTAGCCAACCGCCCCGCGCAGTTCACCACCACAGCCTCCCCGCGCTCGATCCCCAGCATGAGCGGCCGTAGCGTCTCGGGTCTTGCCTCCACGCGGTGGAAGCTCAGCGCCACTCCGCACTCCGCCGCCGCGCCGCACACCTCCGCCTGCAGAAACGGGATGGGGATTTTCGGGCCTGCGCCCCAGGGGTGGCCGGGGGGTGGTTCGATTGCCGTGTAGCGGATGTGGAGGGGGAGTGAGCCTGTGCAGGTAGGGCATGCGCCGCTGCCGTTGCTGTTGCTGTTGCCGCTGCTCCTGCTGCCGCTACTGCTGGCGCCATATGGGTCGGCGGCGCCGGCAGCAGTGCAGCCGTGGGTGCAGCTCTCGCGGCGGCGGCGGGCGGCGGAGGCCGCCAGCTGGCGGATGACGACTGGCCACTGGCCGCCCCACATGGCGAAGTCGACTATGTGCACGCGGGGGTCGTGCTCGACTGCGTCCACGATGCCGCACGCCATGGTGGTGTAGCAGTGCTGCATGAGCGGGTTGCGCGCTGCAAAGGCCAGGATTAGGGCTTCCTCCTGATGAGGGGGGAGGGATGAAAGAGGGGTGGGAGACAGAGAGGAAGAGAGAGAGACAGAGAAAAGGGAGGGAAAAGGGGAGGAGGAAAGAAGCGAGAGAGTGAGGGAGCAAGGAAGAGGAACGAAGTCAACGATGTGCACGAGGGGGTCGTGCTCCAGGGCGTCCACGATGCCGCACGCCATGGTGGTGTAGCAGTGCTGCATTAGGGGGTTGCGCGCTGCAAACGCGAGGATCAATGCTTCCTCCTGGTTGGGTTGTGGCAAGGGTTGGGAGACGGGGAGGCAGGGAGGGACAGAAGGTGCTGCAGAAGGCCCATGATGCCGCATGCCATGGTGGTGTACCAGTGCTGCATCAGTGGGTCGCGCGCTGCAAACGCGAGTAGGAGAGCTTCTTCCTGAATGGGAAGGGGCAAGGGGTGGGGGCAAGAGAGAGAGCGAGTCAGCGAGGGGGTCGTGCTCCAGGGCGTCCACGATGCCGCACGCCATGGTGGTGTAGCAGTGCTGCATCAGTGGGCCGCGCGCTGCGAATGCTAGAATCAGCGCTTCCTCCTGGAGGGTAGATACCGGTGCGAGATGGGCGGATGGTGGGAGGACGACAGAGAGGGAGTGGAAGAAGCAAGTATGGATGAGTAGAATATGGGTGCGGAGAGGGGAGTCCGGTTTGCACGGGTGAGGAGTGGTCAGTGGGACGGAAAGAAGAGGAGGAAGGAAAGTGAAAGTGGGGGAGCAAGGGAGGGGTTGACTCAGGAACGGAACTTGCATGTCACGGAGTCAGCAAACCTCACAACCCCACGCCATGCCATGCCATGCCATGAGATTCCCTGCCATGCATAAGACCTCACCTCAGCTGTCTGCAGCGGCTCCACCACGTATTCCTCCCCAACACTCCTCGATGCGCGCTTCCCCAGCGCGCCGAGCAGGTAGTGCACCACGCGCTGCATGGGCGTGCCATGGGGGGTTGACTCAAAACTAACCAAGGTGAACCACTCACCTCAGCAGTCTGCAGCGGCTCCACCACATACTCCTCCCCGAGGCTCCCCGACGCGCGTTTCCCCAGCGCGCCCAGCAGGTAGTGCACCACGCGCTGCATGGGCGTGCCGTGGGGCGTCGCGTCCGCGCGCAGCACGCGCGTCAGCGCCGCCATCTCGCCCTGCTCGCTGGTCGCCACCGCCTCCGCCAGGCGCAGCAGGCGCGCGCGCAGCTCCGCGTCCGACGCGGAGGGCGCGTGCACCGCGCGCACGTCCTCCGTGCACCCGAATATGCTGGGGGACGGCGGGATAGCCGTGATGCGCGGGAGGGGTGCGGTGGGTGGGAGGGTAGTGGGGGGTGGGAAGGCCCTGGCGGGGGTGGGAACAGGAGCGGAGGAGAAACCGGGCGGCGCTTGCTGCGCGGATGCCGCCCGGAGGGCCTCCCAGATGGGGAGATTTTTGTCCGGGAAAGGAAGCTTCCCGGCAGCAGCGAGGTAATGCTGCAGGTCTGGGGTGAGGGTTACGGACGGCTGACCCCCCGCCCTGCCCGCCTGTGCCTGCTGCAACACCTGCAGCTGCTGTCCCTGCTGTCCCTGCTGCATAAGGTGTGCCTGCTGCCCGTGCTGCCCGTGCTGCCCCTGCTGCCCCGGCTGAACCTGCTGCGCCTGTTGCGCCTGCTGCCCCTGCTGCGCCTGCTGCGCCTGCAACCCCTGTTGCGCCCGCAACCCCTGCAGCGCGTGCAGCTGCGCGTGGTGCTGCGAGTGCGCGCGCATGGCATCCAGAGACGCCAGCAGCGACGGGTCCATCCGCAGCCGCACCTGCGACACCATGTCCATGTCTGTCGCCAATGGCTTTCGCGAATTCGCCAACAGCTGCGTTACCATGTCCGCGTCCGTCGCGGAAGCCCACCCCGCCGTTCCCCCCGTCATCCCCACCACCCCCTCCATCCCCCCCGAGTCCGCCCCCATCCCCGCCAAAAACGGCGCTGCTGCCGCAGCTGGTTCCGCAGCTCCGCGGAGTGACACACCGGCGGAATCTACTTGCGCGGCCGCTGCCCTGTCAGCCGCGGTAAGCGCGCGCTCGAGCGCGCGGCTCTCGGCGGCGCGCATGGCGGGCAAGCTGTCGAACTCGAACTCGCGGTGGAACGCCGAGTCCACCAACGGTCGCTTGCTCGCCGCCTCCTGCTGCGCCGCCTCGCCTCGTCGCTGCTGCTGCTGTCCGTTCCTATATTGCTGCTGCGCCGCCTCCTGTTGCGCTTGCTGTTGCTGTTGCTGCTGCGGCGGCTGCTGCACTTGCTGCAGCTGCTGCAACTGTTGCTGCTGCTGCAGCAGGTGCAGATATTCTATCAATCGCTGCGCGTCGCCCTGCCCTGGACCCTGGCCTATCCGCTGCAGCAGCCGCTGCAGCTCGTTCGCATTCCCCGTGCTCCCCTGCGCCACCTGCGGCGCCACTGGCCGCCGCAACACCATTTGTTGCTGATGCTGCTGCTGCGGCGGCTGCTGCTGCTGCTGCGGCTGCTGCTGCTGAGGCTGCTGCTCACTAACACGGGGCACCAAGGGTTGCACCAGCGAGAGAGACTGCTCCAGCAACCGCTGCTGCTGGGCCGCCAAACCGGGAACCGCCTGACTTTGAACCTGCGCGGCTAGCTTCCGCGCTTGCGCCAAGGCTTGCGCCTGCCCTTGCTCTTGCGCCTGCCGTTGCGCGTTCGCCTGGGCTAGCGCGGCGGCCTTCTTCGCGCGCGACTTCTGCGCCTGCATCCGGCACACGCTCGCCAGGCGCTGCGTCAAATCGACGGGCTTCACCACTCTTGGCGGCTGATTCTTTTGAACATCCTCATCCTGCTGCTGCTGCTCTTCCTCGCCGCATTTTGCGCTGCCGCTGCTTCCAATGCCGTCGCTGCTCCCGGCTGACCGGGATGCGAGCGACCCACGCGCGACTGTTTCGCAAACTTGCGCGTGGTTTTTCGTCGCACTGGCGACGCTCTGCGACGCGGCCTCGTGAAGAGATTGCGACCCCGTTTCGCGCCGCGAAGCCTCGCTGCATCGGCAGCGCGGGAACTTCTGACACCTAACAGAGCTTCCGCCGCGAGTCCCGCTTTCACAAATTGACGCGACGGAACGACAGGGGAAACTGCCGCTCTGCGACCCGCACGAAACTCCGTCGCCAGGCCTCTTCGCATCCGCGCCGGCGACATGAACGTCATCACCGGCCTGAGTAGGAGCTTTGATGAGCGTATGACCTGAATCGGACGAGGCCTTCCGTAGAGTCGAGCTCAGAGGAGCGCTTAGAAGGTCTAGATTCCATTCCACCGACGCCGCAGCAGCCGCAGGAGTAGGAGCAGCGGCAGAGGTAGCAGCAGCAGTAGCAGCAGTAGGGGGAGGAGCAGCACCAGCACCGCCAGCAGCAGCAGCAGCAGCAGCCGTGAACGAGGGAAGCGCCGGCACGAGTCTTTTTATTTCGTCCCTGGTTCTGAATCTCAGCCTCCTGCTCCGGTTCCCCTGAAGGTGGAGATTGGTGGAGACCTGGTATGAGGAGAACGAAAACAAAGGGTGAGAAAATGAAGGGACTAGAAAAAAATAGAAGACTCCATGCGAGGAAATCGGTACATTTGATAAGAAGCACAGCACGGGAAACAACCGCATTTACCTTTCGTCAAAGAAATCCCGGCAGCAGCAGGGTCAGGCGTATGAAAAATATCGGGCTGGAACAAGTTATCTCTGATACCATCGTATTCCGACGAGGGAAAGAAGTCCTCCGCGAATCGAAGCGGGGGGTCCGCCCATGCTGCGGAGTCGTGAATCGCCGCGTCGCCGGTCAGCAATCCGTCGAACATCGCGTCTTCGAGGAACGGAGTAGCACAGTTAAGTCCAGGTCCGATTTGAGCTAGAGCGTCACCGTGATTGTCGCTACTGTGCACCTGAGCCGCCTTAACGAGCTCGTCCGACGATGAAAAGCGACCGTCAGGATGGTGTTTTCTATCGATGCTGCCGTAGTGTCCGCCAGCTTCAACACCTCGTCCGCTCCAGCCGTTGGTGGGGTTGTCCACGCCATGACTGAAGCCGTCCATGAGAACCATGGAGCCGGTGAAATCACCCTCGTTGGCAGGCCAAACTGCAGCTTCCGTGAAAATAATAGGAGCCATACGAAGGGCGCTGTGATTTCTTGACACGAACAGAATAATCAGCTGATAGGTCACTCCAAAGAATCATAAAGGCTCACTCCCTCGCAGGGTTCTGCGGTGACACTGTAGGCATGACAATCCAGCTGATATGCGGACAGCAGGAACGCTCCCTCCCAACGTGAGAACGGTGATATGTTCGTAACATGCGGTTCAGTTCGTTACATCACGATTCAACGAGGTTCTTGGGTTTCACCGTTCTAAAGCTACGCGCCGAACAAACCTGTGATGACGAACGAAAACAAACACCCAAGAGACCGACGTCGCGGAAGAAGGGGAACCTGACAATACACAGTACGTGTAGCCAGAGAAGGGAGGCGGAGGGCGAAGGGAATCGAAAGCAGCAGTGTTGACAAGCTGACAACATTTCGGCATGCACAGAGCACGGCGCTGCCCGGGTTCTGCCCACCATAAAACAATCAGCCACTTCATGTGATACCCTTTCACTTCTCTCCATCATTCTCCCTTCCTGATTCCTGACCCCTGTTCCCTAGTCTCCTCTTTCCCTCTCCGTTATACACTCTCCTCTCTCCTCTCCTCTCCTCTCATTTCTCTTTTCCCTGTCCTGCCCGCTCCTCCTTCCCCGTTCTCCGTTCCCACACTCCCCAACTGTTTCTGTCAAGCCGCTGTGCGTCCATGCCACTGTGCACCACCTCCCTTTGCCGGGCAGGGCATGAAAAGCCAACTTTTCCTCCCATCAACCACGACTTCGTCCGGAACAAAACAGGTTGGGCTGATTGGTTACTGTATCCATCACTTCGTGCCTGCCGCCGCCAACAAAAAAAAGTTCGAACACGAAGCGAGGCACAACAGATTGGTTGGGCAAGGCAGTAAGCGCGCCAAGCGGCATTGATGGACACGCGTGTGAGCTTGCAGGGAGATTATCGAAACGTTGGTGCACTGTGCACGTGAGAAAAGAAATGCACACGATACACTAAAACGTCGATACGGTTCCGAACAATGCGCACAGCGGAGGTGCTTGTCGTTTTTCTCTACGTGACTCTATTGTCCTTGCACTACCCCGGATATTAGCCAAATTGGTATACTGTAACAAAATGGATAATCATGATGTGAAGACATATACATATTTCATTGCCTAAGGACCGTTCCTTTGTGGTTTGGGATCGGCCACCATGCCTCACCATGCCTCATTGACCTTTAGGGTTATCAGTCTGAATCGGCCTCATGTGGTTTGATGGTCACAACTCAGATTATACGCCTCTAACATGAAAAATCCAAACTTCATACGATTGCACCTGATGGCAATTAGAGAAGCTCTTATATTGCATGCCATTCTATCAAAACTAAAAGTATATATATAATGCACCAAGTTTTTGATAATTTCGCAGCTTGTACATTCCGTGTTGTACGAAACCCCATTCATTATTTATTTTTGTAAGATTTACACCCATATAATATGGGACTATCAATAATCTACACAAATCTTGCACCTTTAGTCCGAAAAAGAGAGCGGATTGTCGCCTCCATTTTTTTTTTTATTCTCGTTGGCTCGCCGAGAGTGTAGGAATTTTCCTTTGATTCTGTTAATAACATTGTAGCTCATTCTCATAATAAAAGTGACCACTAGTAGGTAATATCGTGAAGCGGAAATAAATGGTGTAACGTTATTGAAGAACATGTGTTCTCTATGGGAGATTGGATTCGAGGGGACGATGCTCATTAGAGAAATGTTAGCCTTTCCTCGTCGAATATAATTAACCGAGTATATGCGCTGTTCTTGCCTCGTTACCGCGATTTTGGCCAGTCTCACGATATATATATTTAAGGAAATTGTGACGAGCACATGACAAATGTGTACTGTTTATGGAGAACATACTGATCCCGCCATACGAGGGGAATTCTGTGTTAATGTACTTGTTTAGAGTAAACATTGTTGAACTAGAAGTTGTGTCTCAGACACATTTCACCTTTGCTTATTTCAAGAATTGGGCATCGGGCCGCGTCAGTGTTGTTTTGCCTTGGGATTTAACTTGGGGGAACAAAAAAGTTCCTTCCAATTTGAATACCTTTACGGACAAAAATATAGGCCTAGTCAGCCTGTTTCAGCTGCGTGGTCACGAGTGATTTCTAATTGGTCTGAAGTGTGTTAGGGCAGTTGTATTCGGCTTAGTTTACAGGTATCGGAGCGTTGGGTTGCAGTCTAACAGGGCTGAAATCAACGGGGGCCAAGTGTAGCTAGTTGAAGAAAGATGTGAGCCACAGCTGTTGTACAGTATTACTGCCTTCTTGTGGGCTGTTGTCGGATCGGAGAACCTTCAAACATTCGTTGGCGAGCTGGCAGCAATCTGTGCCTTCCATCCACCACAAGCCACCTTGGCCAGTTGCCCCGCCCGCCTCCTGCGGGTTTGACCACAATTCGTCCGGGCAGATGACTGACTGCTCTCTAATCAATCAATCATCAGTGGCACGGTGACCCTAGCAGGGGCAGTGTCGGTGGGCGGGCGGGCACAACCAGCCCAAACAAACCATTTGTATACGCGTGATGGTGTACTTTTGCGGATTTTTTGTGAGGTCACGCAAAGAGCTAGTGGACACTAGAAACTCCTGTACAGTATTTGGGTTAGCGGTATACTGGAGCTTACAAAAATTCATGTGGTCGTGTGCAGAAAAAAAGCGAGTTGTCGTGAGCCAGATGCTATACGGCTCCCTATTCTTCGTACTAAGGTACTTTCTACATTAGTATGTGTATGTCCAGTGTATATCTAGTGAATCCATGTGAAATATTATTAAATCCACCATACAATGCTCCACTCCACAACAGCTGACTGATCCAAGCCCTTCGTGTTGGATTATCCAGTTGCCAAGTTGCCAACAGTCTGGTGCAAGCATATTCCAACATATACATTTACAGCCACATCGAAGCTGCCAGCACAGGAACCCCTTCCCACAGCAACCTCACTCCATTCCCTTGTTGCACCACCTCATACCCTCCGTACTTCCTCCCTCCCTTCCTCAACACCCCCCGAAGCTCCTCCATCACCTCCACCCCCACCTCCATACCTACAAACCCGGCTCGGCGCATCCGAGCCTGCCACTGCTCCAAACTCTCCGCCCGAACCGTCCTCTGAATGCCCTCACAGGCCACAACATTTACAATGTCTCGGGCGAAATAGAGGCGCTCACACGTGTGCCGGTGCGGGCTATCCCGTGGCAGGGCAGCGTCTAGAGAGGCAAAGATGGAGGAGAATACGCGGAGGGCGGCTCGGAAGCGCGGGAGGAAGAAGGGCGAGTTGAGCGGCGCGTCCATCTCTACGACCACGGTGGTGAGTGGGGAGAGCGAGCGGATCCACTGGGGGAGTTGGGGAGTGATGGGTACGAGAAAAGAGGGGGATGGGGAGAGGAGTTGAGTTGAGTGGCGCGTCCATCTCGACCACCACGGTGGTGAGTGGGGAGAGAGAGCGGATCCACTGGAGGAGTTGGGGTGTGGGGGAGAGAAGAAAAAAGGGGGGACGGGGGAAGGGCGAGTTGAGAGGCGCATCCATCTCGACCACCACAGTGGTGAGTGGCGAGAGAGAGCGGATCCACTGCAGGAGGTTAGGTTGGGGAGTGATGGGTACGAGAAAAGGGGGGGATGGGGGAGTGGAGTTGAGTGGCAAATCCATCTCGACCACCACAGTGGTTAGTGGGGAGAGAGAGCGGATCCACTGGAAAAGAAAGGGAGGGAGGGGAGGTGGGCAGGGGGGTGGGTATCGAAGGGCGGGTTGAGGCACGCTGCATGCAAGGAAAGCTGACGATGATGCACCGAGTCATCCGCCAGGAAGAGCAGGCTCATGTTGCACCGCACCACCACCGTTGCAGGCCCCACTCAGCTAGCACTCACCCGCAACAGGGTGTCACGAGGGCTGGCTCACAGCACCGAGTCATTAGCACCCAGGGTTGCACTGCACCACCATTGCCTCCCCTGCCACTCACCCTACCCAAGGCGTATGTCTGTTCCACCCAAAACCCCACGTATCTGTTCCACCCACCACTCACCCTGAGCAGCGTGTCACGTGGGTTAGCCCGCAACACCGAGTCATGAGCCAGGAACAACAGGCTCATGTCGCACCGCACAACCATCGCCTCCACCTCCTATCAACTTACCTTACCCCAGTGGGCGTGTCTCTTCCACCCACGCCTGGCGTGGCTGCTTAACCCACCACTCACCCTCAGGAGTGTGTCGCGCGGGTTGGCTCGCAGCACCGAGTCATCAGCCAGGAACAGAAGGCTCATGTTGCACTGCACCACCGTCACCCCCACACCACTCACCTTTCCCCGTGTACTTGTTGATTCCACCCACCACTCACCCTGAGCAGCGTGTCTCGTGGGTTTGAACGCAGCACCGAGTCATCAGCCAGGAACAGAAGGCTCATGTTGCACTGCACCACTGTTGCCTCCCCCTCCTCCACCTCCACCTCCTCCTCCAGCCCCCCCACCACCGACCGCATCCCCATCGCCCCCCCAAACCCTCCCCCAACTCCCCCCCCGATCCCTCCCCCGACCCCTCCCCCTCCTCCCCCACCCATCCCCCCTCCGCCGCCCCCTGGCTTCCCCCCGAGCGGTGCGGCAGCAGCAGCTGGGCCGACAGGGAGCACGACGGCCTTGAAGCGGAAGGGGATGGCGAGGGCGGCAGCAGCGCGGGAGAGCAGGCGACCGGAGAAAGCAGCAGAGGACTTGGAGTCTGTGAGCTCGTTGCGGCATGTGATGTCGATGCCTGTTACCCTGAGAGAGGGGGGTCCCCCTGGGAAGGCTGCCAGGGCCTGGGAGGGTTGAGAAGGCAGGGGTCAAGGGGGAGGGATGAAAGGAGAAAGCAGCAGAGGACTTGTAGTCTGTGAGCTCGTTGCGGCATGTGATGTCGATGCCTGTTACCCTGAGAGAGGGGGGTCCCCCTGGGAAGTCTGCCAGGGCCTGGGAGGGTTGAGAAGGCAGGGGTCAAGGGGGAGGGATGAAAGGAGAAAGCAGCAGAGGACTTGGAGTCTGTGAGCTCGTTGCGGCATGTGATGTCGATGCCTGTTACCCTGAGAGAGGGGGGTCCCCCTGGGAAGGCTGCCAGGGCCTGGGAGGGTTGAGAAGGCAGGGGTCAAGGGGGAGGGATGAAAGGAGAAAGAAGGAGAGGACTTGGAGTCTGTGAGCTCGTTGCGGCATGTGATGTCGATGCCTGTTACCCGTAGGGAGGGTGGGCCGCCTGGAAAAGCAGCCAAGGCCTGGGGTGGGTAACAAGGGACAACAAGGGCAGGGGCGAAGGGAGAAGGCAGCAGAGGACTTGGAGTCTGTCAGTTCGTTCTTGCATGTGATGTTGATGCCTGTTACTCTGAGAGAGGGGGGACCCCCTGGGAAGGCAGCTAGGGCCTGGGCGGGGAGAAAGGCAAGACAAGGGCAGGGGCGAAGGGAGAAGGCAGCAGAAAACTTGGAGTCTGTGAGCTCGTTGCGACACGTGATGTCGATGCCTGTCACTCGCAGGGAGGGTGGGCCGCCTCGGAAAGCAGCCAGGTCCTGCGTGGAGCGACAAGGAGCAGCGGGAGAAGAGACAAGGCAATGAGGACTTGGAGTGGGTGAGCTCATTGTGGCACGTGATGTCGATGCCTGATACTCGCACTGCAGGGAGGAGGTTGCGGAAGGATTCAGAGTAATGATTGCCCATTCTTTAAATGGCGGCAATGGGAGCGTGCGGAAAGAAAGGAGAGCTTCAGCATACCATGCATAAGGGTACTACACAAGCTGGTTCCTCACCTGCAGCAGCTCCAGCCAGTACCGCCCCATACAGAACCCAAACACGATGATATGAATCCGACGGCTGCCGTTCACCGCGGCCAGCACAGGCCGCATGGCAGCCACGTGGCAGAAGTCCAGGTAGGGCAGCGAGGCGAAGCGATCTCCTGGGTGGACCACAGCGGCATACCCAGTCGCCTGCAACAGGCTTGCTCACTCATTGGCACCTCAAGCACTCCTCTCACCTCAAGCACTCCTCTCACCTCAAGCACTCCTCTCACCTCAAGCACTCCTCTCACCTCAAGCACTCCTCTCACCTCAAGCACTCCTCTCACCTCAAGCACTCCTCTCACCTCAAGCACTCCCTTCAGCTACACTACTCCCTCACCTGCAGCAGCTCCAGCCAGTATCGCCCCATCCAGAACCCAAACACGATGATGTGGATCCGACGGCTGCCGTTCACCGCCGCCAGCACAGGCCGCATGGCGGCCACGTGGCAGAAGTCCAGGTAGGGCAGCGAGGCGAAGCAGCGCTCCATGGAGGCTGCGATCTCCTGGGTGGACGCGTTGAGCCCGCGGTTGTACTGCTCCGCCCCGCTCCCTGACTGTCGTGCGGCGAGGGCCTGGGTGAAATGGGCTGCTACCCTCTGCGCTGCATTGCCCCTCTCATTCACGAGTGGGCGCAGGTGGGGCAGCAGGCGGCGAGGAAGGGACTGATGGGGGGGAGGGAGAGTGTGGGAGAAGGGCAGGGAGTACGAGGGGGTGTGGAGGGAGCATGAGCATGTGGCGATCTCTGGGTGCACGCGTTGAGCCCGCGGTTGTACTGCTCTGCCCCGCTCCCCGATTGTCGCGCGGCGAGGGCCTGGGTGAAATGGGCTGCCACACGCTGGGCAGCAGTTCCGCGCTCGTTGACTAGTGGGCGCAGGTAGGGCAGCAGGCGACGGGAAAGGGTCTGGGGAAAGGGGAGGGAGTGAGAGGGAGGGGGAGGGAGAGAGAGGGAGGGGGAGGGAGAGAGAGAAGAGAAGGGAGTGAGAGGGGGTGTGGAGGGAGCGTGTGGTGAGGTGCAAGGATGCTGCGATCTCCTGCGTGGACGCGTTGAGCCCGCAGTTGTACTGCTCTGCCCCGCTCCCCGCCTGCCTGGCCGCCAGCGCCTGGGTGAAATGGCCCGCCACCCACTGTGCTGCACTGCCCCACTCGTTCACCAGTGGGCGCAGGTGGGGCAGCAGCTGACGAGAGAGTGGCTGGAGAAGGGGGTGGGGGGAGAGAAGAGAAATGTGAAAAGGGGGGAGGGAAGATGGCCTGGTTGAAGTGCGCTGCTACTCGCTGCGCTGCACTGCCCCGCTCGTTGACCGGTGCCCGCAGGCGGAGCAGCAACAAAAGGGGCTGGAGAACGGAGAGGGAGAGGCGTACCTCATCACGTGCTGCTGTTGCCTCTGCCAGCTCCTCCAGTCTCTGCAGCACCACTGCCATCGATAACTCCTCCACCCCCTCCCCTCCCCTTTCCTCCACCTCTTCTTCACTCCCCTCCTCCCTCCTCCACTCCCCATTTCCACCAGCCCCTCCAGAAGCATCAGCAGAGCAACCGGCACGCATAGTAGCAGCATCAGCGGCACCTGCGGCACCAGCAACAGCGCCATCCATACCACCATCACCACTGCCACCACCGCCAGCACATCCACTAGCCTCACCCCCCAAGCCTAGCTGCTGCAAGGACTCAGAAGTGAACCCTAGATTGTGCAGCATGGCAGCATCAACGCCAATGCTTGCTAGCATGCCCATGTCCAAACCCATGCCCCTCAACATGTCTGCATTCACACCCATGCCTGCCAGCATGCCCGGACTCACCCCCATGCGCTCAAGCGAAGATGCATCAAGCCCCATCCCCCCAATCCCCCCCATTTGTCCCGTCCCCCCCATCCCCCCCATCTGCCCCAGTATAGCACCATCCAACCTTCCACCCGGTAAGAAACCTGCCCCTGCCCCTGCCCCTGCCCCTGCCCCATCTGCTGCATCCGCTGCTCCCCCTCCTGCTCTGCTCCCTGCCCCCGCTCCTGCCCCCGCTCCTGCCCCTGATCCTGCCAAATGCGCCCCGCCAGCCCCATCACCCCCTCGCCACACGGCCTCCCCCGCTGCTCCCCCTTCCCCTTGCCGGCCCCCCATCATCACCCCCCCAGAGCTCGCCCTCCGCTTCCTGGAAGCTGCGCTTGCACCTGCCGTTGACCTGCTTGACTGCGTTGACCAGCCAGTGGCATCCTGCCACATAACAGGAACGCCTGCAGGCGTTAGACACTGCTGGACCGGTTGGAACCGCTCTGAACCCCCCATGTTTCCCGTCTGGTCTCGATACGATACGTGGCCCGGGAGAGGGGCTGAGAAGGAAGGAGGATAAGGCAGTGGTGAGAAGAGAGGAGGGTGGTTCAGGCTAGTCGGACCCCAGGACGCTTCAACGCCCAGGGGCGGGAGGGACGTTGAGAAATTCAAGCTGGTGACCTGGGAAAACGACTCGAAGGGGCTTTTCTGGCTTCCGCTGCTGCCCGGACTGCCCAGGCTGCCCGGACTGCCCGGACTGTGTGCCCTGCCCGGAGTGGGGCTTGCAGCGCATGTGCCCAGAATGGACGCGAAGGCAGCAGCAGCAGGTCGCGAGGTGTAGCAGTGCGAGGGAACGAGGGCGAGGGAGGATGGGGGGGATGCAGGGATACACTCGCTGCCTCTTCTGCCACTGCCGCTGCCGCAGCCATTGCCACTGCCGCTGCCACTACCACTGCCACTACCATTCTTGCTGTTCTCACTGCCCGAATCATTGCTGTGATGCTGGCCCGCCCTCTTGCGTCCCGCCACCTGGCGAATCACCGGCCGGCGAATCAGATCTCTGCTAACGGCGCCCACCCTGGCTGTATTTACAGGTAAAGCGGCAGCGGCGGCTGCTGCCGCCCGGCCTGGAGATTTGATTTCCTCCAGCAGCCTTGCCAGCCTGGCGGACATGTCCGCCGGGCGGCGGGCGCCAGGAAGGGTGTGTTTGTGGGCGGCAGAGCTAGTAATAAATGGCTTGGCAACGGTGCTCCCAGCAGCAGCGACAGGCGGGGAGAGCAGCAGCGGTCGCTTGCGCGGAGGACTCAAGGAAGCGACGCCAGCGACATTCGTAAAGGGAGGAGGCGGGAACGAGTCTGCTGCCAAAGGCGCAAGCGACGCCTCAAACGAAGGTGCGGAGAACTTGGGTGAGAAAGAAGGCGAGAAAAAGGAAGGCGCAGGGGAGGAGTTCAAGCGGCCTTTCCAAGAGACGGGCGTGGGGGGAGGGGGGCCTGCGGCGGGCTGCCACAGGCTGACCGCGCCTGCTGCGCCTAAAGCAGGCTCTAAGGACTCTTGAGTCGTCCCTGCGCCTGCTTTCTCCTCCGCCCCCGCGCCCCCACCTGTTCCGGCTCCGCCCCTTTCCGCCCCTCCGCACCCCCGAGCTCCTCCGCTCAACGTTGTTCCTCCGCCCACTCTTGCTCCTGCGTCCCCTTTTGCTCCCGCGCCTGTTTCATCCCTCCGCAACAGCACTTCTGCGCTGCACGTTCCCCTCCTCCCCGCGTCGTCCCCTTTCCGCTCATCCCATCCACGGCCCTCCCCCATCCCAGAACAGGGCGCGGGAGAAAACCGGTCCAGCCAATGAAAATGCAACAGCTGGCAGCCTGCGCAATCGCAGCCGTCCGGGCAAGCAGGGAGGAAGACCGGGCCATCCTCCGCCACCACAGCGGACAACGGGGAGGGGGAAGCGGAAGGGGGAGGAGGAACGACAGCGGAAGCGACAGGAGTTGCGGCAACCACATCGTTCCCAACGGGCAGAAGGGGTCTCAGCTGACCGACCTTCTCCTCCCTTTCCCCTCCGCCACTCCTCCCCCACCCTCCCCTTCCATCTATTCCATCCATCCCCTCAATTCCTCCCCCCTTCTCTTCCGCATCCGTTCCGTCCGCCAGCAGATATCGCACCTGGTCCCAGTCAAGCCCCGACGCCGCGCTGCTGAGGTGGCCCGACGACCCTGACGGAACAGGCTGACCTGGCGGATAAGCCTCCAGGTGGATCTCTTCCGTGCATGCCACGGTGGCACAGGCGTTAGGTTCCTCCGCTTGAACCGTACCGTCGGTTCCCTGCTGGCGAAGATAAATATCGCTGGAGGGAGAGAAATGGATGCCATAGCCGGACGGAAGGGGGTTCTGTTGGCTCTCATCGGCCGAAGTACTTATAGTGTGAGAGAGTCCGTCTGGGACAACCTCGAGGTTCGCTTCGTATGAAGAGAAAATCGGCGATGCGGCAGAGACGACAGAGTCTATTGGCGGAGAGCCGGAATTCAGAGCCCAGTCAGAAGGGGGAATCGCGGAGGGATTGGCGGAGGTTATCGCGGCGCATCCTTGCGCCGGAGGGAACATGGAATCCCAAGGTGCGCTGGCGAAGGTTGGCGACGGGAACGTCGAGTTTTGAGTCGCCTCGAATAGCGGCGACGGGAACGTCGAGGCGCCGGAGGGACCTATCAGGTTCGACATGTCCGTTCGAAGATTGAACGCGTGAAGGCTACCTGAGTTTGTTCTCACACGTCTCAGATTCAAACGTGCGTTTAAGAGTTCGTGAAAGTGCGACTCTCAAATATTTACAAATCACGAATCGGTGGCGCACAAGGTTGCAGGCGGACGCAACTAAGGTGGAAACAGATTCGCAAGCTAGGTTTTCAGGAAGCCATGAGTCAGCAGTTCAACAACCTAAATCGTCTCCAGAAGCCCATAAGAACCGCTGAATCAACTGGTTGACATGAGAACGGGGAGGACGAAGATGGCAACCATGGAATCCGCTTACTTCAGCAAATGGTATTGCCGAAGGGAAGCAGCTAACAGCCTGGCGTGCCTTGGGGGTATCCCTGCGTTTCCCTCACGTCCTTCGGCGAATCGTTTCGATGCAACTTTATGGCAGCGAAAACCGTTGTGCCCAATCCGCTGCGGTGAGTTTCTCATCGGCAGCGCCCGCCACCAAACAAAATTGAACCGTTGATCTGTGGGTCACTGGTCAGTTTGACAGGACGGATGGCGGGAATGCCAGGAAAATCCAAGGCGATAGCGGTACAGCAGCGAGGAAGCTGGGTTGGTGACGTCATGTTCGTTTTCCTCGAAGGACCGCTTGACTTTCGTCAAGGACTCCACCAGGCCCCCAAAATAGTGTAGATGAAAAAGCAAATCATCTACACTTCGCCATGGAAAAGGCTTTACATCCATATATCATATTAGAACATTGAATGTTTTTCACAAGCAACGGAAGAGATTGCATTTGCTGGGGGATTCTAGCCTAGGGGGGACAGGAGCATTCAACAGGGTGTGCTGTTGAGGCGGCTCAAGGGAGCACCAATCACAAGGCACCCTATTGAGAGGCCTCAACCGCTCACACGAGCAGCAAACCATAAAACTAAACACACGTTTAGAAGCAATCCGCATCTTCAGGTATACTGAAAGAAACCCTTGGTTCAGAGGTGCGCATGGGCACTAGAGTGATCCAAGGATCTGCATGTAGACAAGTGCCACACACACACACACACACACACAAAACACGCAGAGAACAGCGGGTGCGTTGTGAGTGCTCGGAAGCAACTGGCTCAAAGGAGAAGGGGGATGGGGAGGAGGAAGGGTGTTAACACAGAGATTAAGTACAGGAACAGGTGTGAAAATGGGGGAAGGGAGGGGGGAGGAGAGGAAGGAGGTGGAGAGAAAGAGAGTGGGAAGAGCAGGGAAGAAGATGCGTACTCTGCCTCGATGAGCATGGCCGAGTTGCCTCAAAAATTGACTCATCACACATTAGAGCGGGGGGGAGTTGGGACGAGGATGCTTACTCTGCCTCGATGACCATGGCTGAGGCTCCACCACCCCCATTGCACACTCCTGCCACACCAATCTGGCCACCCTTCCGCCGCAACACCTGAATGGCGGAGACACAAGGGTGGTTCGCAGGAAGGGAAAGATAGATGTCAGAACCGAACGAGGTGGCTGTGGGGAACCAGCATGCTCTCACCAGTGCCTTTCCACAACACATTCAACTAGCAAAACATCTGACCAAAGCCTTCCTCCCACCACTGCCACCCACGCCCAGCAGCAGGACGATGATCCACACATCCTCTGTCCTTTTCGAATGTCCCCTATTCAAACCCACTGCTTCTGCACACTCATACTCCATATTCTTCTGCTTCTGCTTCTGCTTCTGCTTCTGCTTCTGCACTCATGTCCTCTGAAACACACTACACGCACACACCCCTAATCTACCCCACACTCACCCCCAGCAGTGTGACAATGATGCGTGCCCCGCTGCACCCCAGCGGGTGCCCGAGTGCCACCGCGCCACCATGCATGTTCAGGCGCTCTGCCGGCACGTTCAGCAGCTTCTGATTGGCCAGCGCCACCACCTGGGAGCACCAATGAGGTGGTGGGAGGGGGCGAGTGGAGGAGGGGGGAGGGCAGCAGGCAGGGGGAAATATACGTGAAGAAGGGTGACGGCACGGGGGAAGGGATGAGGAGCGAAAGCAGGTGGGAAGGGGAGGAGGTGGGAGGGGGTAGAGAAAGGACTTCAGGTGAGAGAAGGCAAAGAGGGGTGCAACGAGTGAAAAATTTTGAGAGGAGCGGAAAAAGGGACAGCAGTAGGAGGGATGGGGTGGGTGGCTGGAGAGGCAGCGAGAGGGGCGGCAGAAGGGACGGCAGGAGGGGGGGCAGGAGGGGCGGCAGGAGGGGCGGCAGGAGGGGCGGCAGGAGGGGCGGCAGGAGGGGCGGCAGGAGGGGCGGCAGGAGGGACGGCAGGAGGGGCGGCAGGAGGGGCGGCAGGAGGGGCAGCGGCACGTACGGAGAAGGCTTCGTTGATCTCCCAGCAGTCCACCTCCGCGGGGTCGATGCGCGCATGCTTCAACGCGCGCGGAATGGCCAGCGCGGGAGCTGTCGTGAAGCGCTCAGGAGCCTAGGGGGGCGGTGGGGAGGGAGGATGGGGGACGGAGTGGGTCGGTGGGGGGAGAGGGTGGATCGGTGGGGGTGAGAGGGGGGAGAATAGGAGCGAAAGACAAGGGAGGGGAACATCAATGCGCGCACAGGGTGCAGCAGAGTGCGCGGAACAGGATTGCTAGTCCAATGCGCGGGGAATGGGAGCGCGGGGGACGTGGTGAAGCGGGCGGGGGGCTTGGGCGGAAGGGGCGAGAGGCAGGGAAGGCAGTGGTGGGTGGGGGGGCATCGAAGAGGGGAGGGAAGGGGGGAATGTGCTTCGTGGGAGATTTTAACCGAATGCCCTTGTCACCCCCGATTGCCCTTCCCGTGATTTTCCCGCCGCGCAACGCCCTGGCAAGGGCTCTCACCTGCTCGGCGTCAGCGAAGCCGCGAATCACGGCGAGCACCTTCAGCCCCAGGCTGTCCGCCTTGCCGCGGCTCGTCAACACCACGGCCGCGGCGCCGTCGCTAATCGCCGACGCGTTCCCCGCCGTGACCGTCCCGTGCTCCTTAAAACACGGCCGCAGATTCCGCAGCTTCTTCTCGTCGAATTTCGCGCACGCCTCGTCGCGATCGACGATTAAAGCCGGCTTACCCTTCCCCGCCTTCACCTCCACGGGAACAATCTCCCACTCGAACGCGCCCTCCGCGTTCGCCGCCGCGGCGCGCTGGTGCGTCAGCACCGCGTGGTCGTCTTGATCCGCGCGCGAGATGTCATACTCCTCCGCGCAGGTTTCCGCGAAGCATCCCATGGGGTCGTCCGCGTACGCGTCGCACAGCCCGTCGCGCTGCATGCCGTCCATGATCTCCGCGTTGCCGAAGCGGTAGCCGCCGCGCGCCTTGGAGAGGTAGTAGGGCGCGTTGCTCATGCTCTCCATGCCGCCCGCCACCACCACCTCGTTGATCCCCAGCATGATCGACTGCGCCGCCAGCGCGATGGCTGTGCCGGGGGGAATGGGAAGCGGGCGCGGTTGGGGGGAAGGAGGGGAGGAGATGCGGATGAGGGGGGAACGGGGGAGATGAGAAAAATTGCGGAGAAAGGGGAAAAGGGAGTCAAATTGGCGGAGAGCGGAAAGATGACGGACAGCCGGTATCGGATGAAGCGTTGAGGACAGGGACACGCTTGAGCGACAATGCAGCAATCTGCGACATCTACTAGATTTAAACGACACCATTTATAAAGAATCAGAATACATAAGAATAATGAGAACAAATAAAGCCTCTCCGCACCTTTCATGCCCGAAGCGCAGACTTTGTTGACGGTGGTGGCGACGACGGTCTCGGGGAGACCCGCGCCGATGGACGCCTGGCGCGCGGGCGCCTGGCCGAGATTCGCGCTGAGCACGTTGCCCATGATCACCTCCTCCACGTCAGCAGGCTCCAGGCCGGAGCGCCGCACGGCCTCTGCGGGGAGGGAGACGAGGAGAGAACGAACAACGTCCGGAATTTAATAAATTCGGGCCAGACTGGTGATGGAGAATGTAAAAGGTCGAATAGGAAAATTTCGGCTTAAATTGGTGGAAACGAGGAAAAAAAAGGCTCTGTTAACTGGAGAAAACTCACACGGGCAACAAGGCTCTCGCTTTCTCACAGAAGGCCAAGAATCTGGAGAGACGCTCCTAACGCATAGCGCGGAACTCCGCGTTGCGCAGAACTCCGCATAGCGCAAATCGCATAGCGCACCTTTGATGGCGACCGATCCGAGTTGGGTGGCAGGGAGGGAGGAGAGGGCGCCCATGAAGCCGCCCATGGGAGTGCGCGCCGCGGCCACGATGCACACCTCTGCGATCATCAACAGATCCAGCACGCAATCGGACGGTTAAGAATCGTCGCACAATCGTCTCCGGTCTGGTTAGCCGGACGTTTCGTAAGGAGCCAAAAGAAAGTACAACGGGAGATGAGCAGAGGAGCAGACATAGACCGGAAGTATTGCGAAACATGAAGCGGATTCGGAAAGCCGACGCAATTTTGGAGGCCAAACGACGGTCACCTTTGGGGTGGGTGCCATGTTGTGTTGCATGTCCGTTCTCGTGCGCGCGGGGAAAAGGCGATCCGGCCATGGTGAGAGGGAGCAACAAAACAAACTGCTTGTGATGCAACAGGTATGATTCAGCTAATTCCAAAATAAAACCGGCTCTTGTTCTTCCAGCTTTCTTTCTTCTCTTCGCAATGAAACAGGAGCTGAGGTTTGCAAGAATAGAAGGAAAGAAGTGTGAGAAGCGAGGAGCTTCAAGCTGAGAAGAGCGGCGATCTAGCAATCTCTCACACTCTTCGACGTGTTGTTGCAAATGGCGGGACGACGTATTTCATCTTGCGTCGGCAAAACGATTTGGCTTGGGGGCGGAAAGTCGAAAATCCCCAACGTGCGCGGAGGGCGGGTGCGGGGGAAAAGAGCGTAAGGAAAAAGGCGCGGAAGATGCCCGGAGCGGAGGGGTGAGGCGCGGCAGGACGAGGAATGGATGGGAGGAGCAAGGTGGCGGAAGAAAGTCTTCGAAATTCACTTCCGCGATTGTCTGTCCGTTCCCTGGCCTTGCGCCTACCGCGTGCGCGCCTGCGGAGGGCGTGGGGAAATGAGGCGTGGTGATTGGCGCGGCGGTGAACCTAGGTTCCGAGCGGGAGGGGGAGATGGCACTCGTCGCACATGCTGTCCAGCGACACGCCGACGATGTTTTCGTATTCGCTCGACTGTCATGACGGCAGCATCGTCTGGCTACGAGCTTCCTGAACCTCATGAAGTGGTAACCCTACGAATAGGATAAGCACGGCGAAACTCGCTTTGAAGCTAGGGATTGGTGATGCCGACACAGAAAGCTAGGCAGCCAAGCCAATCAGAGCAGAGTTAGGGTTTGAATTCTTCCGAGGAAAACTATCGGGGAAGGTGGGTGGTGGGTGGTCTTGCATCACTGCTCCGCTGGTCATTTCGGTGACGTGAGATGAAGTCGTCACCGGGGAGGGGAGGAAAGGCAGCGCGCGCCCGCGGGAAGGAGTCGGACTCTTTCTCCCCGTGTGGGACAAGAGATCACCTGGTTCGTCGAATTCACATGTTGGGCAGCATCAAACCCGAACAAGGCTTCATTGATTGGTCACGGTTTGTTTGTTTCAGTTCGATCCCCCCATGTTCCGTGTTCGGTTCGGATCAGCAGGACTGATGGTGGAGATTTTCCCTCTGGAAAACAGTCATGGTCAAGACCCGCTGTCGAAAACATCAATACAACTGCAGTACAATGTAGATTTCATAAATTCATAGCACCAAAAATATGAAGCCAGCAAACCATATCCCTACTTCTCGAGAGTTTGATCTACGGAAGTCAGCTGTCAGCTATTCATACAGAGCGTCAAGCTCTTGCTGGAAATTTCGGCGAACAACATCCCGCTTTAGCTTCAAGGCTGCTGTCAAAAGTCCGCTGTCAGGAGTCCATGGCTCTTGAAGGAGCTTGATCCTCACAGGCACTTCAAACTTTTGAAGTTTACCCTCCTTGCTCACCTGTTAATTTGCAGCAAGGGATAGCAAATCCAGGTCAGAATTCCACACGAATAAAGCATGAACAAAACTAGCAGCCAAGTTGAAACTAATTAAAGAGTACAGAATAGCAAGATGAGTCTGGTTGGCCAAGTGTTGACCTTTGCTCAGCCACCTCACCTCGCCAAGAGACTTGAGCACTTGAGAGACGGCCTCAGGATTCTCACACAGCGCGGCATAGTCAGTGCTATCCACACCCTGAGCCTTGGCCCATGCGACCAGGGCCGGCTTGGATGGCACGACGAGGGCTATGGTGAAGGTCTTGAAGGGGTCGGCGTAGAGCATCACATTCTCAACGAACGGGCTCACTTGAAGGACTGCCTCTACCTGGCGGTGGGAGCACAAGAGGAGAAGGGAATGATTAGCACGAGAATCTGTGGGTGCGGTTGAAGAAGTCGGCATAGCGCATCACGATCTCAACGAAGGGGCTCACTTGAAGGACTGCCTCCACCTGGTGTTGGGTACAGGAACGGAGAAGTGAAACATCAGCATAAGAACACAAGAGATTGTTGGGCGTTGGGCATGGATTGGGTTGGCTGTGGGTGCATTCGAAGGGCTCAGCGCAGAGCATCACGTTCTCGACAAAGGGACTCACTTGCAGCACTGCCTCCACCTGCTGTTGGGTGAAAAACGGAGAGGGGAGAAGTGAAACACGAATGTGCAAAGGGATGGGTTGAATGTGGCTTCGGTCGAGTGTGGGTGCATTTAAAAGGATCAAAATGGAACATCAGGCGCTCCATACAGACACTCGATTGCAAGACTTTCCTAGTCTGTTTATCCTGTCGTTTCTGTATGAGAAAATTCCCAAAGCCTGAGAAAAAGGAAACATGAGGAAAACGGGAGAAATGTGATGTAAATTAACACACCAGCAAAGATTGAAGTTTCCCTGAAATTTTCTCCGTCTGCAGGTCTTACCTTCCCCAGCAACACGTATTCCTGCAGCTTTACAATGTCCTTCTTCCTGTCAATGATTTGAAAGACCCCGTCCGGACGCACCTCCCCCTCCTCTCTCCTGTGCGCAGTGCAGCCAATCACATAGTGCCCTGCCCTTACACACCATACCCTACTCCAACAGTACCTTCCCCAGAGACACGTATTCGCCCGCCTGCAGCTTCACAATGTCCTTCTTCCTGTCGATGTTCTGAAAGACCCTGTCCGCATGCACCTCCCTTTCCCTCCCATGTGCAATGCAGCCAACCACCAGACACGCTGCCCTTACCCTTCCACCTGTCTCACCTTCCCCAGCGACACGTATTCGCCCGCCTGCAGCTTCACAATGTCCTTCTTCCTGTCGATGTTCTGAAAGACCCTGTCCGCATGCACCTCCCTTTCCCTCCCATGTGCAATGCAGCCAACCACCAGACACGCTGCCCTTACCCTTCCACCTGTCTCACCTTCCCCAGCGACACGTATTCGCCCGCCTGCAGCTTCACAATGTCCTTCTTCCTGTCAATGATCTGAAACACCCCGTCCGGATGCACCTCCCCCCTCCTCTCTCCTGTGCGGAGTGCAGCCAATCGCTGGGTGCCCTGCCCTTACACACCATACCCCACGCCCCACCGTACCTTCCCCAGCGACACGTATTCGCCCGCCTGCAGCTTCACAATGTCCTTCTTCCTGTCGATGATCTGAAACACGCCGTGAGGATAAACCTCCCTTCTGTCCCCACCTTTCCTCCTACGTGCAGTGCAGCCAATCACACCATACCCTGTCCGCCATCATACCTTTCCCAGCGACACGTATTCGCCCGCCTGCAGCTTCACAATGTCCTTCTTCCTGTCGATGATCTGGAAGACACCGTCCGGATGCACCTCCCCTATGTCGCCCGTTGCAAACCACCGGATGCCCTTGCTGTCCACCTGAGAGGGGGAGTGGAGAAGAGGAGTAGAGTGGAACACAGGGAGGAGTGGCTAAGTGGATGCACCTCCCCTATGTCGCCCGTTGCAAACCACCGGATGCCCTTGCTTTCCACCTGAGAAGAAAGAAGGGGAAAGGGAGTAGAGTGGAACAGGAGGAGTGGAATAAGTGCCTCTCCAAGTGCAGTTTAACCCGTCCAGATGCACCTCCCCCCACCCACGTCCCCCATGGCAAATCACCGTATGCTCTGCCATTCAACAACTCACCCCTGCTCCCCCTCCCCTCCCACACTCACCGAGTACACGGCATCAGTGGCCTCCTGGTTCTTCCAGTACCCCTGGAGTGACGCACGGCCATCCAATCATGATCTCTCCCCGTGGCAACGGCTGGTCGGTCACACAATGACCCGGCTTGCCACACTCATCCCCACCGCTCCACACCCCTGTGCACACCCACTCACCGAGTACACGGCATCAGTGGCCTCCTGGTTCTTCCAGTACCCAGGGGTAACGCACGGCCCTCCGATCATGATCTCCCCTCGTGGCAGCGGCTGGTCTGTCACACGGTAGTTGCCCTCCTCCCAGTCAATCAGCTGGGTTGGATGGACAGGAAAAGAAGGTAAGTCAATTGATCAGTGGTGATGTGGTTACGTAACATGGTAACGCAGTTTGTCTGTCACGCAGTAGTTGCCCTCCTCCCAGTCCAGCAGCTGGGTGGGATGGAGAAAGAGAAAGGAAATCAACGAGCAGGGAAAGTTAGCCAATGAGTGATGGCGTGGTAACAGGGTAACACAGCTTGTCTGTCACGCAGTAGTTTCCCTCCTCCCAGTCCAGCAGCTGGGTGGAAGTATGGAAAGAGAGGGAGCGGGGGGAAGCGGGGGCAAATTAGTGAGTAATGGAATTGAAGGTTCAGAATATAAAGAGCTCACCCAGATGTAGCGGCGCTGTAACATTGAATGTTCAGGAAATACAGACTCACCCGGATGTAGCAGCAGGGAATGGGTGGGCCGACTCTCCCCACAGAGTTGTCGGAAAATTCTGCAAAGGTTCCTCCAGAGCATGTTTCTGTGAGGCCGTAGCCCTGGCCAATGGGAACGCTGCAAGTTAGAAAACGAGGAAAGGTACACGAGACAAGAGGGAAACAGAGAAAGTGAGACAAGGCACACGAGAAAAGAGGAATAGCGCAAGAGAGAAACAGAAACGGCAGATGGTATCGTGTCGGGACATGGAATCAGAAAGGGCGCAGTCGCACTCACTTGAAGCAGATGTTGATGAACCGTTGGGTATCAGGTGACAACGGCGCTCCCCCTGACAGCATGTAGCGCAGCCTGCCACCCACGGCCGCGCGGATGCGCTTGAAGACAAGCTCGTCCCACAGCAGCGTGTGACGCACAGACTGCTGTGCTGCATGCTCTTTGGGAACTAACCCAACCCTCTAGTAGTAGCAGCATGCACATACATGTGCACGCACAGCCGCCATACTCACTTGAAGCAGATGTTGATGAACCGTTGGGTATCAGGCGACAAGGGCGCTCCCCCCGACAGCATGTAGCGCAGCCTGCCACCCACGGCCGCGCGGATGCGCTTGAAGACAAGCTCGTCCCACAGCAGCTTCTCCAGCCCCCACGCGCCGCCCCAGCTGCCGTTGATCGCCGCCAATCGACGGCTGTAAGCGAGCTCGAATAGCTGCTGCACCGTGGGGGACTGCGTTGCCATCTGAGGAGAGGGAGGAGAGCGGAAGGTGGGGGTATGGGAGGGCAAGCACTAAGCATTGGGGAAGGGGATCACACATTAAAAGGGCAGCTGATTGTTGATCTCTGTGAATCGATGGCTGTAAGCTTCCTGGAACAGCTGCTGCACTGTGGGGGACCAGGCTGCCATCTGAGTCGCCACTGGCATCACAGCGACACTCTGCTTCCTTCCATGGACTCTCCTTTCTTCACCGCACACCACCGCGTACCACCTCACGCCCATCTTTCTTCACCGCATACCACCGCACTTACCTTCCACCTGATGCCGTCTCTGATATTATCCAGAATGGCAGGCACGGCAGCCATGAGGGTGGGTCGCAGTGTGGACAAATCGCCCTTAGTGCCGGCAGCCTACCCCCACCCTCTGCTTCCTCCTACCATGGAGTCACCTTTCTTCACCACACACCACCGCACTCACCTTGCGCCTGACGCCGTCCCGAATCTTATCCAGAATTGCGGGCACGGCAGCCATGAGGGTGGGGCGCAGCGTGGACAGGTCCCCTTTAGCCCCGGGCTTGAGCTTGCCTGCGCCGTCGATGACCGTGAGGGGCGAACCGTACCCGATGCTTGCTCCTATTGATACCATGCCGGTCTGTTTGTACAGGGAGGGGGGTAGGGAGGGGCAAAGGACAGCAAATTTTGAAAGTGGGGAGCAGGCAACACCGCCTTTGTCACCGTGCCTGAGCTTCTCTTGGCCCCGGGCTTGAGCTTGCCTGCGCCGTCAATCACCGTGAGGGGCGAGCTGTACCCGATGCTTGCTCCTATCGACACCATGCCCGTCTGGTTGGATGTGGGGGAGCAGTGAGGTGGAAAGGGTAAACATCGAAGGAGCCTACAAAAGCCTTTGCGGAGTGGAACTGTGGAACCATGACATGTCCGAAGAGCCTACAAAAAGAACTCCAAAGAAGCAACTTGAGAGTGAGCTCGAAGGAATGTGTAAGCGGCAGGTAGGCGATGCACACATCATTTTCGTCGGCCATTTAGTGTTGTTTTCATTCATACGACCAGAGAGCTTTGGGGCGTCTCACCTCTGCAGCGCAGCGCAACGCACCTCTGCAGTGAGCTCAAGGGAGCGCGCGAGGGGCAGGTAGGCGATGTACAAAGAGGCAAGGCTGAAAGCTCTCACCTCAGCAATGAGCCTCATATCCACAGAGCGTACTACAGACGCAGCTCACCTCGGCAGTGAGCTCAAGCGAGTGCGCGAGAGGCAGGTAGGCGATGCACACATCGTTCTCGTCAACATCCGGCACGAGTGCCATAACCCACAAGCCAAGCTGCAAAACATCACATTACCGATGAGCCGCCAAACACAATCCACTCACCTCCGCAGTGAGCTCGAGGGAGTGCGCAAGGGGCAGGTACGCAATGTACACTTCGCTCTCGCCTGTATCACGCACGAGCGACCGGAGCAAAGAGCCTAGGACTTGAAGCCAGCTCTCACCTCTGCAGTGAGCTCGAGCGAGTGTGCGAGCGGCAGGTAGGCAATGTACACATCATTCTCGTTGGCATCGGGCACGAGCGCCGTGACCGCTGCTTGGCAACTTGAGAGAGCAGAGAGCCTTGGGGCGGGGCAAGAGGTAGCTCCCCACGAGCAGAGAGTGCCTCATGTACCCAGAGAGCCTAAGACCAGCTCTCCCTCTGCACTGTAACTCACCTTGGCAGTGAGTTCCAGCGAGTGGGCGAGGGGCAGGTACGCAATGTACACATCGTTCTCATCGGCAGTATGGTGCTGCTTGCTTCATATATCCAGAGCCTAAGGCCAGATCTCACCTCCGCAGTGAGCTCGAGCGAGTGCGCGAGGGGCAGGTACGCAATGTACACATCGTTCTCATCGGCAGTATGGTGCTGCTTGCTTCATATATCCAGAGCCTAAGGCCAGATCTCACCTCCGCAGTGAGCTCGAGCGAGTGCGCGAGGGGCAGGTACGCAATGTACACATCGTTCTCATCGGCAGTATGGTGCTGCTTGCTTCATATATCCAGAGCCTAAGGCCAGATCTCACCTCCGCAGTGAGCTCGAGCGAGTGCGCGAGGGGCAGGTACGCAATGTACACATCGTTCTCATCGGCAGTATGGTGCTGCTTGCTTCATATATCCAGAGCCTAAGGCCAGATCTCACCTCCGCAGTGAGCTCGAGCGAGTGCGCGAGGGGCAGGTACGCAATGTACACATCGTTCTCATCGGCAGTATGGTGCTGCTTGCTTCATATATCCAGAGCCTAAGGCCAGATCTCACCTCCGCAGTGAGCTCGAGCGAGTGCGCGAGGGGCAGGTACGCAATGTACACATCGTTCTCGTCGGCATCGGGCACGAGCGCCATGACCGCTGCAAAGACTGCCACCAGGTTGCCGTGCGTCATCATGACTCCCTGAGGGGGAAGGAGCAAAAAGTGTGAGCAATGGGACAGGCAGGAAGAAATGTGAGCCAAGGGAGTGGTCATGGGAGAGTGCGTGTAACAGGAGCGTCATGACTGCTGCAAAAATCGACACCAGATTGCTGTGCGTCATCATCACGCCCTGAAGGGATCATGCAAGGGCGGTGAAGGCCAGGGATGGAGAGAGGCCGTCAGGAAGAGCAGGGTAAGCTGGCGGAGGGAGACGAAACGGTTAGAGTAAGATGACGCAGAGGGGAGAATAAAGGGAGGTGATGGCGATGGGTGGCATGGCATGGCATGGCATGGCATGGGATGGTATGGTATGGCATGGCACGGTACAGGAGGGCATGGCATAGTATGTGGTGAGCATGCCATGGATGGGATTGGATGGGTTGACGTACCTTGGGAACTCCAGTGGATCCTGACGTGTACATGATGAATGCCAGGTCAGACGACTTGGGCAGATTCGGCTCCACTGGGCTCTCCGCCCCTTTAGCCTCCACGTCAGCATAGGGAATCACTGTGATGCTCCCTATGGTGCTTGGAAGCGGATCCTCGTTACTGGCTGTCTCGTTATCAGCCTTCTGCTCCGCCATGACTATAACGCGCTTCACTGTAGCGAGGCGGGAATGTACCTCAGCGATCTTGTCAAACTGCTTCCTATCACAGACCACTGTAGCCACTTCGGTCTAAACAGGGGACAGTGAGAAGGAGGGAAGACGAGAAGGAGAGACGAAGACAAGAAGAGAAAACGAGGAGGGAAGAAGAACAGGATAACAGGGAGGAGACAAAGGGAAGCGAAGAAGGAGCAGATAAAATTGCAGGTGAGAGCATGGGTGGTGAGTTGCAAGTGAGTCATGCATGCACCACGTTCAACCACATCTAGCCGCAACACAGCAGATCATAACCAGTCCTTAACCTTTCTTTAAGCCCACTGTCCTCGCACAATCACTGCCACTACCCTGTGCTCGAAAACTTTCCTACTAAAAGTTCCAAGAATCCTCGTTATGAGCTCACCTCGTTAAGCGAGTGCACCAGCGCGTCCGTCCCCAGCGACGCGTACACCGTCACCACCACAAGCCCATGCTGAAACACCTCATGTTCATCCTCGTTACAGGCTCACCTCGTTAAGCGAGTGAACCAGCGCGTCCGTCCCCAGAGACGCGTACACCGTCACGACCACAAGCCCATGCTGAAACGCGCCCTGCATCGCGATAAACCAGTCCGCGCGCGTCTCCGCGAACATCGCCAGCTTCTCCCCGCGCGCATGCCCGCTCCCCATCAGCCCCGCGCCGAACGCCACCACGCGCTCGTGCACGCGCTCGTACGACTCCCACTCGTACTCCCCGAGGGTTAATCTCTCCACCTGCTTGTCTAGCTTCGCGTCGAATTCGAACTCGCGGGAGATTAATCTCCGCGTGCCGAGCAGGCGGCGGTTGCGGAACTTCTTAACGGACATGTTGAAGAGGCCCGGGATGGTGTCCGCGCCCGCGAATGGCGTCTCGAGGAGGCCCTGGAAGCGGCTGTGGCGGTACGTGATTCCCGGGCCGTCCACGTCAGCACGCACCCCGTAGATTTTATCCTCGGGGTCGAAAAAGCTCGCGCTGGAAAATAGGGTAAGGGGTAGGAGGGGAGGAAGGGAGGGGGGGGGGGGAGGGAGAGAGAGGAAGGGGAATGGAAGTTGGCGGAAAGACGAACAGTGATAAAACAAAGAGGGTAGCTCGAACAACTCCTGACAGGTTTGTTTGTTTCCCTTTTTTTTTTTTTTTTTTTTTTTTTTGATCCGATCAGTAGTATGTTCCTTTTCGGATAGAGCGTGATTTTCGGATAGCTGTTGCATGTGGAGTATCAACAGCTAGAGGGAGGCTTGAAGTCGAAAGAAGCGACGAGGCGAGGCGAGCCGCCGGGATGGCGCTGATAGAAAGTCGATCTGTCGCCGAAACTGGAAAGTCGGACTAATTGATCTCGCTCCACTCGCTCGCTCGCATTACGCGATGATCCTCGCGCTCTGAGCAAAGACATTTGAGGAAAAGCCGAATGGGAGTAGTAAGCACCACTCACTCAATGCACTGACACACGATAATTGCGAGCAGCGCGAGGCAGACGGGGGCAGCGTTATCATGTAACTAAAGATCTCTACCACTCACTACCACTCCGTACCACTCACTTGATGTACTGATACACGAAGATCGCGAGCAGCGCGAGGCATACGGCGCCGGCGTTGTCTACCAGCACAATGAGCAACGCGGCCGCCGGCGGTCCCACCACCGGCACGAGCCGCAGCAGCCCCGCTGCCAGCGACGCCATGTTTACTCGCTGCCTGCGAACCAAGGTGCGTCGCGCGGAATCGGCTGCAGATTAGGAAAAATCGAATATCCTAGGCGGACCGCAGCTTAGGCAGGAACAAGCACCGGCAGCACCACCTACACACCGACTGAACTGAACAGGGCGAAGTGAAGATCCATCAGTGGGTTCTCAAAAACAAATCCCAAGGGAGCTTTCTCAGCTCGGCGCCCTGCTGAATTTGGACGGCACAGCGGGATAAGTTCAACCGGCTGACAGGCAACTGACTGACGGACGAAGCGAAGGTGCCCCCGTCCGCAGATCTCAGCGGCGATAGATTCGTTAGTAGCAAGTTCATCAACTAGGTATGCCAAACTAGAACAAAGGCAACTCAAAAGCACTATTCTGTACACTTTCTCATGCAATGGACTCCATTACCTATTGTACACAGCTGCACAGCACGTGTCAATCGCGTTAGTTCACCTTAACAAGTCTACAACGAACTGTATCTTCACGAGCTAAAAAACAGTCAAGCTAAACTATTCAAAAGCCTTAGCCATTCCGCCCTGGTGTGAGGAATCCGCATCTGCTCCGTGTGCAATCTTTGGGCCCTTGAACCACCGACGGGCATCAATGATCCACCACAGGAGGAAGAAGCTCACGCAAATGACAATCCCGATGGGCGAATAATTAAAGTTTGATGAATTTATCGGGTACTCGGTGGGGAGCATGAAGACAACCATAGTGTAGACCACATAGAGCAGTGCCAAGATATGTATGCACTTGCTGCATGGGAGAATCGGAAAGAGCAAGAAACAGGGAAATGCGAAGAAGAAACCGAGTTTAGGAAGGATGGTGAAAGAAGTGGAAAGCTGCACAAAACACCTTCAGCGGCGCCACTTAAAATAGAAAGCAAGAAAGAAAAGTCATGGAAGAGTCTCACCTTCCAATCTTTCCAAAATAGTTCCTGAGGAAAAACGGCCCCGGAACAAAGTCCCCGTCGTCCTGCAGAATGCGGAAGAGGATGGGCACGCCGTACGCGCCAAACCACCCCACCGTGGCCATGCCGGTGACGGCGAAGTAGGCAGTGCTGCCGCCCAGGAGAGGGAGGAGAGCCACGATGGCGATGCCCACGGTGCACATGAGCGCGTTCACGGGCACCTTGCGCTTGTTGACGCGCCGCCAGAGAGAGGAGAAAGGCAGGCCCTTGTCTCGCGCTAATGCGTAGCCCTGGGGATGAAGATGGGGGGGGAAGGGGAGGGGGGTTGGGAGGGATGGATCGGTAACCACATGATTACCGCAAGGAGGTGAAAAGAGAGTGATGGTGCATGGTGCAGTGACAACACAACACGGTGTTGCATTGCAACAAGGGCGAAAAGAGAGTGGTGGTGCATGGTGCAGTGGTGACGACGTAATTCGTTGAACGTACCAAACGACAGGCCGCAAAGACGAGAGTGATGGTGAAGAAGAGAAAGGAGGAGGAGAGGGAGATGGGGACAGTGCAACATGGTGTTGCAACAAAGGATGACTGAAGATTCAATGCGCATGGTGTGGAGACAACATACCACACGGCAGGCCACGAAGACGAGAGTGATGGTGCAGAAGAAGGAGGAGAGGGAGAAGCAGATGAAGTCTATGAACGGGATGGAACAGAGTGTTGTGAGAAAGGAGGTGACGACTAGAGTGACGGTGCATGGTGCTGAGAGAACGTACCACACGGCATGCAGCGAAGACGAGAGTGATGGTGCAGAAGAAGAAGGAGGAGAAGAAGAGGCAGATGAAGACATACACCCCCGCTGCATTGCCGTATCTGGTAGGTCGATCATATGGGGAGTGAAGGGAAGGATGGGAATGGGTCGAGAAAATGAGAGAAGAAAGAACATACAAGGAGGCAGTTTCTGAGAGCCATACCGTACCCCTCTGCGCCTACTGAGTCGACTCTAAGGGCATCGGTGCGGTGCGGTGCGGTGCAGTGCAGTGCGGTGCGGTGCGTCTCACCTCCCATTGAAGACGGTCCGGAGGATCTGAATCACCGGCTTCCTTCCCATTGTTTTCTGCTTGTCCAACAGAGCAGCACTGAGGTGCGGTGCAGTGCGGTGCGGTGTGGTGCAGAGCGTGCGGTGCGTCTCACCTCCCATTGAAGACGGTCCAGAGGATCTGAATCACGGACTTGCCGCCAGCAGCATTCGTCTCATCCAGCAGCGTGGCTTCATTCTGAATACACAAGGCGAGCACCACCACCACGCCCCGCTCCTCTGTGCAGTGCGGTGCGGAATGGTGCTGAAGGGTGAGGTGCAGTGCTGTGAGGCCTACCTGCCAGTGAAGACGGTCCAGAGGATCTGAATCACCGGTTTCCCCCCCGCAGCGTTGGTCTCATCCAGCAGTGTGGCTTCGTTTTGAATGCAGAAGGTGAGAACGACCACCACGCCCCACTCCAGGAACGACACGAGTGTCAGCGCCCCCACCATGGCGATGGGGGTTGTCACATCTGACCGCTTTGCCTCCTCTGATGCATGGGCGCCGGTGTCGAATGAGTAGAGGGCGTATTGAGACATCAAGAGTCCCACTAGCACGGCATAGCCCTGGGGAGGGAGGGAGGGAGGGAGGGAGGGAAGGAGGGAGACACGAGGGAAGTGATGAGGTCACTTGGGCTGGATTGCTTCGCCTCCTATAAGGCATGGGTTCCGGTGCTGATGGAATAGAGGCATGGGTTCCGGTGTTGCAGAAATAGAGGGCGTATTGAGACATTAAGAGTCCAAGTAACACGGCATAGCCGTGGAACAGAGGGAGGGAGCGGGTGGGGAGGAAGCAAAAGGAGTTGTCACTAAGGGACTCACATCGCGTGCGGCATGAGTAGCCACTCCAATACGCACACGCGCGCGCACGCACACACACACATACACACTCGTACAACCAGCATTGCAAAGGGACTCACGTTGCTGGGCATGTTGGTGTTGGCGGTGTTGAAATCGAGGTGGGCCAAGGAGAAGAGTGCGCATGTCAACATGAGCAGCCCCACCAGCACACGCACACTGTACAAGCAGAAATGCTCAAGCAAGGCACTCACGTTGCTGGGCATGTTGGTGTTGGCGGTGTTGAAATCCAAATGGCTGAAGACCCACCAGGCTGGTTGCAGTGTTGGCGCCACGAGAGGGAGCGTGATGATAGTGATCACTCCGGCTAGCACCTGATGGTTGGGGGGGAGGAGGGGATGGAGAAGGGGAGGAGGTGAGCAGAAAACCCACGTGGCTGACTGTAGTGTTGGCGTGACAAGAGGCAGCGTGATAATATAATAGCAATCACACCTGTTCGCACATGGTGGGTGGAAAGGAAGGGGGAGGAGACGGATTGCAGTGTTGGTGCGACAAGATGCAGTGTTGAATGAAAAAAATGATAATGAGAGGAAGACAGCAATGAATGGAGGGGTGCGGCGAATGGAGGGGTGAGAGGAGTGGAGGGGTAAGAGGAATGGGAGGGGACATCACAGCACCCAGCAGCACAAGCCAGTACCAATGCACCACAACTCAACCCACCCCGCACCACAGCGCTGCACTCCATCCCATCCCACCACACCCCACCCCACCACACCCCACCCCACCCCACCACACCCCACCGCACCGCACCTGGATGATCATGCCGACCAGCAGCACCCTGCCGACCATCTTGATGGGAAGCAGGTTGATGAGCGCACAGACGAGCACAATGAACACGCTGCACGCGAATTGCACCGGCTCTGACATTGTGTATCCGCCCTTGCCCGCACCACCTGCAAGACAACAGGGGGTGATCCATCCAAGGGGATACATGGGGGTACAAAGGGGTGCAAAGGGGTACACGGGGAGAAAGAGACAGGCTGATGAGCGCACAGACGAGCACAATGAACACGCTGCACGCGAATTGCACCGGCTCTGACATTGTGTATCCGCCCTTGCCCGCACCACCTGCAAGACAACAGGGGGTGATCCATCCAAGGGGATACATGGGGGTACAAAGGGGTGCAAAGGGGTACACGGGGAGAAAGAGACAGGCTGATGAGCGCACAGACGAGCACAATGAACACGCTGCACGCGAATTGCACCGGCTCTGACATTGTGTATCCGCCCTTGCCCGCACCACCTGCAAGACAACAGGGGGTGATCCATCCAAGGGGATACATGGGGGTACAAAGGGGTGCAAAGGGGTACACGGGGAGAAAGAGACAGGCTGATGAGCGCACAGACGAGCACAATGAACACGCTGCACGCGAATTGCACCGGCTCTGACATTGTGTATCCGCCCTTGCCCGCACCACCTGCAAGACAACAGGGGGTGATCCATCCAAGGGGATACATGGGGGTACAAAGGGGTGCAAAGGGGTACACGGGGAGAAAGAGACAGGCTGATGAGCGCACAGACGAGCACAATGAACACGCTGCACGCGAATTGCACCGGCTCTGGCATCGTGTATCCGCCCTTGCCCGCACCACCTGCAAGACACCAAGTGGCGGGTGATCCAAGAGGATGCGAGGGGATACAAAGCGGTACAAGGGGGTACATGGGGTTACGAAGGGTCAAACGCACAGATTCACGAGCGCACAAGAGCACCGCACCAACTGGTTCCACCGCACTACACATAGCTTGCACTCCAATGCACCAGACTGCACCGCACTGCACCTGTGGCGAGCAGGATGAGGTCGCTGAGGAGCAGCACCCCTCCCAGCGCCACCCCTCCCGAGCCAATGGACGCCCCGAGAAACTCCAACCAGCCCTGCAACGGGTGAGAGGGGCAAGAGAGGACACAGGAAACACGAGGGGCGATCTTTGAGGTCCCCTCCCTCCCAGCGCCACCCCTCCCTCACTCACTCACTCCCACCCCTCCCGAACCGATGGACGCCCCGAGAAACTCCAACCAGCCCTGCAACGGGTTAAGGCAAGAGGGCAGAGGAGAAAGGCAAGGCAAGGCAAGGCAGGACATGGGGTGGAAAGTTGGCAGCGTGTTAGTGTGTGTCATCTCATCGGCCCCTCCCGAGCCGATGGACGCTCCGAGAAACTCCAGCCAGCCCTGCAACGGGTGAGAGGAGCGGGCAGAGGAGCAGGGAAGGAAGAGAGGAGCACGGAGGGAAGAGAGGAGCACGGAGGGAAGAGAGGAGCAAGGAGGGAAGAGAGGAGCAAGGAGGGAAAGAGAGGAGCAAGGAGGGAAAGAGAGGAGCAGGGAGGAGAACGGAGGAGAGGGCACGTGGAAATTGAATACCCTTGGACACTCAGGTGCAGTTTATGCTCGCCTGCCTGAGAGCAGACAGAGGCCCGCACTTAGTGAACACTTAGCGGCCACTGAGCATACGTTTGGCGAAAACTTAGCAAGCACTTGACAGGCACGTAGCAGCCAGTATTCAAACGATTGGCGAGCGCTTAGCTAAGGGCACTTACTGTGATCCAGGCAGCGATTGGGCGATACTTAGTTAACATTTTGCAAGCCCTTTTTGAACACTCAGCACTTACTGTAATCCAGGCAGCGATTGGGCGATACTTAGGCTTGGCTAGTGCTGCCGCCCAGAAATAGAGAGAGCCAGCCGTCTGGAAGAGGGGATGTGGAGGGGAGTGAGTGGGAGGAGAGGGGAGGAGAGGAGAGGAGAGGAGAGGAGAGGAGAGGAGAGGAGAGGAGAGGAGAGGAGAAGGGATAGGTGATGTTGAGAGCACTCGGATTTCTAAGAGAGCGGTTTTGAAGAGAGTTACAGCGGCACAGGAGGAACGGCGCGGATGAGAGGGGACGAGAGTAGGAGAGCGAGGAGCAGATAAAGGCGAGGGCAGGAGAGCGGAAAGGGGAGAGAGGGGGGGCAACCACGGATGGGGGGAAGATGGGGATGGGGTGGGGAGGGGGAAGGGGAGGGAGGAAGTCCTAAAACAGAGCGGGAAAGAGAAGCGCCTTAAAGCCCTACTCGTGCGACTCACGGGAAAGGAGGAGGCGATTTCAGCGAGGGAGAGTGCGATGCAGTGAGCGAAGAAAGCAGTGATCCACCAGAACCACACGGCCATGACCGGACCACCACTTGCAAAGGCATAACTGGTGGTGTGAGGGGGGTGAGGGCGGAAGGAGAGTGGTGGAGAAGGTGGGTGGGTGTGAGAGCAAGAGAAGGCGAAGAAGGCAAGGCAGTGTTCCAGCAGAACCACACGGCCATCACGGGACCACCGCTTGCGAAGGCGTAGCAGGTGGATGAGTGCGACGCAGTGGGCGAAGAAAGTGGTGTTCCACCAGAACCACACGGCCATGACCGGGCCTCCGCTTGCAAAGGCATAACTGGTGGTGTGAGGGGGGTGAGGGCGGAAGAGGGTTTGGTGTGGCAGGTGGGTGTGAGAGCAAGAGAGGGCGACGAAGGCAAGGCAGTGATCCAGAAGAACCACAAGGCCATGACCGGGCCTCCGCTTTCAAAGGCGTAACTGGTGGTGTGAGGGAGAGAGGAAGAACGGACGAGAAGAAAAAGAGTGTTCCAGCAGAACCACACGGCCATCACTGGGCCTCCGCTGGCAAAGGCGTAGCAGGCGGCCATGACTGCACCACCCCTCGCAAAGGCGTAACTTATGTGCGGTGGGAGAGAGGGCGCAAGGAAGGATGCGCCGCGCCTTTCGTCCCAAAAACAAGCAGCGATCACTAGTTGCAGTGGTTGGTTCTGGGCTGACCCACATACCCGTTAGAAGACATTTTTCGAGGTGGCTCAATAAGAGAAACCATCACCTGACTTGCATTATGGCATAACTACGAGAGGATGTTCATACCTGGCCAATTTTGAGTCAAGGCAATAAGAGAAAGCACCACTTACTAATATGGGATAACAGCGAGCAAGAACCGCATACCCGTTACAATAAATTTTGAGTCGCTGAATATAAGAAAGCACCACTCACTCATAGTACGGGATAACCCCGAGGAAGACCCCCACGCCTGTCAGCGACACGGCGAAGAGCTCGAAGGCGTTCTGAATGGTCGAGGGAAAACAAAAGGGCGGACGGATGGGAGCATGCGGAATCGGTTTAGTTGCACCTCCGCGACCGTCTCGTTTGCTTAGCGATACACAACTATTGCTCGAGGTATGGAGGCACCTAGATGACCGCCTGGCCTTGGCGTGAAAGGCGGACGCATGAGGAAACGGGGGGAGATGCGCGAAAGAGGCGGGGGAACGGGCGGAGATGCGCGAAACAGACGGCGGATGAGAGCGCATAATTAAGTCGACTCTGAACAAAACTGACGTAATAACAGACGGTCTTAAGTCGAGTCTAATATAGCGGTGCTAATCCAGCGAGCAGAGGGAATGCAAGAGACAAGACAACTCAACGACCCCGCTACAATCACACGGTCGCGCATATTTGCACTTGGTCGCACACTGTCGCACGTGGTCGCACATGGGTATCGCAAATGATCGCATATGGTCACACGCACGCACCAGATCGCGTTGCAGGTCCTGTTTGTACCCTAGCTCGTTGAGTCGCTTCTCGCCGGAATCGAGCTCCACCGTTAGTAGCACACCGTCATCAAGCATAATCTCCATCGTCTTCGCGCCGCCCGCCCCCCCTCCGCCATCCGCGCCGTCATTCCCGCTGTTCGGCGTGTTTTCGACTAGCGCGACGACCGCGGCGCCTTCGAAGGCGCACGCCTCGCGGAAGAGCTCGTCGTTTTCCGCTACTGGCGGCTCGACTGCCGTGTTCTCCTCAACCGTCCAATCGCCGTCGTCCGCCATTCGCGGCGGAAATGCAGGGGAAGCTAGGGCGAAAAAGGGAGGTATGGGATGTCGAGGCGCGACGCACTGAAATAAATAACCTCAAACTTTTCCCTAACGATTCCTGAAGTTATTACTATTCGTCCTAATCTTCGGCGGTTGGTTATTAAAGCGCGGCGGACGATGCTCCGATTGCGCTACGAGCACCAAGGAGTCAGCTACTGGCGAGCGCCCAAAGCACGCGCTTTCCCATCATTAGCTGCTGTCAACGGAAGAGTAATGCCGCCACGGCCATACCGCGACTCGGTCATCGCACTACCGCAAAGTATTTGCTATTTTTGTCTCAACTCCGCATCGTATGGGCCCTACCAGTGGCCTGGAATGACCAGCGTGTGAGGGAGGTGAGGGGAGGTAAGGGAGGGTGAGGGGAGGGAGGCGAGGGAGGGAAAGGGAAGGAACAGCTGACCTTGCACGAGCGTGCGTGAACCTGTACACGTACGAAACATGTCGCATGCATTTGTTGTTAACGATTGCAAGTGCCCCTAAACTTTCGTGAAAGAGCCTGTGTTTCACACTCACTGTCTCGGTGGCTTGCTACCGACACCCAGTCGTTGTGTGAGTCACAATGAAGCCGAGAATACGAGCATATTTCCCCGCACCCTCATGACCAATTCACCACTACTTCCGCTCCATTTATATTTTCACCAAATTCAGTTCCGAGGACTAGAACGCTAGTTCTGTGAACGGGACCCTGGGGCCGGTCAGGGAGGCATATCATTTCCGTTCCATCATCTTGAACTGTGGAACTTGTCGTTCAGCGCGCCGCCAAGAATGCCAGTCGCACTGGCTTGGGATTCGTCGGCGGGAACGGGTGCGTGCGACGCAAGTACTGTAGTACTGCTTTTGGGAAGCTCCGCGCAACGACATCATCGTGACCACAACTTTCCGCGACACCCCTCCACAGACATCACGGTTGGGGAAAGACGTGCGGTGTTGGTGGAGGTGGGCGAAGGCAGTTGGGTTTGGAGTGGGGTGAGGTCGGGGGGGTGGCTTTGCAAATAATTCCCCTTCGACAGGATATCGCACGGTGCAGTCTGGTTTGGAAAGGTTGCGTTAAGGTTTTTTGGGAAGGGGGGTTCAGGAATCCGTCCTCGTCAACAATCCGTTCATATCCGCCCTTCCCGCCAAACATGTGTGGCTGCAGCTCCTCTCGCATGCACATCGCATTGGTGGATATTCGACATGCAATCCCCAAACGCATTCAATGCATGCCTGGGGTCTGGCGAAATCGCGCGCATCGGCGGAAATCGCGTTTGTCTCAAAAGAATCGACCCAAATTGCTCACACTTCGCCACGTGGGCGTTTTTCCTAATTGAATCGACCCCCTTCCCCCCAGCCCCCCCAAACCGTTTTTCCCGCCCGTCCTCTCCGAAATGCGGGCACCCGCTGGAATTTCGTGCAATCACAAAAAGTCACAAATACATGTTTTTCCGTTACGCTAAGATTTCAACATGCGAGCGACATCTGATTGGACGAACTTCTACTTTTAATGATAACTTTAGCAGTAATATGGATTTCATTAATTATGTGCGACTGCTGTAATTTTTTTTTGAAATTTTGTAACATCCGTACATTTGTTTCTAATCAGTATCAAGCAGTAAACTCAAACACAACATAAACTTAGCTAACAAAAAATATGTTTAGATTTGCCCTAGAGTGGTTATTATCATAATTTTATGAAATGTAACTTTATATTTTCTTATTTAAAAAAAGATTTATGTAGATATACATAAAACAAAAAAATATAGGCTATTTTTCATGTGTTTTCTTGCGCCCTTATCTACATTAATGGCATGGGCTAATCCAAAAAAAATATGATACAATCAACATGCATATTAGCCTCATGAGATTGAGAAGCAACCGCCAAAATTATCGAATTGCGAAAGCTGATGTGGCATGCCAAAACCAGATGGTGGATTTAGCAAGAGTAGGGAGCACGTATTCGTGACTGTTTGTGACTCTACAAACTTTTAGCGGATGCCCGAATTTCGGTTGGGAAGGGCGGGAAAAACGGGTTGGGGGGGCGGGGGGAAAGGGGGTCGATTCAATTAGGAACAACGCCCACGTGGCGAAGTGTGAGCAATTTGGGTCGATTCTTTTGAGACAAACACGATTTCCGCCGATGCGCGCGATTTCGCCCTGGGGTCTGTTTCCACATAACCAAGCAATTGGAACTCGTCGAACTTCGCAAGCGCGGTATGTACTGTTCGGCTGGCGCATCAGTGGTGAGGCTCGGGTATGTACTCAAGAACAACCAAACCGTGGCTGGCTACTAGCCAGCCATACATGTCGCCCAAGTGCCATAAGGGCGTGTAAGATCCCCGTGCACACAGAATCGGCCATCAAAATTAGGTGGCCGTAGCGAAAGTAACCATTATCGGTTTGCGAATCTCGTCAATTTCAACCATCAAATTTGTGATTTGATGGCCGGAAAACTAGTCGACTCTTTTCCGACGCGTGGTCGACTTCAAATCGGCCATGCTGTCGACAGCAGCTGTCTACAGTGAGAAACGAAGTCGCATACGCTGCTACAGTGAAATTGCGACATCGTATTCATGTGTGCGACATCGTCGCACCAAGTCGTAAAAAAGGACAAACCAAAATCTTCCACCTCTGTTACAGCGGCCAGCAAAACCGTGTCAGATTTGGAGGCCACACTGAGTTGGCCGAAAATTTGTCGACCTGGTGACGACTAATCTGTCGACCTTCGCGAAAGCTTTGTCGACCAAAATGGTCGACAAAATTCAGCCAAAACGTGTGCACGGGGATCTTACACACCCTAAGCTAACAGAAAGGCAGTCTTGGGTATGAACTTCATTTATGGGTCCAATAGGACCAAGCCACATGAACAACCAAAAGAATCGGTCACGTTCCTGCCCAGTCGCACCGCACAGCTCAGCTCCTTCCCTCTCTGTCCCCATCAAAGACACATTCCGATTTCCAACCTCGGTGGAATATCCATCTGAATGGGGTACCGCTACCTATGCAGAGGATTACAGAAGTGCAGTATTTCCAAACAAGGCCTCCCTCCTCCTTTCCCCCCAACCCCCCTCTCCTCCCACTCCCCATCACAATTGTCACAATCACATACGGCACAACTGCCATCCTGATCAATTACTACATGCAATACTGGCTTGGACAGTACACAGAACTTGTGGGTGTTTTGTGGTACAATTTCAAGTAGACTTTTCAAGCTGCAATGCAACTCCACCTCATAGGACTAGTGCTATGAACAATCAGTTGGTAATCAGGCATCCATACCATACGCTTATCGTCTCTTGGTGACAAGTGGCAGCACTATCGGACAAGGCTAGGTCTATGAACAATAGTAGGTGTAATCGGGTCATAGGTGCTTGATGTCTGCTAATCACTGTTAGTGGCAGCTCTATCGCATATGAGTGCCACTGCTGCATTGGCTGATGAAAAGGGCCCATGAAAGCTCTCCTTGAACGAAAAGCTTTCCAAGTCATACACCATCTGCAGCCACACACCACAGAACATGTGAAGTGTTTGCTTAACCAATGAAGTAAAAGACAAATTGGACACGACGAGAGTTCCATTGACAATGCAGGAAGCTGCATACCTGCATAAGAATCTGTGCAATCTCCCGTTCCTGATTTAGCAAGCAGCGGTAGTAGACCTGTGAGATTGGGCAATGGAATGATTGTTAAGGGACAGCATGGACGGCGTTGTCGATGGAAGCTAGCTGAACACTCCTTCCAATCCAATGCATGCCTAGTTCTCCAACTCAAGTTTTGAAACAGTCACAGCGATGATGTAACAACGCTAGCCCGCTATTTTGTTAGCCTTCCTCAGCTTGCCCTTACAAACAATGGTGCCTTTTTGTTGTTGAGCAAATGTTATCGGGCATCGTCATCGAAAGTATGTTCCCAAGATTCACCTGGCAACTGCCTAGCAAAACAACTCTTGTATGTGATGCGCAAATGCTCTCCCTGGTTCTCCCATTGAAGCCACAGCTACCCAGCAGATGCCATCAAGACCAGATTCCACCTACCTTGGCGCATTGCTTGCTGATTATGATGTTGGCGGGTTCCAGACAATACTCATTGTCCAGACAAGCCTCTGTTTGACCTTTGAGTCGGCTGGGAAGTCACTTCTTCGCCTACCAGTGGCGCCCATTCCTCGCTAATTTTATTGTATGCGGGACTATACTTGTTGTCCGACCACAACTTTAGGTGAGTTGTGAGTCTACTCGAGAATCACCTCCTCGCCTACCTTTGCGCATCGCTCGCTGATTCCGATGTTGGCGGGCTCGGGGCAGTACTCGTTGTCCAGCCACGCCTTGAGGTTCTCCCTCAACCAATCAGCTTCCTGCACAACGGGGACCCCGAAAAGAAGAAAAAAATATCTCAGCGGAAGGGATTTCAAATTCAAGAGTGGGGGAAACGACCAGGGAAGGGAGCGACATGGCGCGAGACAATTCCGAGAGGCTGGACGGAGAGACATTGCGCTTACTCGTTGCGCGACTTCCGGACTCGTCCACGTGGCAGGGACCTGGAGATCATCCACGCCGCTGGAAGCTCGCACAATTCGACGTCCGATCTTTTTAGGCGAAACAGGCGAGAAGGCGGGTCTGCTGGTTCGATTGGCGGTTCGCGAAGAAACAGAAGTCTCAACGTTGGCTCGTCGTCTGGATTGGCTGAGAAAGGAGTTAATCAACGTTGAATTGGACGAAGGAACCTGACAGGAAGAGGGAATCGACGGTTTTGATTGAATCTGAGGAGTTTCTAAGTTGAGCTGGTGCCTGGGACCTAATGGCCGACCATTGCCAGATGTGCAGAAACGAAGCGTTGTCCTACTTTGTGTGAGTGGCACGGCTGTTGACATGGTGAGGAGCACGAACCGGACTAAACCCAGATAAATCGTCCGCTAATGACCGATTCAGGCTTCTTTGAAAAAATCACTTGGCGGAGGCTTCTCTAGACACGCAGAAGTGAGATTAATCACCCCGACGAAGGGAATGGAGGTAAAAGCTCTAATTACCATTGCAGGAGGGTCTGAGCGACATTGACATTGCCGATGAAATTTGCTCTGATACACGAATCCGACGTGGCTGCGTAGGAACCGAAATCTGACATCTGGCAGGCGAGGCGAGATACAACGAACACGCTAAAAAAGACAGCGTGTGCTGTGTAACACTTTCGCAGATTCGCTGAACCGAAGAAGTGTTTTTGCGATCCTACATAAACTTCACTCAACAAGATGTTGCTATTCACCGTTTCAGATCCCACTACACCCAGCAGAAAAATGCTTACCCAGGCTCTCTCTCTCTTTTGCAGGGTCGTCCTCACAAGCAGCTTCCGGCATTGCAATGGCTGGCGACGACTGCTTCCCTAGTATGGGCTAATTAGCCCATACTAGACCCGAATACCTTCCGATAGGCTTAGGCCCGATCAGTTCCATGCTTCCCTCGGATTTCCAGCCGGAGGATGCACACGAAGACCCTTTCGCGCAACTTACGCTCGATCCACTACCAGATGCCTCGTCATTCGACGCTGACGTGGCGGTTCCGGAAGGAGCAGCGTCGCGTCCACCAGGAAGGCGAGCGCTGTGCGATCGCTGTCAGCGGCCGTCGCGCGCGTGTTTATGCCCTAGTTTACCGCCGAGTAGATTAAAGACACGGACAAGAGTAATAGTGCTGCAGCACCCACACGAGGGCAAGAAGCGGCTCGCGACTGCTCCGATCCTCGCGCTCACTCTAGTGTCCACGCGCATTATAACGGGTCGAAGGTTCCTCGAAGGATCCTCAGCTGAGCTGGACCGGGCGCTGATCCCTCGCTGCGGGGGCAGATTGGGTGGAACGTGGCAGGACGGGAGAGGGGGAGGGGAAACGGAGGTAGGAAGGGGAGGGGAGGAAATCGGACGATGCGCAAAGGAGGATCGAGAGAGGGGAAATGGATGGAATACTGGGAGTGAGCCCCTGAAGAGAGAAAGAGCAGGGATCGGGAGAGGCGATGCGGATTTGGGACGCGCAGGGGACGGTGTGTGTGAAGCGAGGAGCTGGGGAGCATGCGGCGCAGGGGACGGTGTGTGCGCGTGTGGACACGTGCGGCTGCTCATGTTCCCCGGGGAGGGCGCGCTGCCGGTGGGCGACTGGTGGAGGTGGTATCTGGCCCGGCTTCAACTGGCCGCGCAGCATCCGTGGGAGCGTGGAGCGGAGCAGCGTGGAGCGGAGAATAGTGGGGTGGAGCAGCGAGGGGTGGAGAGAGGGCGTGGGGGGGAATGGTGGGAATGCAGGGGGGGAAAGGGTTGTGGGAAATGGGGCGGTGAGTGTGTGGAGGAGGAGAAAGGACATGGGGAGGCTCGCAAGTGTGGAGCAGAGGCGCAGGGGTGCGGGGAGGGGCGCGGGGAGTGTGGGGAGGGGCGCGGGGAGTGTGGGGAGGGCCGCGGGGAGTGTGGGGAGGGCCGCGGGGAGTGTGGGGAGGGGCGCGGGGAGTGTGGGGAGGGCCGCGGGGAGTGTGGGGAGGGGCGCGGGGAGTGTGGGGAGGGCCGCGGGGAGTGTGGGGAGGGCCGCGGGGAGTGTGGGGAGGGGCGCGGGGAGTGTGGGGAGGGCCGCGGGGAGTGTGGGGAGGGCCGCGGGGAGTGTGGGGAGGGCCGCGGGGAGTGTGGGGAGGGGCGCGGGGAGTGTGGGGAGGGGCGCGGGGAGTGTGGGGAGGGACGCGGGGAGTGTGGGGAGGGACGCGGGGAGTGTGGGGAGGGACGCGGGGAGTGTGGGGAGGGACGCGGGGAGTGTGGGGAGGGACGCGGGGAGTGTGGGGAGGGACGCGGGGAGTGTGGGGAGGGACGCGGGGAGTGTGGGGAGGGACGCGGGGAGTGTGGGGAGGGGTATGCTGTGACCCTGGTGGTGATAGATGGTACGTGGGAGCATGCCAGGGAGATGATGAAGGCGAGTGGAAGCTTCCTCAGGCGCCACTGTGCGATGGTATGTGTGAAGGGCAATGGAGCATGCAGGGGTTTGAAGGGCAGTGTAGCATGCAGTGCCGAGGAGAAGGAAAGAAGAACAGGCTGACGCGACTCACATGGAGAGATTGAATAGAAAACGCTATGCTGCAAATGCTATCTTGTGCTGCACATTGACTTAAGGCGGACATCCTACTGCATCATCGGCTTGTCCTACTGGCGGCCATGCACCATGCACCTAGCATGCCACCTGTCACTCAACACCTGCTGTGTCGATGCTCTACCCTCGTTTTTCCTACCGCGCTGTCTTGCACACACACCACCGCAGGTGTGTCTACCCTTTGACCACGCATCTCCTGGCCCACTGCCCGGCCACCTGGGTCTCGTGGTACGCAAGGAGCCGCACACCCATCCATGCCACCTGTCTCTCAATTTCAGCCTGTCTCAATGCTCGACCCCACCTCGTTTTCCCTACCGCACTGTCTTTCATGCCCACCACCACAGGTGTGTCTACCCTTTGACCGCACATCCCCAGGCCCGCCGCCCGGCCACCAGGGTCTTGTGGTGCGCAAGGAGCCGCACAAAGGGGCCGTGAGTACAGTGGAAGCAGTCGCACGGGCCTTGGATGTGCTTGAAAGGGATGTGCTTCAAATGGATGCGCTTGAGTGGGATAGGGATGGGGAGAGTGTGGAGAGGAAAAGTAAGGGTGTGGAAGTACACATGGTGCCAACGATGTGCGATGGGAGCAGTGAAATGAGATGGGAAAATGGCGAGACGTCGGCGTCTTGGTGGTTGTTATCTGTGCTTCACCGCATGGTCTGTATACAATTACAATTAACGAAGTAGATGAGATATTTCTGCACAGGGGAGCTTCTCCACAAGTGTGGAGCTTGGAAGCCTGTTTGGTTCTAAAGTGGTTTGTGCCAATCCTTAACAATAATCATTTGAAGAATCAGAAGGAACTTGCAATCTCTAACACTCTGCTGCACTCGTTACTGTAAGCTGTACCATCACCTTCTGTAACAATATGGAGGGTCCTTCGCCCTGCAAGCCAATCATAAGATTTGGTTCGCATCAGACATCCCCCCCAACCTGCACCACAGGGCAGAATTGTTGTATGTGGGCAGGCTTTTGCTCCACGGTACTGCAGAATCCTGTGTTGAGGTTGCGGTGTGTTCGATCAAGGACGTTCTGAAAATAGTGGAACGTCTTTTATGCCTGGAATGGTGTACAACAGCCACTTTTCAAGCCAAGAACATGTCTGACCAAGAACAAAACGGGCAGGGTTAAACATTTTCCGCTTGTCTCGTGCTGGGCTGGTTGGCAATGGCCAGCCTCGAGTTCAGGGGGAGTTCGGCACAGGTGGATGGACATAGGGCGCGAGGGCGAAGGTGCTTTGCTGTGCCCAGCGGGTGGGTGGGTGGGCCCTGGTGCTGTGAAAGGGACCCAGCGAAGATGGACTGCGCAATGTTCGTGAATCGCAGAACCACGCTGGAAACCGTATTAACATATTAGAAATCTAGCGTACCGAAACTTATATCATCCCATCCCCACACACCACAAGCCGCAACCCTGGGATTGTCTGTTGTGTGCGGCAACAGTGTACCTTTCTAAACGACGTGTTTGGTATTATGCACCGCTCTGTATCTCCCAGTTGAGTAGTGCAAACACAGAAATCCATCATTTTTTATCAACCCCGCGTGTTCACCTCAATTGCCGCGGCTCCCTGTCTGGCTTTTCAGTCTACTCAGAAGTCACCTTGTCTGGCATTCATGAACGCCGCCATTGCATCATATACAAAAGCTCATCCTGACCCACTCTCCTGCTACGGTGTCAATCTTCGCGGTTAGCTGCAGCCACCAGGTGTTTCATCACGTGGTGTTGCGAGCACCGCATGCAGTAATCGTTTCTTGAATAACACAAGCTACAATTTCTACCAACGTGAAAATGTTGTTTCCTGGAATGTAGTTTTCAGATAACTCCTCGTGACCCGTATACACTTTCCCAATGACGGGATCACTGCTCGCGAAACGTGCATTATGGCGGTTGCGGGATTCCCGGGGAAGTTCCTTAGGCGAAGAAATAGCGACTGTAATTTCGAAACCCCGACGGAAGAGCTTTTCGGGAGACGAGAACGCGGCTCGGCCGGATGCTAATGCAGGTGACAGCGGCAATCCCGCCGAAGATAGCGGAATTGTGTTAGTCGCGGGCACGTGGCAAGTCGAAAATGCAGGGAAACCTGCGACGGAGCCAGGCGACGGGACAGCAGGAAATGCGGGGGGTGAGAACCCGCAAAATGCGGCGGGAAATGCGGCGGAAGCCTCGGAGCAGCGGGAGACGTTGGAAATTATGTTAGAGGATGGGTTGCACATGACTGTGGAGCTTGACTCCGGCGAACGGCTTCTTAACGAGTTGGGATACAAACAGGAGCTGACGCGACGCCTAGTACGTGCTTATAACGGGGACTTCGGTACCGCGATAAACAGCGCAAGTTGATGGAGCGAATGAGGGGAGAAGGAAGGAATAATGGAATGCTGAGAACGGGTTGAAGAGGGGGGCATTCTCATACGTACCAACCATTATTCTCGTCTCGATGCAAAAAACAATACTGCTGAACAGCAGTACAGTACAATTACAACCTACCAACCCCAATTCCGTTTCACTGTACTCACTCTCCTTCTCTTTCTACCACTCGCAATGCCACTCCCTCCCTCTCCCCCTCACCATACCCGTTATAGGGCTTCGTTGATGTGTTTTCTATAGGCCTCTCCACCATCATAATCTACGCTGGCGTTGTCCCGTTCTACGCGTGAGTAGCTCTCGCCTTTCCACCACCGCCATGAGACATGCCTTTTGTTGCGGTTGCGTAGTGTGTGTGTGTGGGTGGAAGGCGGAAGGGTGGGTGTGTGTTTGTGGGGGGGGGGGGAGTGGGTGTCTGGGTGTGCGTGTGTCCGTGTGTGTGGGGGGGGGAGATGGGGGGGAGGGAGAAGGGGGGGGGGGGGATTCGGTGTGTGTGTGTGCGCGCGCATGTGTGTGTGCTCTGGTGGAGGGGGGATGAGAGTGGATGTCCAGATGTGTTTGTGTCCGTATATGTGTGTGCGTGTACGTGTGTGTGCGTGCGTGCGTGTGTGTGTGTGTGTGTGTGTGCGCGCGCGCGCGCGTGCGCGTGTGTGTGTCTGTGTCTGTGTCTGTGTCTGTGTCTGTGTCTGTGGGTGCGTGCGCGCGGGTGTGTGCGCGCGTGCGTGCGTGCGTGCGTGCGTGCGTGCGTGCGTGCGTGTGTGTGTGTGTGTGTGTGTGTGTGCCTTTTGAAGGCGAATAAGCAAGTCCCGTGTGGCGCATTTTTGCGAATCTACCACATGCTTCCCTATCGGTGGCTCTCGTGTGGTACTGGTGGCTCACACCTCTCTGTCTTCCCCCCCCTCCTTCGCCCTTGTCGTCTTCCTGCCATCCCATACACTCCTCGCCTCTGCTCCCATGCCATCCGCCAGTCAGACGTACGTCAACGGAGGCCCGGTGGCACTCGTGTGGTACTGGTGGCTCACAGCTCTCTTCACTCACTGCGTCGCCCTCACCTTCGCAGAAGTTTCTTCCTCCTTCCCTGTAAGCCACGCCTCTGTCCAATTCGTTACTGCATTCCCAAGCCCAGTTCTAATGTAAAAGATGAGAGCACAGAGGGTTTTAGAAACACACCGGTTCTCCCTCCCCAACCATCTCCCCCTATCCCCGTTCACCCAAACTTTTCCCCCCTTGCCGTGTTCCCTCAAACATTTCCCCGCTTCCTCAAATCTCCTTAATTCAACCGTTTTCACCCTCCCCGCCCTCCCCTTCCCTCCTCCCTGCCGCCCGCAAGTCAGATCTCGGGGTCGCTCTTCCTCACCCCTCTCTCCTCCCCGTCGTCCCCTCCCCCGTCTCCCCCCCCCCGCCCGCAAGTCAGATCTCGGGGTCGCTCTTCCTCACCCCTCTCCCCTCCCCCCCTCCCCCCTCCCCCCCCCCCCCCCCCCCCCCGCAAGTCAGATCTCGGGGTCGCTCTTCCTCACCCCTCTCCCCTCCCCGTCGTCCCCTTCCCTCCCCCCCCCGGCCCGCAAGTCAGATCTCGGGGTCGCTCTACTTCTGGGCGGCAGCTCTCGCCGGCCCAAAGCACGGCCCCTTTGCCGCCTGGATCACCGTGAGGGCCCTTCTCCCTCCTTCCTCACCACCCTTCATACCCTCCTTCCTCACCACCCTTCATACCCTCCTTCCCTTTGCCGCCTGGGACACTGTGAGTGCCTGTCTCCCCGCTCCCTCCATTCTCTTCTTGCCTGTATCACCGTGAGTGCCCTTTTCCCTCCAACGCATTTCATTCATCCGTACAGCATCCCCCCCCTCCCTCTCAGACGCCTTCCTGCTCAAATCCCTTCCCCCTTCACCCCTTCTCCCTCCTCACCCTTCCTATTTCTTCAACCCCCCTTCCTCCTCACCCCCCTCCCCGCTTTTCCTCGACCCCATCCCCCCTCCTCGTCACCCCCCCCATTCCTCCTCATCCCCTCTTCCTCCACAACCCCCTTTCCTCTGCTTCCCCTGTGTGGGGCCCCTCTCACTTCTCTCTCCCACCCCTCAAAAGCGACTCACTGTCTCTTTCCCCCTTTTACAAACTGACCCTCACTTTCTCTCCTTTCTCCCTCACTTCCCCCGCTCCCCTCTCCTTCCACTGTCCTCACTTGCTTCCTCCCCTCTCCCTCCTCCATACCAACCCCAGGGCTGGTTGGAGTTCTTTGGCATATCTGTGGGGTTGGGCGGCGTGGCCTTCGGGGGGGTGCAGCTGCTACAGTACACCATCTTTGCTGCTACAGGGGGTGCTAATAACGGGGGCTTCTTTTTCAGCAATTACGAGTGCTTTGGGATCACGGCGGGCGTGCTTATAATGGGGGGACTGCTCACCTCGCTGCCGATTAAAGTGATTGGAAGAATCAACGTCTTCACTGCAGTCTGGCAGGTGCGAGGAACCTTCTGTTCCCCCATCCCATTGCCCTTTTCCCCCATATCGTTGCCCCTTTACCCCATCCCATTGCCCCTTTCCCCCATCCCATTGCCCCTTTTCCCCATCCCGCTGCGCCCCTTCCCCCCACCCCGTTCTCCCCATCCATTCCCCTGATCCCTACTTTCCTCCCTTTTATGAACCTCTGACCGACTGACCAATGGCTCTTCTCTGCCTGTCCCCTATTTCCACCCCTCCCCCTCTGTCCTCTCCCCTCTCCCCTACCCGTTTTTGTGTCCCCATATTGCGCTCACGCGCGTGATCTTCATCTGTGCTCCCGCTCTTGTTCCACTCACACACTCCACCTCACCCTCCTGTGTCCCTAGATAGTGCTAACGCTCGTGATCATCATCTTGCTGCCATGTGTCCCTGTCACCACCCAACCTGCCTCCTTTGTATCCTCTCCCACCCTAGAAGCCTGCTTTTTAATTAACATCTCTCACCCCACCCCACCCCCCTGCATCTCCAGATAGTGCTAACGCTCCTGATCATCGTGCTGCTGCCATGTGTCGCTGTCTCTGCACCACCCCACCCCACCCCACCCCACCCTCCTGTGTCCCCAGATAGTGCTAACCCTCGTGATAATCGTGCTGCTGCCATGTGTCGCTGTCACCACTCAGCCCGCCTCCTTTGTCTTTGCTCATTACCACGTGCAGCTCAATCAGAGCCAACTGCCTAATGCGGTGAGTGGTACCACCGCTGTTCACAACTCTGCACCGTCTGGCGCTGCTCTGCATCGCGTTGCACCGCTCTGCACTGCGCTACTGTTCTGCACCGCACTGCACCGTTCTGTTACCAGCCAGCTCGCCTCCTTTGTCTTCATGCATTACCATGTGCAGCTCGACCAGAGCCACCTGCCCAGTGCGGTGAGTACCGCTCTTCACAGCTCTGCACCGCCTGCCACTTTTCTGCATTGCATTCCATTCCACCCACCTCTGCACGCACAGTTGCTATGAACCGCACTGCACCGCACTGTCACTACTCATACCATCGACCCCTCTGTAACCCCCCTTATTCCTCCCCCCTCCCCCCCTGTTCTCGCACACGCACACCAGGCACATGCCTTTATGATCGCCAGGGTTTAGGTTTTGGCCACTCTCTCTCTCTCTGTTTGGCTTTCGCAACATCTCAGAGCTTCCATACAACCCTCCCAACCTTTTCTTTCCTCTCTCCCCCCTCAACCCCCCCAAGCACATACCAGGCATACGCCTTCGTGGTGGCGCTGCAGCTCTCCCTCTACGGCCAGTACAGCTACGACACTGTAGCGCACATGGCAGAAGAGACAAAGCACGCCGACCGCACGATCCCGCTAGCCATGGTGGCGTCCCTCTCGTGCGTGTGCGTGCTGGGGTGGGGGCTGCTCGTGGCGCTCACCTTCTGCATTCAAAATGACGACCGGCTGCTGGGCACAAACAACGAGACGAGGGGCGAGTACCCCGTGGTGCAGATCATATGGGACGTGTTCTTCAGCCGGTGAGTGCGTGGGAGGGAGAGAGGGAAGGGGGTGAGGTGGGAGGCGCCTGATGGTGTCCCCTCACCATCCCGCTAGCAATGGTCTCATCCCTGTCGTGTGTGTGTGTGCTGGGGTGGGGGCTGCTCGTGGCGCTCACCTTCTGCATCGAAAACGACGACCGGCTGCTGGGCACAAACAACGAGACGAGGGGCGAGTACCCCGTGGTGCAGATCATATGGGACGTGTTCTTCAGCCGGTGAGTGCGTGGGAGGGAGAGAGGGAAGGGGGTGAGGTGGGAGGCGCCTGATGGTGTCCCCTCACCATCCCGCTAGCAATGGTCTCATCCCTGTCGTGTGTGTGTGTGCTGGGGTGGGGGCTGCTCGTGGCGCTCACCTTCTGCATCGAAAACGACGACCGGCTGCTGGGCACAAACAACGAGACGAGGGGCGAGTACCCCGTGGTGCAGATCATATGGGACGTGTTCTTCAGCCGGTGAGTGCGTGGGAGGGAGAGAGGGAAGGGGGTGAGGTGGGAGGCGCCTGATGGTGTCCCCTCACCATCCCGCTAGCAATGGTCTCATCCCTGTCGTGTGTGTGTGTGCTGGGGTGGGGGCTGCTCGTGGCGCTCACCTTCTGCATCGAAAACGACGACCGGCTGCTGGGCACAAACAACGAGACGAGGGGCGAGTACCCCGTGGTGCAGATCATATGGGACGTGTTCTTCAGCCGGTGAGTGCGTGGGAGGGAGAGAGGGAAGGGGGTGAGGTGGGAGGCGCCTGATGGTGTCCCCTCACCATCCCGCTAGCAATGGTCTCATCCCTGTCGTGTGTGTGTGTGCTGGGGTGGGGGCTGCTCGTGGCGCTCACCTTCTGCATCGAAAACGACGACCGGCTGCTGGGCACAAACAACGAGACGAGGGGCGAGTACCCCGTGGTGCAGATCATATGGGACGTGTTCTTCAGCCGGTGAGTGCGTGGGAGGGAGAGAGGGAAGGGGGTGAGGTGGGAGGCGCCTGATGGTGTCCCCTCACCATCCCGCTAGCAATGGTCTCATCCCTGTCGTGTGTGTGTGTGCTGGGGTGGGGGCTGCTCGTGGCGCTCACCTTCTGCATCGAAAACGACGACCGGCTGCTGGGCACAAACAACGAGACGAGGGGCGAGTACCCCGTGGTGCAGATCATATGGGACGTGTTCTTCAGCCGGTGAGTGCGTGGGAGGGAGAGAGGGAAGGGGGTGAGGTGGGAGGCGCCTGATGGTGTCCCCTCACCATCCCGCTAGCAATGGTCTCATCCCTGTCGTGTGTGTGTGTGCTGGGGTGGGGGCTGCTCGTGGCGCTCACCTTCTGCATTCAGAACGACGACCGGCTGCTGGGCACAAACAATGAGACAAGAGGGGAGTACCCAGTGGTTCAGATCATATGGGACGTGTTCTTCAGCCGGTGAGTGGGATGAAGAGAGGAGGACGGGGGCAAGGTGCGGGTACTGTGTCTGCGTGCTGGGGTGGGGGCAACGAGACGAGGGGCGAGTAACCAGTGGTGCAGATCATATGGGACGTGTTCTTTAGCCGGTGAGTGATTGGAAGAGAGGGAGAGGGGATGAAGAGAGGAGTAATAGGGGGAACATCAATCGTCTGTAGAGCATCTCCCGCCTTCCATCATCATACTCTGCTGCATGTCTCTCGTTTTTTCACCTCCACATCCCCCGCCTTCCACCTCCCGACTCTCCTTCTCCTATCTCCTCACCTCCCGTTTTCCCTCCCCATCTCCCCATCTCCCTACCTCCCCACCTCTCATCTCTTCAACCCCCATATCCCATCTCCCCGTCTCCCCAGCTACGGCAGCGGCACCGGGGCAGTCATCATCCTCTGCTGCATGTCCCTCGCCTTCTTCCTCGGTGTTGTCGGCGGGCTCACAGGCGCTTCCAGAGCAGTGAGTGGTGCTTCTGAGTGGCACTAGAACACGTTTCCCACCATCTCACACCACTTCCCCTCCATTCTCCTCCATTCCCCAGCACTGCTTCTGTGTTGTCAGTCAATGCCACACGCCCTGCCATGCCATGTCCCTTGCTTTCTTCCTTGGTGTTATCGGTGGGCTCACAGGGGCATCAGTCTCTGCGTATTCAGTGCCGCACACACACTCTGCCATGTATTCTGGCAACCCTGAACCTTATACCTCAAACCCTGACTCCCTACTCCCTCTCATGAATGCTGTACGCACTTACTCTTTCCCACTCTCACTAACCTGCTCATGCTCTCTGCCTGCCCTTCCTTCTAGGTTCATCATACCCCTCCCTTCCCCTTACCCCCACCACTCTTTCCGCATTCTTCTCCCACTCTGCCTCCCCTGCCCTCTCACCATTTGGCCTACTCCCTCTCACGCGCGTGACTCTGGTCTCACCTTGGCCTTTCCCCCCTCTACCATCATCCCTCCATCCCTGCTTCCCCCTCCTCCTCTTACCCCAACATCCCCCCACCCCCCCACCCACCTTCCCCCCCCCACCAGGCCTGCTCCCTCTCTCGAGACTCCGGTCTCCCTTTCGCCTCATTATGGTGCCGGATCAATCGCAGCCGCACTCCTATCTACGCCGTGTGGCTCTGCTGTGCCGTGCACCCAATGATGGCTGACCCGCTCACTCACCTGCTCCTTCTCACCTCTCTTTGTCTGGCTCTGCTGCTGCATCTCCATCCTCTTCTCCGCTCTCCACCTCGTCTTCCCCCTCTTCTCCTCTCCCCTATATACCCCTCCCGCAACCAGGCCTACTCCCTTTCCCGCGACTCAGGCCTGCCCTTCGCCTCATTATGGCGGCGGGTGAACCCCAGCCGCACACCCATCTACGCCGTGTGGCTCTGCTGCAGCATCGCCATCCTCTTCTCTCTCCCCCTCCTCGACGACTCCAACACCTTCCATTTCATCACCTCCCTCGCCACCGTCGCGTGGGTCGGCAGCTACGCGGTCCCCATCTTCTTCCGCCTCATCCAAAGAGACGAGGATTTCGAGCCGGGAGCCTTCAGCCTCGCGAACTACGTGGGCCACACAGGCAGGTCAGTGCCGCTTCACGTCTCGCCCTTCCCCACCTCCACTTCTCAACACCTTCCATTTCATCACCTCCCTCGCCACTGTCGCATGGGTCGGCAGCTACGCGGTCCCCATCTTCTTTCGGCTGATTCAAAAAGACGAGGACTTTGAGCCCGGGGCGTTCTGCCTCGCAAACTACGTCAGCCACACAGGGAGGTGCGTGCCGCTTCTCTTCTCTCTCCCCCTCCTAGACGACTCCAGCACCTTCCATTTCATCACCTCCCTCGCCACCGTTGCATGGGTGGGCAGCTACGCTGTGCCGATATTCTTCCGGCTGATCCAAAGAGACGAGGATTTTGAGCCGGGAGCGTTCAGCCTGGCCCATTACGTTGGCCACTCAGGCAGGTGGGTTCTCTTCTCTTGCAGGTGAGCACTGGAGCAGGTGAGTGCTCAGGGTAGGCCAGTGGTGCAGCAGCATTGCGCTTCACTTCTCTCCCTCCCCCTCCTAGGCGACTCCAGCACCTTCCATTTCATCACCTCCCTCGCCACCGTTGCATGGGTTTGCAGCTGCGCAGTCCCATCTTCTTTCCGCTTATTTTATCAAAGAGAGAAAGGTTTTGAGCCGGGAGCGTCCAATCAATCATGTGCCTCCACTCTCTGTCTCCCTTCCCCACTCAACACTCCATTCCAGGCGACTAATCAACCTCGCATCGCTCCTCTTTGTCACCTACACCATCGCCACCTTTCTCGTAACCGTATCACACACATGTGCCTCCACCCCCCCTCCCCCCTCTCTCTCCCCACTCAACACTCCATTCCAGGCGACTAATCAACCTCGCTTCGCTCCTCTTTGTCATCTACACCATCGCAACCTTTCTCGTCCCCATCGATTTCCCCATCACTCCAGCCAACTTCAACTATGCATGTGTGGGAATCGTGTGCCTCGTGACCTTCTTTTGCTCCTGGTGGTTGCTAGACGCCAGGCATTGGTTCGTAGGCCCGTACCAAAAACAGCAGAGTTCCGCGCAAAGAATGGCAAAGTACACTGCTGGACGCTTGTTCATGTAAAAAGGATAACCTAACCGCGTTCCTATTCTTTTGTTCCATCATCTTGTCGAAAGCGTGACAAAATATGTAAAATTAAACTTAAAATGAAGGAAATTGCCAACAAGGATACAGTTTACAGTAGCATCATGCAAAGTTGCATGACCCATCAGATTTGCATTGCATCCTAGAGCGGTGCGTGTAAAATGCAGGTACTGGTAGTAGATCAGTCAGCGACTCTGGATCAGTCAGTGTCAGTGACTCTGGTGGATCAGTCAGTGACTCTGAATCCGTCAGTGACTTTGAATCAGTCAATGACTCTGAATCAGTCAGTGACTCTGAATCAGTCAGTGACTCTGAATCAGTCAGTGAATCTGAATCAGTCAGTGAATCTGAATCAGTCAGTGAATCTGAATCAGTCAGTGAATCTGAATCAGTCAGTGAATCTGAATCAGTCAGTGACTCTGGATCAGTCAGTGACTCTGTCTGGATGTCTTGAGCAGAAATGTTGTGGCCTCTACTCTAGTCTCTACTCAAAGACTAGTCGTGCTACTATGTCTCACAGCGCTTCCTATTCCATAAAACATGCGGAACAATAGCAGAAAAGAATCAATACAAAGCGTTGTTAAATATTTTCATGTTACCCATAAACAGAAATGTTATGATGAAAGGGCTCCAAGAATCAACACAACAACTTTCCTTCCAACTACTACCAAACAAACCAAGTTCAAGCAAAAAGACAATTCTCAGCTTCCCCTATTGGTCAATTGAACCACTTGGCTGCGCCTGAGTGGCTGTGATGATGCTGGGTTCCTGCCCGGTTATGGAAAGGCCCTATGAACCAATGGCGCGCGTCGAATATCCACCAGGAGATGAAGAAAGTTACGGTTACCAGCAGCACGCAGCTGGACCAATTGAAATTGGAGACGGTCACAGGGAAGTACATGGGGACCATAGATGTGGCCATGGTGTAGAGGACAAAGAGGAGCGCTCCGCCATTAATGCATCTCCTGTTGGGAAGAGAGGGTTGGAGAAGGGTGGAGAGGAGTGGACAGGGGTGAACAGGGGTGAACAGGGGTGGAAAGGGGTGGAGAGGACGTGTGGAGACAGTTACAGGAAAGTGCATGGGGACCATCGAGGTGGCCATGGTGTAGAGCACAAAGAGGAGTGCCCCGCCATTAATGCACCTCCTGATGGGGAGAGAGGGTTGGAGAGCGGTGAAGATGGGTGGAGAGGGAAGTACATGGGGACCTTAGAGGTGGCCATGGTGTAGAGCACAAAGAGGAGCGCACCCCCGTTGATGCACCTCCTGATGGGTTGGGTGATGCAACAGCGATACACAGACAGGTGGAGAGGGGTGGAGGAGATGGGCAGGTGAGAACGATGGGCAGGTGAGAACGATGGGCAGGTGAGAGAGGTGATGGCGAAGAAGGTGGAGGTGGAGTGGAGGAGCGGCAGGCAGTTTCACAGCACAGCACATCTCCCCCCCCCACATGTTCCACCACCCATAAGCGTGCTCACCTGCCCACGCTCCCCACGTATCTCTGGAGGCTGAATGTCCCTGGCTTGAACGCCGACCGGGGTTGCAGCAGGCACAGCAAGAGAGGCACGACGCTGCTATGACCCCCATACTCTCCCCCCCACCCCCACAGGTTCCACCACCCAAAAACTCTCTCACCTGCCCGTGCTCCCCACGTATCTCTCGAGGCTGAATGCCCCTGGTTTGAATGCCGACCGGGGTTGCAGCAGGCGCAGCAGCAGCGGAACGGCATAGCTGCCGACCCATGCGACAGTGGCGAGAGAGGTGATGGCGAAGAATGTTGTTGTGGAGTGGAGGAGAGGCAGGCAGAAGAGGATTGCGATGGAGCAGGTGAGGAGGACGGCGTTCACTGGCGTGCGGTCGCGGTTGACTCGCCGCCACAGGAAGGCGAGAGGGAGACCGGAATCACGAGACAGGGAGTAGGCCTGGTGGGGAGGAGAAAGAGAGATGGGGAGAGGGGGAGAAGGGGCGGGCAGGGGAGGCAGGGGGAGGCGAGGGAGTGAGAAAAGGGGCTTCTGAGAAACTGGGAAGGCAGGTGAGGATCTCGAGAGAGGGAGTAAGCCTGGTGGGGGAAGAGGGAAGGGCGGGGAGAGCGCAGGGGAGGAGGAGTGGGAGGGGGAAGAAGAACGAGTAAACTTTCCGTTTTTTTTTTTTTTTTTTTTTGTATGACAGCAGCACATGGGGGAAGAACGAAGGAAGCCCCAATAACATCAGCAAATGCAGCAAAGAAAAGGGAGAACGATCAAGTGGGCGGTGTAAGGGGAGGGGAGTAACTCAGGAGCCGAATACCCTGAGGCGCTTTCAAAAACTCACTGCTCTGGACGCCCCGATGACAGCAGCAAAGGCAGCAAAGAAGAAAGAGAAGTACATGAGGCACAGCAGCACCACTGCCCCCGTGCCGTTGCCGTACCTGGTGAGGGTGAGGGGGTTAGGGGAGGGGAGTGTGGTGCAGGGATGAAACACACAGCGCAAGAAGAGGAGATAGAGAGGAGGAACGTGAGAAGAGGAAGGTGGAACATGTGAAGAGCAACACTGACCTGAAATTTCACCTGAGGATTCACCTGAGCGCTCACCTGTTTTTGAAAACCTCCCAGATGATCTGAACCACCGGCTGCTGTCCCGCTGTGTCGTTAGTTTCTTCAAGAAGCGTCTGTTTATCGGTAATACACGCAGTCAGGACGATGATCACAGCCCACCCCACCACAGTAGCTGCCGAAAGACACGACACCATGGCGGCCGGCACGGTGACGTCGGCGCGTTTTGTCTCTTCTGCCATGTGCGCTACAGTGTCGTACGCGTAGAGGCCGAAAAGAGAGAGCTGCATTGCCAGCACGAAAGCATACGCCTGATGTGGGGAAGAGGGAGAGGAAAGCATGTGAATTTTGAGACGTCTTAACAGTCGCTACAGTGACGTAGGTGTAGAGGCTGAATAGGGAGAGCTGCATGGCCAGCACGAAGGCGTATGCCTGGTTGTGTGTGGGGTGGGGGGAGGGAGGGGGGGGAGGGAGAGGAATGCATATGATGTGACTTTTGAGACGTCTCAAAGGTTGCTACAGTGTCATAGTCGAAGTGGCCGAAGAGGAAGAGCTGCATTGCCAGCACGAAGGCGTATGCCTGGTGTGTGTGTGGTAGGAGGGGAGTGGGCACAGGGAACGGGCATGGAAGTGCGTTTTGAGACATCTCAAAACGCGTCACATTAAGCTGCACGTGCAAGTATCGGAAGCGGAACGAGGCGGACTGATGGGCGGTGTGTTGCGTGCTGCTTACCGTTCTTTTTACTCACATCGTTCAGCTGCTCGTAGGTAGTGGGCAAAGATGAACGGAGGAGGCTGCAGGGCTGCAAAGATGAACAGCGGTGTGCACTGTGCCCCACCCACTCTCATTCAGACACGCACATGACCAGTTTACAGTCTACTCACATGGTTGGGCATGTGGGTCACATCCAGCTGCACGTGGTAGTGGCGGAAGATGAACGAGGGGGGCTGGAGGGTGGTGTCCTGTGTGTTGTGCCACTCCCACTCACACCAGCAGCCCACTCACACCAGCAGCCCACTCACACCAGCAGCCCACTCACATTGTTGGGCACGTGGGTGATGCACGTGGTAGTGGCGGAAGATGGATGAAGCGGGCTTCACAGCAATGGTGGGCGCGTGGCTCTGCATATACCCCTTTCAGTCCCATTCCACTCACATCGTTGGGCACGTGGGTCACATCGAGCTGCACGTGGTAGTGGCGGAAGATGAACGACGCGGGCTGCAGGGTGGTGGCGACGCATGGGAGGATGATGATCACTGCTAGCACCACCACGATCTGATGGGGGAGGGAGAGAGGGCGGATGGGTGGGTGGGAGGGTGAATTGATGGCGAGATGGGGGGATGAAAGGTGAGTGGCGACGCATGGGAGGATGATAATCATCATTGCCAGCACCACCATGATCTGATGGGGAGGGAAGGGGGGATGGGTTGGGAGAGAAGGGTTATGGGATAGGGAAATGGACACTGCAGGGTGGTGGCGACACAGGGCAGGATGATGATCACTGCTAGCACCACCACGATTTGATTGGGGGGGAGGGAGAAAGGTGGGGTTGTGGAATGCGGAGTGCGGACCGGAGTACGGTGGCGACACAGGGGAGCATGATGATGAATGCCGCTGCTACCACGATCTGATGGGGATGGGGCGAAAGGGACATGTGGATGGGGATTGAAGTATGGAATAAGGAGCGACACAGGGGACACCACGACACATGGAATGGTCAAGGGCGGTGGCGACACAGGGGAGGAAGATGACTGCTAGCATCACCACACGATCTCATCAGGGGTGGAGGGGGGAACAGGGGGGAACAGGGG